TATTAAATCAAGGCGACAGCACTTAAATGTTTTAATATGATTTAATTTATAAATGTATAACTAAGATTTATGATCTTCGACCCCACAAGACGCATCCGTTCTACATCTCGAGTCTCGACGCGTAATGATTGACGGAATGCGAAAGACCATATGCACTTTCTATGAATTAAAACGTATTGTTTCTTTAAGTCCAAACATATTAAATGAAGTATATCTAAAATAATTGATATAGAAAATAAACCAGTAGTAACTGTAAATTACTTTTAATTTTAAACCAAGTTACGCGCCATAAACTGTCATCGCAGCATTGTGTTCAAAGTCGCAATTAAATTTAATTTACAACTGCATCTTTTCCGTCACAGCTTTTATTTGGAATATAAAATATTTTGTATCTTTTCCCTTTATTATGAATATTTTTGTAATGTATAACAATAATACTTAAAAATATATCTATTTAAAAATTGACGAGATGATAAATGTTATCAGCAAAAATAAAAAATATTTGTATGAATTTAAAAATTGTAATACATATGTCCATAATTATTTTGAAACATACTATCAATGAAATAAAATACAAAAAAAAATAATGTGGTTACAAAACAAGAAGAAACATAAAACATACTCTTCTTCCACCTGGCAATTTCCAAGCTTTAGCCAGGGTCTGCCTTACATGTTGTGAATAGTTTTGGCTAATTGTCTTTAGCACCGGCCGCCTGCCTGACATCAACCCTCTTTGGGAAAAAACATAAAATACTAATGTACATTAAAATACTAGTATTTTGTTATTCAAGACACTTATCAAATCCACCCCGATCAGGTGTGTCGTATAACAAGATTTGTTAAGAAAACGTGCTTGGCTCAGCGCAATACAAGCGCAGTCGAAGTACGAGAATCCCTGGGAAAGAATATCGTTCATACATTGATTAAGATACGCTATCCTGGTCTATAATATTAATGTAGAAATATTATGTTCAGAATTTAAATTTATATAGTATTATTATTTATTCAAACCTTTAATTTGATAAGATTTATATGAAATTAATATTTTTTGATAACTACGCGTATTATGTTATTATAAACTACATACTCCCGACGTTTCGGTTACTTTTCAACCTTGATCATTAAGACGAGATGTGTGATGTAGTATAAATTAATAAAATACGAATAGTAATCTGAATATTGGTTTCATTTAAATGAATACTCGCGAAAGTATTAAATCTCATCATTTGACAATTCAAATGCTGCTCTTCAGTTATTTATTTAATGATTTTCTATCAAAATAAAACTGATATTTTCGGATTTATTACGCGTTTATAATTATTTTAATTACATACTCCCGAGGTTTCGGTTACTTTACAGCAACCGTGGTCACGAAGACGAGATGTAAATCCACAAACTATTCGTTTTATTTCAACGTATACTCGCGAAAGTCTTAGATCTCATTATGATTTTTCTATTAGTTATTTTACAGTATATAGTATATTAATTATAATGATCTCTTTCAGTAATAAATCTGGTTAATGTATTAATAAAAAAGAAATTTTCATTTTACATCCTTTTATAAATTCTAAGTAAAGTAAAAAGTATAAATGTACTTTAATTCCTAAGTACCTTCTGGCCTAATTGCAGCTAAAATCCCTGTACATTGCTCCACTTTGCATTGTACTTTGTTTTTCTCTCCCATTGTACTTACACAGATTTGTTCGCCAGTTTCTGTTTTACGACAGAAAAATATTCAATTCGTTCAATCACATACAAAAAACCACTGATTCCGTAGAATTATTTTCAAGATTGCATTATTATAATAGACTTAATTGTGTTGTTAGTTTCCGAGAAAAGCTTTACAGAGTGACTGGTGAATTACTATCAATATTTAAGGAGAATACTCGGTACATGATTCTCATTTGAATTATGTAAAAAAATAGGTACTTAATTTTTGACCAAATTTCCGTATAAATAAATAAAGTGTGGACACGTTCCAAGTGTGGACGCGTGCGGCGGCGTGCTGATACAACAACACGCCGCCGCGCGCGTATGTGTGAGTGTGTGTGTATACCTAATCTGTAGGGTGTTCATACGATGCGTAATTAATTACATAACTTTTGGTTAACTTTACTTAGAATTTTATTAATATTTATGTTATATTAATTTTTATTTTGTCATATATGATCGTCAAATATCACGTCCTCAAATATTGATAGTAATTCACCAGTCACCCTGTATATTATGTTCTGATAAAAATGTGTTTGAACTACCTTTTTCATAAACAATTTTATTAAATTTTATGATACAATGAAAACGAAGTGTACATTATATTATTTCTCGTTATAATATTGTATATACAAATTGCATAACGAATGTCGGAGTTCGCATATGTGACTGAAAATAACTGTATTATCCGAAACTACAAAAAGGATTTGAATACAATTTTTATTAATATTATGAGATGAAACCTCTAATCATTCAATGTATTCACGGTGCTGGTGTCGGGTCCATCGTTGTAGTGAGAGGAGCTTCAACAGTGACTATGACTTGCGACCCAGGTGTAGGTTTAAGAGACCCCTTTTTAACACGTGTTGGAATTGGACTATATAATAATCCAAATTAAGACATATAATTCACAACTTTACGCTTTCTCCCATTTTATTATTATACTAAATAGAAATAAATTTACAAAATACAGATTCCGTCTATATTACGATCACATCAAATTACTACGTCATCTATTATCATCTCAAACAACGGCTGAGATATCATTAAAATTTTACAACCCAACACAGTTGAATGCCAAAAGAATGCCTGAACTGTGAACAGAAATAAAAATGCAATGTTATAAAAAAATACATCCGTATCATACGTGAAGTAAAAATATATTGAGTTGAATGAGAGCGTCGTTAAAAACACATTTAGTTTTAACCGTAAATCTTATTCACTCTTTTCAATAGCTGCTCCTATAACCCACCACAAATATTGTGGGCACAGACTAGTACAAAATTAAATTAATATGGCGACATTATCAAATATATACACTTATTTTAACACATTTATATATTATACATATAATGATTATGAAAATGAAATATAAGACTATATAAAAAAATTACTGAATAAAATACTAGCAACGGTTTCAAAATTCTTGATTTTTTTTTTGTTGTATTCACGTTAATATTTTAGAAATAGCGACACCATTTAATATACCTATATGCTGCATTTTTTAGGAATTATTTTGCTGTATATTGTCAAAATAATTACTCTAAATTGTTATTGTTACCTAGAGTTTAGTTTAATAACATGTAAATATCTTTTTGATTTATTTTAAACTTAACGGGAAACAATTTGTTGTAAGCTCTAAATATTTACGCCAGATGTATTTTAATTGAAATTACACCTAATAAAAAGTCTGAATAACTTTATCATGATGAAGCTTATGAGTTATGAACCGTAATTTTAAATTGCTTCAAAGGTCCTTCTGTGATAAGAACTCCAAGTGTGGTTTATCTGACCTCAAGAGAAAGGCATCAAACTCGTCAAACGAGTGCTGCTATAACAATTTCCTGCGGTGTTGCTCCACATATATTCAACACATACCCTACTAAAATACTCCATTTTATTTAAACATAAATATTACAAAGACTAGTGTGACGGCTTTTCATATAGATTATTGATTTTAAAAACTTATAATTGCATTGGAAATTCTACAAATTATTGAATATTCAATTTACAATCTTCGTTTTACACTAAATCGAGACGATTTGAAATATAACAATGATTTTAAGTTACAAATTTATGGTGGCTGGTAAGTTAACAGATAATTCGTGAACTTTGTACATTATTGGAAGCCATTTTGTCGTGGAATTTAACAATTTGTGTTAATTGCAATTTGTCAAAACTACTTGGACAATAGACGACATTTAAATCAATAGTGGCCTAGTGGTTAAAGGGCCCGCCTCTCATGCACGACAGCGCGGGTTCGATCCTGGCAAGTACCAATGCGATTTTTCCGAGTCATATGTACTTTCTAAGAGTATTTAGACATCACTGACAGATGATGGAAAACATCGCGAGGAAACCTGGACTTTATAATTTCACAATTATAAGTTTGAAATCACCAACCCGTCTTGAGCAAGCATGGTGATTATTGCTCAAACCTTCTCCATGTGAGAAGAGGCAGCTCAGCAGTGGGCTCTGATAGGCTGATGATGATGACAATATTTTTGATGATAGTAACACTACAATTAAGAACATAATGAGTTTAAAGATGATTATCATTTAACTTGTTCTCATTCAGTCAGCGGTACTTCACATACAAGGCGAAATTTCTTGTTTATTTTTTGTTAATGAATCAGTTTTTATGAACATGTACTTAGTTGAAGCAACTGGTACATGATATCCCGAAGTTTTTAAATCAAATCCTGTTTGTAATATCGACTTTTTCATTTAATATTTTCATCATATATTACTTATACAATATTTTATGTATATAAAGTAGTAAGACATATGATAAAAACTAAACAAAGCATGTGAAATATATTATTAAATTGTTTTTTACCGCGACTTCGTCCGCGTTAATTACGGTATTAGTAATATATGTATAGCTTACCGAGCGAACTCTATTTCGCCTTAGAGGTTGTAAATAACCAGATATTGGAGTTTATTAAGATTTTTTTGATAGAACAGAAGTAAATATTCTATGTCCGTCTCCTTGTCCTAATCTATCTCCCCACCAATTTTCAACCATATCCCTACAGCCGTTCTTGAGTTATAAATAGTGTAACTTACACGACTTTCTTTTGTATATAAGATGTTGACAAGCATAAAAATTATATAAGAAAGTTTTTAGTTTAAAATGGCAATCGAAGTGTTGGTACATTACAATGAAATTCTTCTTCTTTAGTTAGTGGCGTTACCTTATAGATTTCGCCAATGTAAAGACTACGTAAAGAGGGATTTTTGGATGAACAAAGCCGCGAATTTTAATTTAATTTATTTCTAAATCTTACCATTGTGACAAGTCCTTGTCGTCGAGACCGGATGGTGTTGCCAGTGTGTCCGAATCACCCTCTCTCCCGGGATGCTCGGGTATAATTCGCTCAATGGTGGTTACTTCCTCTATATCAGAATCGATGCCTTGAGCGAAGTCCATATAGAAAGACTCTCTTGAATCGCTCGAACCCCGCCGCAGCTTCAGGGACAGATCAGGCGAACTGTCATCCATCTTTACAATATTATTTCACATTCCATTCAACACTGTTACCATAGTTCTATCCATTTCTTGACTTTTCAACAGTTGTTAACACTAACCCATGCTTTCATCTAATGAAAACTAAAATAATTAATGCTTTCTACGTTTATCGAATATATACGATAAACAAACGTCACTAAAAACAAAGGAATCGAACGGTTAAAGTATTTTATGTCAGTGATGCCGAAAACATTTCGAACTAAAGAACAATGACCCGGAGTGTTCCCGGTTTACACATTCCCCAAAATCGACGCCGTTTCCCGTCTCACAAGCTAGAAACACGATATACATATATACATAACAAAACTATTAATTTTATACGACTCGAAATGAAAATGCGTACGAATATTTAAAGTTTTAAAACTGAACATTATGAATATTCAACTAATCAAACACTGCCAAAATAATATGTTATAAATCACAGCGGCGTCTATAAAGGCTACCTCTTATAAATATTTATACCACATATTATCCCGGCTATTGTTACTACCTATCTATCCTGTACATCAGATAATCTATTAGTATTCAACCTATTCGCGGGCCATTGACGAAAACAAATTAAATTAAACAAAAAAACTTATTCAGAAAACTTTAAATTTATGAATCACGTTATAGTATATTTACGTTGAACGTAATCGACATCGTATCCAGTTGTAACACGTAACTCGGAACACGTAAATCGTAAGTCGGAATCACGCAACTCGACACACGACCTCACGCTCGGCGGTCGGCGGCCGTTTGCCGCGCGGAGGGCCGGCGGGGTACGCTAGGATCAATTTGACGCTACCAAAATTCGGCTTACGTTCCGGGAATGTGAATTGGTGTACCTTTATTTATAAAAATGGCACCCATTAAATATATAAACTTATTAGTCACTTATTAGAAAGTTTTATGTAGATATTTCAAAATTTAAATGTTCGCGGTCTAAAGCATGTTATGATAAATTTTTAATAAATAATAATTAAGAATTTGTACGTACTTCACTTGAAGGAATATTTTTAGAAAATTTATTTAATCAATAGCTATAAACTTAGAATTGTTCTCAAAACTTAGACTAATTAAAATGAATAGTGATTTGACTTAAATAACCGAAGGCAACTCTTTAACTAAAAATATAGAGTAATGATTTAAATGAATCTATGATTTTCAATTTTACTTTCCAATTTATTATATGACAATTTACCCGAAGTTTCCGTAACTTTGCTGCTATCGTGAACACTGACAGACGAAATAAAAATCTTTATTAATAAACTTATTTTAAGGGAATATATGGCGTACTATTTAAATCCTAAGACAATAGTTCTAATAAACAAAATTAACGTGTCTATTATACTTAATAAAAGATTATTAAATACAACAATAGCTAGAACCAATAAACAAGTTTAAAGAAGAAACAAACAAGAAATATCGCCTAATGTAAATTGTTCTTCATCAAAGTTAGCCCTAGATTATTCCACGTTACTCAGCTTAATCAAACTACAATTCACTTTTCTCACGAAATTATCCTGTGACCGGTTAATGAAACTCCAGATTACATTAATTTTAATTAATATGCCATAATTTCAAGTGTTTTTAAGGCGTATAAAGAACTGTCTTTGATCTCATTGGATAACAGACTACACACTTGTCACGCTTTTATTTCGTCTTCTAGTAAACTCGGTTGGAGAAGATGCTTTAAAAATCTGTTTAAACAAACATGTAAAATAATGAAAAAAGTATTTTTTACTCGACATAATTGCGGCATTCATGTAAATCTTAAATAATATTACTCAATGCAATATTATTGTTTAAATAAAGCTAATATTTTTCGATAACTACGCGCGTTTTTTATCTATTTTAAAACTAGGTAGGTACATACATACTCCCGACATTTCGGTTACTTTGCATCAACCGTGATCACGGACAGACGAAATGTGAATATGTAGTTTTAAAAAAAACAAGTAGATATGTGTATTAATCCGAGATATATTAGTTTCATTTATATAAATACTCGCGAAAATCTTAGATCTCTTTATGTCATTGTTACCAGATATAATACAAAATGTTAGTTTCATAGTCCATGTAAATCTTTGTATTGTATGTGGCTACAAGTAATCTTTGGTCTTCCTAAAACCGATATTAGTCCTTTGATCATTTACTAAATCGTAATTTCGTAGAAAGCTTACATTTCAAGCATATGTACGTTTGATAAATTCGCTCCCATTGACCATCTGTCAGACGCACGTCACACATATGAACTCCGGGATTTCTGCACGAAATTAATGTTGAAACTGGTTTTGGTACGAACCTTTTAATCCTTGAATTGATATAATAGTATTACATATTCATTACGCCTCAAATCATTCAAGACAATACTTTTAATTTTCCTTATTAGATAATTTCTCTGGTTCTGTAAAATTTATTTCAAAATAACATATAAAATTGTTACTTAAATGATAAATCTAATAAATCTTTTAAAAAATATATACAATATCGTAAGTCACTCTAACTTATGACAAACAAGTGATTCATCCCTCTTCTACATTTTGTAAATCAGGAAATGATCTAAATAACAATAAAATAATCAGCACTTCAAAGATTATGACGAGTTGAAAACGAAGACTTGGGTATAAAAATAAATATTTTATACATCGCAATGATCTTTAAACAATTGTAAGATTACAATTATGTTTAACACCAAGCATTAGGATTTTAAGATTATTCTTTTATATAATTCCATAATTAAATATGTAATTCCATAAATATTAGTACAATTTGAAAAAACAGAATTGATGAAAGATTAAAGTTTGAACCAAACTCAAGCTTCGAATGAAATGGGCAGTGCTGGCTCCGTCTTAAAAACCTGGAGCTAGGAGGAAACACTAACAAAAACATTATTAAAAACTGCGATATAAGTTGGCATTCACAGATTTTCATTCATTATTTTTCGCCCATTATAGAAGAAACGGAAATTTGAGTCTTTTATTCGGCTAGACTATAATGCTAAATATAGGATTAAGGATAGATCCACGTAATGGGTCTAGACTTTAGAGATGCGAAACGAGTGGTTAAACATAGAAGATTTTTGAATCCCATTAAAATTTAAATGGCGCACCTTAATTCATGATTCGTCGCCAGCATTGCTAAAATTTTATTTCAATACGTTCCACATGACTCTCCTAGATATGAGCAATTTAGTAAGAAGGGGTAACTGGCTAGAAATAGGTTCGTTGTTAATTTGCAAGCGGTAGAAAGGGAGCAAGAGGTATAACAGCCAAATATCTTTTTAACTTATTAAATGTCTTGGATCTGTCCAGAACTACTTAACATCAATTCATTAATAGAACGTACTTAATAGATAACCCTTACAGGTTTATTACTGATTAATTAGGTAGAGAGAGAAGCTTGGAAGGTGGAGATGAGCGTTTAACGCGCGTTAAATAGGGGCCCCTTAAACCTACAGTTGGGTCGCAACTCCCAGGCACTGTTGAAGCTTTACTCCATGAATGCTGAGAAGTTCCGTCTTAACATAGGTTATTGAATGAGAAACGATTCGTGTGTACTATATACTACGAGATGCTAACTTGGAATCAGCATACCAGGTACAAAAAAAATTAAGTCGTTAGAACATTATTGCAAAATATATAAAACAAAAATGACGTGTACCGCCATCCATTATCAACTATTAACACTACACTTGAAGCTGACCATACCTTTTTGTTCCGCGTTCTCATAGATGGCGTTTAAATTAATAGCAACAAAAACAGGATAAATTTACCATAATGCATTTATTTGAAACTATGTCGCGCTTTTTAATCAAATTTTAATAATATTTATTGTAACATACTAAATGAAATTATTGAAATGCTAATAAAGTAGGAGATATACCATTACATTTTTATCGCTTCGCTCGAAATAAAAACGCTCGGTACCTCTTAAGCAAATCTTTTCAGACTAGTGTATTTTTTTTTTGCTTATACCGTAGTTACAGAATACCGGCTTTTTGAGGTAGGTTTCGTATGAAAGATTGACTAAAATTTGGAAATTGGAATAAATGGTCTGAATTAATACTTTTGTCTGAAAGAATTATATAAAGCTCATATTGTTTTATTATTTGCTAATATTTCTTTTTAATTTTACTCATTTTTACAGTTGAAATATGTAGTTTATTTTTCTAGGTATACACAATATTAAAAACGAAAGTACAAATAAATAAAACACCATATAATCTACAACTTTATTTTCAAACGGTTATTACTTCTTACAATACGATATCACAATACTTCAAAAGTCTTACAATGAAATAAATCTATAATATAAAACAATTATATATGTCTCTAGTCAGGTTTACATCTGGGGATTTCATAACACATTATACAAATTACGATTCACAAATATTTTAACAGCCACGACAGTACAGAACTAATGTTTTTTACTGAGAATTATTTGTCATACAACTTAGATCCTATTTTTAATAATCTATCACCCCAAAATATAATGAAATGTAAATTAAAACACTTTATAAAGTACGGAATATATTTTGATATTATAATTTCTATACATCGGATTACATTCAATAGGAATTACCTACTGTCATTTCTGACATTTAAATTATGTTTTTAAACATCTCAATAGACATACATTGTATAAATTTTAGATTAATATATTAAGAATTAAATAAAAAATTATAAATAACATACAAACAGAAAAAAAGACATATTTTAACAACAATTTCATATGAATTACATATTTTTTTAGTAATTATAGTCGAATCCAAATTTTGTTCAGATAGAAAGTGACGGAATCTGATACGTAAAATAATCAATTGACAACTTTACATTATGTTTTATGAAGCTTACCTAGGTATATTATTTTAATGTTATATCGAGGAATTAGGAATAAGTCAAGTCGAATAACTGTTCGTTGGTTATTAATTATTATATTTTAAGCGACGCACGACTTCCAGGCCAATCCGCCGCACGCCATGGCTCCTATCAAATATATGGCGAAGGCAGCTATCACCGCTAGTATGAAGTACATCTTCATGTTTTTCCAAAACAAGGATCGCTGCAACGTCCTCGCTGACGTTCGATATGATACAGACTAGAAGAAAATTAATATATTTTATACTTTCTTTCGAATCTCCACTTCGTATGTGTTTAAAGTACCTATGCTTAACTTTTTTCAGTAACTTAATCAAACTTTTGTATATATAAACTACACAATGATTTTATTTTACTAACCTACATTATAATGTAATATATTTATTAATGTAAAAGAAAAAAACAAAAATACTGATCTCATCAGAGAACGAAAATTGTATGAAAAACATTTTTAACATTGAAAACTTTCCATATTTATAATGAATTCTAAAATAAATTCAAAAAACAAGAAAAAAATAATTATATATAAGAATTTAGTTATCTGAATAATCTATTTTAAAATAACCAGTTACATGAGAAAACAGGTATTGACTTAAGAGAATTCATAAAAAATAGCAGATATATCTTTGACCTTCAAATAAATATTTAAATTTAATTAAATAAAAAAACTATAGTGATATTAATTTACTTAAATATTATTAATTTTAAGTGTATAAAAAGACATTATGCTATCAACAGTTCCTGGTTTTTTCAACAGAACTTTCTAGAAACAAGTTCACTTCACATTGAAATTCAATCTAAAATACTGAATTAAATATATCCATTTCAATATTTTTCTCAAATTAGTACTGCCAGATACAATATAAAAATTAAATTATTTAATAATTAACTTACGCTGGTAGCTAGATTGTCCGCCTTATTTACAAGCAGTTCAAGTTTTTCACCACGCATTGCCATGCTGTCTGTAACGAAAATATATATCTTATTATTAATGCTATAGAAACTATATTACATTAAGAAAAATCCGCAAATCTTAAACTTTTTCATTATACATATCTATATAAAGGATGTAGAAATGTTCAAAAGATAGGTTAATATAGTCTACTAGCTGACCCGGCAAACATTGTTTTGCCATGTAAAAAAATAGGGGTTGGTGATAAAAAAGTAAAAATTTTGGATTGTATGTATTTTAAATGCAACATTATAAAATGAAAAATTCGTCCTAAAAAAAAAGGGTGAACAATTCTTATGACTTAGGGGTACGAAAAATAGATGTTCGTCGATTCTCAGACCTACTCAATATACACACAAAATTTTATCATAATCGTTTTGGAGTTCTCTTTCTAACACCGCGACACGAGAATTTTATATATAAGATATAAAACAGTACTATGATAAAATGGTTTTAGTATTATATGACAGATAGTAAAATATATAAGTCAGTGGTGGCCTAGTGGTTAAAGGCCCGCCTGTCTTACACAAGGGCGCGGGTTTGATTGTGATTTTTCTCAGTCATATGTACTTTCTAAGAGTATTTAGACATCACTGACAGATGAAGGAAAACATCGTGAGGAAACCTGGACTTATAATTCTACAATTATAAGTTTCAAATCACCAACCCATCTTGAGCTAATGTGGTGATTAATGCTCAAACCTTGTCCATGTGAGAAAGAGGCCTTACAGCAGTAGGCTCTGATAGGCTGATGACGACGATTTATAAAATATAAGCAGATAGCCTTGATCTCATACATAGAAAGGTTCATTTACACAACCATTTTAAAGATTAAATTTCATGTTATCCTGTTTCAATCAATTGCTACATTTGTGTATACAAAACATGCTAATATATTTTGTTATAATTAACTATTTGATCGAAAATAATTAATGCATTGATATCGTGTTTTGTTAGAACAGAAGCGAAGGCCAGATAAAACTATGTATGCATATACATTTAAAAATGAGTAATTTTTCAGCCATATTTAGCACAACTGAGGGTTTTTTTCCAAAAGAGGGTTGATGTCCGTCGGGCGGTCGGTAGTAAAAACAATTAGCCAAAACTATTCACAACATGTAAGTCGCACCCTGGCTAAAGCTGGGAAATTGCCAGGTAGAAGAAGAATTAGCATAACCAACAATGCAAAAAGCGGAGTGTTATTAACTTTATTGTGTTTTTATTTATTTATAACCCTCAAACAGATTGACCAAATTTGATTCAGTTTTTGTTTGAAAATCACATGTTGCGGTAGTTTTATTGTTTGGTAAATATATAACTTTTCCGAAATTATATAAGTCTATTCGCCTATCATTACTCAATTAAGTGTCACATGTACCAGCATAACCATTTGGATTATAAAAATGTTTAAAATATTATAATTAAATTTACAGAGTACAGTTGATATGCTATAAAGAATTTGTACTTAATACTGTGAAAAACACTATCACGAACTGAAAATAGAAAATATGTCGTTACTTTCGCCACTATATGGAATCAAGAATATTTTGGATAAAAATGCATAAAATAATACTATTATATTTAGTACGTACATATATTAAAAAAAGGAATACATAAATTAAGTGTAATAGACACTTCCTTCAATATTATTTAATTGTTAATCTAGGATCTACCTAGGACTATTCTGTACTTATTTAGACAAGCTGATGTAAAAAAAATTTTTTTCCTACAAAAATCACTGAATATTTTTTAACGAAAATTTGCGATTTTGAAGCTAATATAGCAGAACAAACAACACATCTTCATAATGAACATTAATCAACTAAGATCTATTCTTTAAATATTCTTTTGTCTCTCTTAGAATTTAATTTCAAAGTGGACAAAGACATGACAAACAACTAGTTTTCAATACAAAGCATCACAATTATGGTAAGTAATACGTTTATTTCATATAGAAACTACTTTTCAATCAAAATCTACATTCAATAAGTTGTTCATAGTATTTTACTATTTTTTTATTACTATTTTAGTTATTTTTCCGATGTTTCCGTCATTTAAAATTTATGAATATAATTATAAATAGGTGCTTCAAACCTCAGTTGAAACTAGCATATGTAACAATCATTAATTTACATATAAATGTAGGAATGTATCCTCTATGAAACATGCATATAGTCGCAATAAACATAAAACTAATATTTTCTGGAAGTATTATGCGTTTTTTATATATATTTAAGTATGTACATACTCTTAATATTTTGGTTACTTTGCAAAAACCATGATCATGGGCACACAAGATGAGAAAGTCTGTCATTCGGTCTTGATATTTGTCAAGTTAACAAAGACTAGCAAATAAAGTATCATATATAGTCTCAATAGTCAAGTTATTTTGCCTCTTTAGTATCTAAATTTAATTAAAAATCTCTATGAAATCCACGAGAAATGGTTACACAAACAAAATCAATGGTGACCAAGTCAAAATGTATATTGAATCCCTACTAACATTATAAATGCGAAAGTAACTCTGTCTGTCTGTCTGTTACGCTTACACACCTAAGCCACTGAACTGATTTTAATAAAATTTGGTACAGAGATAGAGTTGACTTTGAGAAAGAATGTAGGATAGTTTTTATCCCAGACTTTGAAAGGTTCTCTTGGAAACGCGATATAACCGAACTCCATGCGGGCGAAGCTGCGGGCGGAAAGCTAGTAATTATTATAATATTTAGATAATATATCACAATAATAGTATCCTTGGTCCGTTTGTGAAAATAAACAAATAATTAATTAAATAAATCAATCTCAATGCAACTCATTTAGTGAAGAGATAAGGAGATAGTAAACATTGTTAAGGAAAAGTTTAATTTTGTTTATATACAGTTTAAAAATTCTTAATTATATCAATAAATATCTCATATTTATTCTTGAAGCCATGCAATAAATATAATTATCTTTTGCCATTACTTTCAATGAGTCATTTCCTTGTTTTCTTTTTTTCTCTTATTATTTATATGTATTTATGATAATTATGTTTGTTTTACATACCTATGTTTTTGACCATAATGTTTTTAAGTTCATCAAGCTCTCCGTGCACTCTGGATATGGCTTCAAGATCTTTAGAGTCACTGTAGTGCTTCATCTCTGTCGCAAGGATTCTAGAAAATTCACTGTTCATTGCGTATGGTATAGCTGTTTGCGCTGTATCCCCAAATGATGTTATAAATCGCCTTTTGATCTCGTTTAGAAATAGGAATGCCCTCGAACGTTGGAATTTCTATAAAAACGATGTAGTTCTTGAGTTTTCAATTACAAAAATCTAAAACCTTATAAATCAATCGGATGAAGAGATATTGCTAAAAAACTTACGTCGTCAGTAATGCAGAAATAAACAAGCTTGTTTTCAGCGATGTAATGAAAGAGGTAATTTCCGTGAGAGTAGGTAAGTTTGTCATCGTGGGGCGGTATCTTCGATAATATTTGTTCTGTAACTTCTGTAAAATTTCCGGCACACGTTGCATATTTTGCTAAAACCACTGTTCCACGAGCAACCACACTGAACAAAATAGGCATTTTTAACAATAGACGGAGACAATGAAAACACAATGGAGATAATAATTGCAATACGTTAACTCTTGATTTGTTATATCTATATATTTAAAAATGGATATTGTAATCTCAAATATTATAATAACGTAATTAAGATAATATGTTGATAATTTTTAAACAATTTCCAGAAAAACTGCAATTATACACTCAACACCCAACAAAATACAAATTGCGAATAAGGATTGTGCTAGTCTACTAATGTAACTGACATTGACAACTTTCTACTAAGTATCGGTCACTATTCAAAACGCTTTGAACTCTAGTTTGCTGAAATTTAAAATTAAATAAATATTTAAAATTCGATCAAACTGAAAGAAATAGCCTCGTAATATATAAAATAAATAGAATTTCACAAAAAATGTCGTCTATTATTAGATCGATATAAAATACTTATAGAGCATTTATTAAATGTAAAGTTTATATTTTGTGATTTTTATTTAGTACGCGAAATCATTTAGTAAATTGTTTACATATTGTATTTACTATATTTTTATGATGTTACGTATAAATGTATAAAATATGTCTACATATATCTATTACAAATGTATAAAAAAAAAATGTCAAAAATTTTTTTCATTAATATTTTATTGAAATCAAATGATAACTTGCTTCTTGTTAAAAAAAACTGCTCATTCAAAAAGAGGTCTACAAGTAAAAGAAAACGACAAAGGATATACCTAAATTTTTTATTAGCATGTTAAGTAAATATTTACACGTATTTGCAATAAATAAATAATAACATATATCACCTCATAATTAATATTTAAGACAATAATCCATTTATCAAGAGAATTTTCAGTTATATCTTATTTTAAGCTGTTAAATATAGCAGCTGAAAGTTAAATATACTAACAAAGGCACTTGTAGGTTTTCACTTAAGTTTTTTATATAATATACTTATTTAATATTTAAAATAACTTCTGGGTATGTTTACAGAAATTTGATTATTAAAATGTTTTATTTTACATGTTTTTCCAGACATTCTATAGCATTTATAGATTTTACCTTTAAGTATAGTTCTACAGTGACTGATGATGATGTAAAGTAATTTAAAAATATTAAAAAACAACTTTAATCAAAGTAATCATCTATATCAATATCGGGATTGAGAATATCATCACCGAAAGGACTTAAATCAATCTGATCCAGGATTAAATTTTCACACATTTCCTCCAAATCTGTTTCCCCGATCAAAATAGCACCTTGAAGTCTCCCATTTTGTAATACAAACTTAATATATTCTTTTTGAGGAGTCGTTCTTAATAGGATCTCGTAATCCCTACCAAGACCTTGTCCATTATACTTCCCTAACAGTACAACTCTGTAACCAAAAAGTGTAGTGCAGTGTGTGAATAGTTCAAAACAGAAGTCTTGCCATATATCTTCATTCACGATCCTCGCATGCATTGATTTGGCTGCCATTCCAGCCATCTGCCTCGCCTGAGTCCATAATCTCAATTGAAACCAATGCGGAGAGGTTTGCCAATCAGCAAATACAACATCACCTGCAGCAAATACATCCTTAATAGAAGTCTCTTGAAATTCATTCACCGCTAATCCTCCATCTGGTCCTCTCTTCGGTTCCCGATCCCAGGCAAAATTAACGGCAGGTTCTACTCCCGTGGCAGAAACCACAAAATCACACTTAATACTTCTACCATTTGTCAACTTCACTTCTAAAGCATACTCCTCGTTAATTTCAACAACAGACTCAACTTCAACCTTGTAAATAATTTCCAATTCCTGTTCACCACTCTCATTTTTGGTGTTTTCTAATTTTTTATACCAATCTGGACCGAGCGCTGCCGATTTTATATCCTTATTTAATGATACAACAGTATCTTCTTCTGTAAACACATGTCTTTTTAACACAGTCTGGTTATTTACATTACTTTTATTTTTAAAACTATTCTGAAAAAATTCGGCCGCTCCAGGGTCAACGAAAGTGGCGGATATATAATCATCTCTTATAACCCACACTTTCTGGATGCCGGTTGTTGCGTGAACAATTTCTGATGCAATACCACCATTACCTACGATGACCATTCTATTCCCGTTAGTTAATCTCTCCTGAAACTCCTTAACTGACTCTGTATCTCTAATACCTAGGATTCGTTTACTTTTATTTGAGTCAATAAGTTTTGGTAACCCACCAGTACATACACACACAACTTCATAATGAACTTCAGTTCCATCATCTGTTAAGGCTATCTTATTCTTAGTATCAAGAAACTTCAATGAATCATATACAATCTTGAGGTTCGGGTGTATTTTCATCAAGGAACTTGCTTCTGTATCCGCAACATCAAATTTTACTACAGTCTTGGCGTAGAAACTGACATTGGTTACTCTTTTCACCAGCGAAGACGCGGTTACGATTACGAGATTTTCTTCTGGATGCAAAATAGCTAGGGTTTCCACGCACGTAACTCCTGCTATACCGCCTCCGATAACTAAATATTTAGTCTTAAATTTAGACATTATGGGAAGGATTTATATCAATTTTTGATTTTCCCATAGGTACATATTTTCTGTTATAATTAAAAAATTTGCTTCAAGTTACACTTATATCGATGCTAGTTCTAATCAAAATTTGTTTTGATTATCAAATCGTCAAATTGACGTTTGACAGTTGTATCATGTTAGCTAGATACCTAGGTAGGTATTTAACTAAAGCGTGTAATGGATATCAATAATAGTAGTTCCTACTGATAAACATAAGCCATTATTTAATATTATGAAGTACCGATGTATTTGGACATGGAATTAGAATTTTAATACTCTAATTTACTCTCATTAGTATTAAGTAGTAAAAGGAAGTCGTAATTAACTTTTTAATTAAGCTTTTTAGATCTTTTTGTAAGAATCTGATAACTATTTTTCTATTATCACTTATGTTATTATTTATTTATTGGCCATTTGACAAAAACAATAAGCATTAGCTGTCAAAATCTTTTTAGATAACAATAAATAATTTATGACATTTTTATTACGTAAGATATTGAAATAGTATTAAATGTCTTACTGATGTATTCATGGCAGCCTTTTGATGCCTAGTTATTATGAGAACAAAATGGGTACTTCAGTAAAATTAACAAATAAGCACGTATTTTTAAAAACGTAAAGAGATTTGAGACTTAATTTATTACTTTTACAGCCTTAATAAAACTTGTAATTAAGTTATGAGTATTTTGAATTTATTATGAACCAAAAGCATTCATAGTAACAATTATACCTATAACATTTTCCAATTATCACCTTTTATTATGATACTTTTTCTGAATAATTTACATAATAAAGATACAGTTACCTACAATAGCTGTTTATTAATCTTACAAAAGTTTTGTTACATTTTGTAAAATATTATTTTATGCTTTAAATTGGCTAATAAACTGTTTAAAAGATGTTTTATCGTGAATAATATAAAATAGTAAAGTTGTTGAAAATTAGAAATCGGAATATTTACGTGAATTATAGTTTAAAGTTTTTAATTACCTCTATTCAAATAAAAATGAAATAGGTCCAAGTACCTAATATCAAAAGACTTTCATACTATACATATAGCAGCCAAAGGAATAATTATTGTATCTATTTATTTTATTTTATTAAATTTCCGTTCCAACATTTTTATATTTCACTTTATACATAGAAACTGATAATGTTTAGTAAACACTATATTTTGTCTTTTGGAATACAACATATTAAAGGTTGTTAGCATTTTATTAATTTTTTAAAATAATATGTACATTGAAACTGAATGCCGAATGTTTTCAATCTTTGCCTCACTAAAAAATATAACATTGAAAAAAATTAACAATCAAAAATATTGACAGTCAAATCGATGACATCAAAACATCAATAATTACTGGATGTAAATCCGGTGATAAAAAATTAATTTTATCGTAAATAATACGAAAAAAACTCAAATGTATGCATAAAAATGTGAGGGAATAATAGTTTAATAACTATTTATAATAAGATAAGCAAGAACGAGGCACAATTTCAATATTTTGTTGAATTCCTTTTATATATCGTCAATATTTAACAATCATGACTAAAGTTTTTATTTATTTTCTTGTTCCCTTATGCATATCGTCTGTATATTATTTCTCTTTCCTTTGGAATTTCACGTACTTATCCATTCTTAGTGTTTGTCTCATAACTTGTGTTTTCGTGCTTACACTTTGTGGTCATCTCTCTTTGTCGTCTCCTCATCAAACATCCACGTTTTTGCTCGATAACATAGAGAAAGAAGCTCGACAATTGGAAACTGCTTTACGGGTTTGTACATTGAAGTTTTACTAACTATATATTATAAAATTTAAAAAATCGCGTATATACAACTTAATTTTACAGGACGATCAAAATAATTGGGTGTATGTCACGAAAAAGCCTCACCTACCGGTCATTTTCGGTAGAACAGTTGACAGTCAACTCCAACTGATAATAGATTATTTTATAAGGGACTTTGTAACTCAATGGTTGAAGGAGCTCTCGCACAAGCCAGAACCAGTGATTGACAAATTCAAAGAGCATATATGGACAGCCGTGCAGAACTTGTACGACAGACTGTTGAAAGTTGATGCCGAGAAACTAATAGCCAATGACGTGGTCACGAAAATCACACAACATTTTGAAAGGATAAGGATAGCGAGAAGCTGTGCGTAAGTATGACAATATTTGATTTAATAAATTCATTTTTATCATAAACATATAACTCCTTAATTACTTTCATTATAATAAATTTAGTATCATTTCTGGCTACAACAACTTACTGAAAAGTAATTATATAGTAAGCTAAACTGTAAAATTTAAAAAATGCTGCTAAAATCTAAAAAACATGATAGTTTAAGTGTTACTTGAAAACTATATGTTATGTATTAGTTATGCTTGCCCAATATTGTTAAAATAATAATAAGATGTCAAGTGTAATGTAGGTAGATTACTTTATATTATTAGTTGCTGTCATTCAGTTTGTTACACAATAGATACATGATTTTAATAAAGTTTTATTTAATACTGAAATATTAATAGTATAATAGTGTTTTCTTCTGGCAATTTCCCAGCTTTAGCCAGGGTCTGCCTTACATGTTGTGAATAGTTTTGGCTAATTGTTTTTACGACCGGCCACCTGCCAAACATCAACCCTCTTTGGGAATGCATTAATCAGTGATGTCTAAATACTCTTCGAAAGCACATATGACTTTGAAAAATCACATTGGTATTTGCCAGGATCGAACCTGCGCCCTCATGTATCCGAGGCGGGCTTTTTAACCACTAGGCCACCACTGATTTTAATTAGTATAATAGTGTATAATATTTGAATTGTTTCAGATTGGAATTGAATCAGCCCCCAGTATTTGCTCTCGCTCCTCACCTGATGTCGAGTGAAATGGAACTACACTACCTGAGGCAGATCAGTGAGTTCCTCGTGATGTTTCTGATGCCAAGATGCTACTCGCTCTCTCCTGTCAGTTATCTCATTAGGGAAATATTAGTTTGTAAAAGTAAGTACTATATTATTTGGTTACTAGTTTTTACTTACTGTCTGTAACATTAAATTTATGAAGAAAAATGTATAGTGTGTTAAAACAATATATAACAGCAGTAAAATTTATACTGTGTCAAATGACTTCATGCTGAAAACAATTGTTTTGTTGATTCATGTTATTCTGGGATAAATTATACTATGTTCTTCTGATAAGTAAGCTATATTATTGTAGTTTCATCAAAATATATTTATTAATTTTTATGTAAAAGAGTGAAAACATCCATCATTCCATATTAATAAACTTTTACTAAAATGTAAATATTAAAGGACCATACAAGATGTTTTAATTCATTATATACTAGCTTTTCGCCCGCAGCTTCGTTCGCGTCGAGTTCGGTTATATCGCGTTTCCAAGGGGGCCTTTCTAAAGTCTGGAATAAAAACTATCCTATGTTCTTTCTCAAGGTCAACTCTATGTCTGTACCAAATTTCATTTAAATCAGTTCAGTGGTTTAGGCGTGAAAGCGTAACAGACAGACAGACAGACAGAGTTACTTTCGCATTTAGAATATTAGTAGGAATTTATATATAGTAGTAGATTTCAACATATTATAATAACCCAATTAAGACAAATTGCTTAGGCAGAGTATCAAGAACATCTATCTGAACATTTTATAACTTCTGTATCCTTACTTTTAGTTTACAGTGTAACTAAATACAGACGGTTTACAGTATTTTGTTAATATATCATTAAATACATTACCATTAGTATCAGCGTAGGTATAATGAAAGATTTAAATTTATATTGACCTGTTATAATAATTGAAGATAAGGGTACATTGTCTTAAGTTTAATCTTAAAATTTGAATTTTATGGATAGTTCAAATACAATGCCTTTAAAAATATAAAGTAATATATGTATATATACAGTTTTCTTTAAATTCATGTATGTATATATTTGTTTGTTACTTTGTCACAGTTAGTGCCATGAAAGAAAAATCATTTTGTATATACTAGCTGAGACCGTGGCTTCGTCCACTGAGCAATCGTAAATCGTAATGTTTAATTAAAAGAAACATTTTATAACTTTATATCTTTTAGTATGTTAAAGAGTGGAAAGAAAAATATAACGTACTAATGAAATTTGCAATATTTATTCCAGACTGAATTTCAGTTGACAGAGAGTTTTACAATCTTATATGTTTAAAGTACATATAAATGTTAATTAGTTTTTGCCCGCGAATTCGTCTGCGTCAGTTTCAGAATTAGAAATAGATACATAGTTGACCGGGCGAAATCTATTCTTCCTTAAAGATAAGAAGATTTTGGATTTGATCAACTTTTTTTTGCATTCAATTGGATGAAAAGTATCTTATGTCGTTTGCCTATTTCTAAGCTTCCTCTCAAATAATTTGCATCCAAACCCATACAGATGTTTTTGAGTTATAAATAGTGTAGCTAACACGACTTTATTTTATGTATAACTAGCTTTCCGCCCGCAGCTTCGCCCGCGTGGAGTTCGGTTATATCGCGTTTCCAAGAGAACCTGTCAAAAGTCTGGGATAAAAATTATCCTATGTTCTTTCTCAAGGCCAACTCTATGTCTGTACCACATTTCATTAAAATCAGTTCAGTGGTTTAGGCGTGAAAGCGTAACAGAGAGACAGAGTTACTTTCGCTTTTATAATATTAGTAAGGATGATACAATAAATATGTTTGATAGTTCTTCAGCCAGCCATAAATCTAGTCACGGATCCAGATTACATAAACCAGAAGATAGTACAATATTTGGAGGCGCAGAAGGAAGTTGACGCTATGCATGTGAGGACACACGAATATGCGAAGACCTTCGAAGATTACATACGACTTATAAACAACTGTAATAATGTTGACACACTGAAAAGACTGCGGTGAGTTAATAGACTGTGACATTAGCTAACTGAGTAACTGACTTTTACTTTTTATAGTCTGTGTGTATTGTTTAATGAGGTTATGACTTAATGAGGTTTTAGTTGTTTATGGATTACGCAAATTATATATAACTAGCTTTCCGCCCGCAGCTTTTCCCACGTGGAGTTCGGTTATATCGCGTTTCAAAGAGAACCTTTCAAAAGTCTGGGATAAAAACTATTCTATGTTCTTTCTCAAGGTCAACTCTATCTCTGTACCAAATTTCATTAAAATCAGTTCAGTGGTTTAGGCGTGAATGCGTTACAGACAGACAGACAGAGTTACTTTCGCATTTATAATATTAATAGAGATAAATATATTGACGTTTATAATTTATATTTTAATATATTTGAAATTAAATACTTATTAATTTAAATGACGAAATTCATATCTCGTCTTAATGATCACGGTTGCTGTAAAGTAGCCGAAACGTCGGGAGTATGTAATTTTTTTTAATCAAAAATGAAGTCGCGTAGTATATATGAAAAATATTAGTTTCATTTAAATGAATAAACTCATTAAATACTTATTAAGAGAAACGCATTTATTTAGTTTAATGAGATTTTCTATGGTTTTTTTCTCAGTTACGACATAGTGACCCAAATCATGCAGGCAACCACACTACAGAACGTGAAGCGAGCGAAAGGGATAGATATAGATGTTATTGAGAAAGGAGGGAACCATAATATAAGCAGACAACAAGTGAGCGACGCCAGGAAACTAAAGCGATATATAGACCAGCTGACCATCGCTAAGGACGAGTGTGAAGAAGCTTTGAGGAGGTTGGGGTGGGACGGAGCATTCCCTGCCGTGGAATCTGATAGTAAGGTAATGCTACATATAGTAGTGGATAGTGCAAATCCACGTAACTAGCATTGGATAATTCCGCGTATATATATTAGAAGCTGATCAGAAGAAAGTTTGAATTGAAATATTTTATATATTAATTAATATGACAGTGGTGGCCTAGTGGTTAAAAGGCCCGCCTCTCATTCACTAGGGCGCTGGTTTAATCTTGGCCCTGGCAAATACCAATGTGATTTTTCCGAGTCATATGTACTTTATAAGAGTATTTAGACATCACTGATTAATGCATTCCCAAAGAGGGTTGATGTCAGGCAGGCGGCCGGTCATAAAAACAATAAGCCAAAACTATTCACAACATGTAAAGCAGACCCTGGCTAAAGCTCGGAAATTGCCAGGACGAAGAAGATTTTCTATGAGTTTTATGATTAATGACTTTTAAGGTAATTTTTTCACAATCAGTAATTATAATTTAATGTTTAATTTATTATGGTAGGTAGAAGGATTTGCACTATCCCCGACGACATGCCATTTCAGTTTTATACTAAAATTATTTCAATGGAGCGTACATAATATATTAATTTATGTTATAATTCTAAATAATGTTTTTTTGATAAAGCATCACTGATATATTTTTGTGTGATAATAATACAAAATCATGAAATAGTATCGTTTAAGAGATCGCTATAAAAGAATGAATAGCATTTTCTTCATTGCTGATAAAACTATGTATAGGTGATGTTTAATTAATGCCCTAAAATAAAGAACAAATTTGACCAAGTATGTTGAATGGGTTATGTATATGTATGCAGGTGAAAGGTAAATAAGATTGTATTTAATGAACTACTAGCTACGCCCCGCGGTGTTACCCGCGGATTTCCGGGATGTAAAGTAGCCTATGTGTTATTCCCGGACGTCAGCTTCCTGTATACAAAATTTTATCAAAATCGGTTCAGCCGTTTGATCGTGAAGAAGTAACAAACATACATACACACACAAACTTTCGCAACTATAATATTAGTAGGATGAGTCTCACATACTCGTGTATGCCCCAGGCGTTGCCTCTCCACAAGGTCATATCGAGCGTGACTGGTCGGAAGTATTTATCGATGTTCTTGGAAACCCTCTGCTCTCAAGGGCTTGTGGGTTTTTGGGCAGCTGTGGACGAACTCCGACACAGCCCGAGGAGTAACTGGCATCAACTAGGAGCTGAGATCTTCTATACTTACATTAGATCGCCAAGTGCTGAAGTGAAAGTTGATAAGGTAGGTTTATCAATGGATGTATTGCTTGAAACTAATTTTCGTATTACTACGCATATTTTATAGTGTTTAATTCATGTTAGTAACTTGGAAAAAGAGGCAAAGACGGATCACTTAAACGTTGGGCTGACGATATAAAAGAATAAGTAGGCAAAATCTGGTTGACATTTCCCAAAATAGGGACAAATGGAAGTAATTAGAGGAGCCTTTTACCCGGAACGGGTTCGTGTAAAGGAACAAATAGAAATATATAACAAATACAATTACAAACTAACCTAGTTCAAGGAATCTACTAACCCTTTGAAATGTTACTTAGTTTACACTGAAATAAAAAAGCTTTATTATTATTATTTAACGCGCGTTAGATAGGGGAACCTTAAACCTACACTTGGGTCGCAAGTCCCAGTCACTGTTGAAGCTCCTCTCGCTACAACGATGGACCTGACACACGCACGGTGGAAACATAGAATAATAAGAGCTTTCGTCTGTCTTTTGAACTAGATACTCCCGATGTTTCAGTTATATTACAGCAACTGTGATTAAGAGACGAGATGTGATCACGGTTGCTGCAAAGTAACCGAAACGTCGGGAGTATATAGTTCCAAATAATAAAAAACGCGTAGTAATGCGAAAATATTAGTTTCATTTAAATGAATACTCAAAAGTCTTAGATCTTATTATGTATTGCTTACAATTCATTATAACAATTGTATTTGGTCTTTTATTTATTTTTAAACAAGTCCCTCATGATTTATTAATAAACATTATTATTTACAGGAAACCAGAAAAAGAATGGAGGGATTTCTTCTAGGGGATAAAGGTCCGGAAGTGTTTTACGAGGTTCAAGATATAGTGGTCGATACCATACAAGACAAATACTATCATTCATTCCTCTTAAGCGACCAGTATAAGGCTTTGGTTGCTGAATTAGCCACTGAGGAGGCGAGCGATCCAGGTGATTATGAAGAAGTAGATTTCAGTATCCCTATATATCCTTGGATAATTGTGGATCAATAAAAAATAGATTATATTCATAAAAATTTATAATATGGCCTAAAAACTCTAGAAGATTTGCAGTTTCGAGACCTGCTAGTATGAATTGGGTATTAGCATGGTTTTTCATACCATTAAATAATTATATATTCATAAACAGTTAAACTATTTAATAAAATTATTGTTAAATTTTAAACGAATAGGTAGCTCCCTCTACCGTTTATGATGTCATTGTGCATATTCCATTCAAATTCGTTCGCGCCGATCCACTCACAGAATGTTTTAATAATTTTATATGCATATTACGTCAGACAAATCACGTCACGTGATTTTTACATCATATTGGACAAATTATATATATTTATTTAAAATATTAAATTTTAATCTTACTTAAGTATTTTATATGTAAATTAAAGAATTTATTTCCTGAGCTTTAAATGCAAAATCATTTTCATGCAAATACCCAATAGTTTCTTGTATAGAAACTTTTATTACAATATTTCTTTGTAAAGACCAATAGTTATGTATTTTCCAGGGTTGTGCTCTGAAAGATCTCCCATAGACGAGCGTCAGGGTTGTCACGAAGCGACTTCTGAAGTGAACGCCTTGACGGAACACTCCACGTACGCGAGACGGAAATTGGACCAACTGCAGGAGAGACACAATAATAAGACACAGGTTTAACACTATATACAAGATTTGACTAATAAATACTAATACAGTAGAAACTCGATTAACCGAACTAATTGTTGTCGATAGGCATCGAAAATCCTAATAATAGAATGTATGGAGAAAAGCCGGTTTTGTGCATATGTAGTTCATAATATTATATTTTTATTTAAAAAAATAACGAATACATATCAACGAAAATCAATGTTTATTAATTAATAATTAAAGGATATATTTTCTTAGATTACATATAAGTGTATGTACTAAAAACTGCAGATTTAATCATGAATTAAAATGATAAATTTAATTTGGTTTAGAATATTTGGTTTTTGTCATTTGACGTATGCCACTCTCAACAACACTACTCTCTTACACTTTGACACTCTTTCTTGTCGGGACTTGTCCGTAGTCCGGATAATCGCGAATCCATATAACTGAGGGCCGGATAATCAAGTTTCTATTGTATATAAGAATAATTATTGGTATTTTTTTCATTAATATCTCAAAAGGTACAATCAGGCATAAGTTCTCGGGTTCGATTCCCCGCTGTGACAATATTATACAGATCGTAACATTAAAGAAAATCTTGCAATTATGACGTCCAAAAACCTATAATACATTGTAACAATATTTTTAAGTCAACCCTAAAGTTGTAGAGCCTAGCTGTGGTCAAGTTACTATCGCTCGAACATGGGCTGGCTCGAAATAAAGTACCACCTTCTCACAGAAGATCGGCGTGAAGTAGCCTTTAATGACTGCGTTTCGTTCGATGAGTGAGAGAGACGGTAGCTCTTTTTCTTTTTCCCTTCCTTTCCCACTTTTTCCTTCCTTTCTTTCCTAATCAATTGTGATACATCCTCAACATTTTTCACGTTGCAGATGTCCATGGGTGACAGTACTTCCTCCATCAAGTAGGCTGTCTGTTTGGTTGCCTTCTTTACCAAAAAAAATTGCTTAATTTTCCAGGCGTTGGCAGCCCTACGAGCCTCATTAAAGCCCGAGTCGCCAGCCCTAGCGATGTTGGCGGAAGAAGTGGAGCGTCTGGCCGCTGAACAAATGAGACTAGAAGCGCATTTGGCGAGAACTGATACATGGGCTGAGAACCTTGGACTGTGGCGTGCTACTGTACATAGTGCTGAGGTGAGATATTTATATATATACTAGCTCTCCGCATACAGCTTCGCCCGCGTGGAGTTCGGTTATATCGCGTTTCCAAGAGAACCTTTCAAAAATCTAGGATAAAAACTATTCTATGTTCTTTCTCAAGGTCAACTCTATCTGTACCAAATTTGGTTAAAATCAGTTCAGTGGTATAGCCGTGAAAGCGTAACAGACAGATAGATAGACAGAGTTACTTTCGCATTTATAATAGTAGTAGGGCTACATACATGGGCTGTATGGACTATATCAGTAGGGAAATAATACTTGGTATAATGAGCCTTTCCGCTTTGTTTTCTGAAGCGATGACTCAATAACGTAATTTGTACCAACAATAAAGGGGTGTGTAGTATGACAGAAGCTGTCTGATTTTGCCTTCGTTCTTTGTAAGGAGGTTTTCTTAATTAATTTTCCTTGATACACCGTCTTAGTACAAAAAAAATAATATGTGAACCAAAACATAATGAGATCTAAGACTTTCGCGAGTTTTCATTTTGTTATATCTAAATAAAACTATCGTAAATGGATTTGTTAAACTTTTTCAAGGTTCCGGAGGCTGGTTTGAATTTTTCTTTGGTTAAATTATCTCAGACTCACTACATTCGAACATTTCCTATATATATATACTTTTCAACGATTTATCTTAGCAATATTCCTTGTATATTTCCAGATGGTGGAAGAATCCCGACCCCAATTCGTAGTGGTGGTTCACGCGCTACAGCCCGAAGAAGAGCGTGGCCCGCGACCCGAGCAGAGAGCGGCTGGGTGGGTGCTGCTCCGGAGCGCTCACGACTTCCAGGTTAGAAGGGGGAAAAGGGGGGAATGTCTTCAGATAGTACTAGAATAGAAAATACATCCGTTCAGGGCATTCGACTTTACCAGTAGCTTAGAATATCAAAATATAATATAACTAGCTTTCCCCCCGCAGCTTCGCCCGCGTGGATTTCGGTTATATCGCGTTTCCAAGAGAACCTTTCAAAAGTCTGGGATAAAAACTATCCTATGTTCTTTCTCAAGGATAACTCTATGTTTAGGCGTGAAAACGTAACAGACAGACAGACAGACAGAGTTACTTTCGCATTTATAATATTAGTAAGGATTTAGTAATTGACATAATATAAATCTATGTTAGTAATAATATGAATTCTAATATAAGAATTAAATAAGAGTGTATTTAGATTGTTCTTAGTTTTATCATTTCACTTTTCAAATTTACTTAAAGGTCTTGAAGTTTAATAAGTCACAATTTAATTCCCGATTAAAAATTACTTTTCATTGCAATGCATTCATTCATTAGACAGCATGGTTTAATAATTGTCTTGCGACTACTTTTTTGGCTATTTATATTTACAAATATTGTATTAAATCACATTATATTTACAAAATAACATGTTTTATTTCAGGAGCTGCACAGGAAATTGAGACCGATGTGTTCAGAATTAAAAAACTTAGAACTACCATCCAACTCATTCAAATTCATGTTCGGGAAGAACGATAAGAATTCGCTAGAAAAAGCCAAAATGTTGATACAAAAATATTTAGAAGTGAGTTTTAATGGTTTTTATTATATATTTACATACAAATAACTTGTTTATTATATATAAAGTAAATAAGTCAGTGGTGGCCTAGTGGTTAAAAGGCCCACCTCTCATTCATGAGGGCGCGAGTTCGATCCTGGCAAGTACCAAAGTGATTTTTCCGAGTCATATGTGCTTTTTAAAAGTATTTAGACATCACTGATTAATGCATTCCCAAAGAGGGTTGATGTCAGGCTGGCGGCCGGTCGTAAAAACAATTAGCCAAAACTATTCACAATATGTAAGGCAGACCCTGGCTATAGTTGGGAAATTGCCAGGTAGAAGAAGAAGATAAAAATATATTTGTTGTTATAGTTTGTTTTAGAAGACGACAGACTGAACCAAAGCGAAGCTCTATACACTTTCCTGAACCCGAGCTCCGAGTACCTCAAACAATGTGATCTGCCGAAGAAGAATAAGTTCTCATTCTCTACACTATTTAAAAGGTATTATATATTATATATATGGTAAAACTTTACATAATCATTTATATTTTTTATGCTGGCAATAATTTCTAAAAATAACGCATTTCATTACAACTAGCTGCGTCCCGCTGTGTTACCCATGTATTTCCGGGATGTAAAGCAGCCTATTTGTTATTCCTGGACGTCAGCTTCCTGTATACAAAATTTTATCAAAATCGGTCCAGCCGTTTGAGCGTGAAGAAGTAACAAACATACACACACTCACAAACTTTCGCAATTATAATATTAGCAGGATTCATTGCTATGCTTAATAAAACAAATAAGTCTGTATATACACATTTATATAAAATAAAGTAATGAATGAACGAATGAATGATTGAGTGAATGTATTCATTCATTATTAATGATGTAAGTCATTAATGTATGCTTGCTACAAATTTCATTTTTTTTGTCTTCAGTATAACTGTATAATATATGTAATGTATATGTGTAGCAAAAATAAAAAATAAAATAAATAAATATATGATTTGTGCAGCACTAGTAGCGACACAACGAACAGATCGTCCCAAGAGAAGGAGGGACCGAGTCTGTCTGATGATGATGAGATGTCTCTGTACCTGGACGGAAACGGGGACTCGCTGAAACACGGGGGAACTGTGAGGGGTTAGTAACTATGATGTAACATACGTACATACACACATACATACAGTGCGTTTGATTTAAGCTGAGCTTTGCCTTTGTGTGAGTGCACACGGATAGTAAGTAAGTAAATATTCTTTATTGTACTCCAAAGACTAAATAAATTATACAGTAATTGCAAAGCTCGATCGAAATGTACAATTGGCGGCCTTATCGCTAAGCAGCGATCTCTGCCAGGCTACCATGTTAAGACATAGTAATTTGTAATTAAACGTTTTAGATGTACATATATGAGAGACAAACATACTTATACGAAATTATATATATACATCGTCAACATATGTTTACTATGATACTACATTCAATATATAGTAAACTATATGTATAATTTATACTACAGTTTAAATATGACTATAAGTAACATGCAATAATAAATTTAAAATATAAGATAGTGTAGGTGTGATGTCAAATTTTTGAATGCCACGTTCTTTCTTAGTTTTGAACCGGTTTTTTCTGCTTTTACTACGACCCGCACCTTCCTCACGTCACCCTTTGTACTGGTAGGAACGTCTAATGTTTAAAACACAATGTCAAGTGAAGAAGAATTTGTATAGGATTTTCAAAAATGTTATTAATTCATTTTTTTTCATAATATTTCAATCTGGCTTTTACATGTTTTGCTAATTTAATTTTGAATCTAGAATAGCTCTCCCACTTATGTTATGTATCTATTTAAAATATAATAAAATTAAATTCAGAAAGTTTTTTGTATAACTCTACTTTTACTTTCACTCACACAAATGCAAAGCTCAGCTTAAGTCTAACGGACTGTACAATAGTCATACGAGCTTAAATAATTTTGATAAAATATAAAATACATGTATCTATAAATCAACAATGAAAACATTGATGAATACATTTGTAAGTATAATTATTTAGAAACACATTATAAGCATATTCTAGTTCGCCGTATATGAATTCATACAAAATTATACTAATAATGTTATCTACAATAAAAATTATATACTTTAATTTGTCGTCACAATATACAGGGTGACTGGTGAATTACTATCAATATTTAAGGAGCATACTCGGTACATGATTCTCATTCGAATTATGTAAAAAAAATAGGTACTTAATTTTTGACCAAATTTCCGTATAAATAAATAAAGTTTGGACATGTACTCAGCTTTGCCGGCGCCAGTGTGTCGCTACTCCCCAACCCCCGCCCCGTGGCTAGCGGGCCATTAGTCGGCTATTAGTCGCGCGAGCGCCGCCGTAAGGTCCGTACGTTCGTCTTCCCGCGCGCGCGCCTAGCGATCGATCTTACGCGTATACCTAATAATAATCTGTCGTGTGTGCGTGTGACCCGTTATTACTTATTAGTAATTAAATATGGCTTTTCAATACACAAATGCAGAATACTTGGACATGGTTCATGCGTATGCGCGTGCAAATGAAAGCTTGCCGGGCGCAATCAATTTGTACCGGGAGATGTTCCCCAATCGTCGAGTACCTACGGCCAGCGTCATCTTAAACGCTAATCAAAGATTACGAGACTTCGGACAGTTCCGTGTTCCAACACATGCCCAAGGAAACGTCTTGTGTATGCTACAGAGTATGTCAACAGAGAGGAGTTGAAATTAAAAATCAATAGTGATTTCGAAACTATTAAAAGTGACCCATTCGTATTAAATCGTGTGAAAGACAATATGTGTAAACGTGCCGAACTGTGTATCACACGAGAAGGAGCTGGCTTTGAACATTTGTTAAGGTTAGTGTAGTTATGTAGGTAAATAGGTAGTTTAATGATTGACAATTGTTGTAAATAAGAATGATTCCATTTTTAAATACGCCGGAAATACCAAGATAGGTAAACAGTTCATATTATTTTTTGTGTCAAGGACACACCATTTACCTAGTCAATAAATTGGTTGCTTAAACGAAAGAAATATCTTGGTATTTTTGCCTGTCCTAAGCCAGGATTAAAGTATGAAGGGAAATGGATCATTTTTGTTTATCTAAGGTCTAACACGCGGCGGCGCGCGGCGTTTGGATGTAGGTAAACTAAAGCGCGATAACTACATATACCTACGTACATAACTGTTTTGTGTCGATAACGCAGCTAGGGTATCCACGCGATCCGTAATTAATTACATAACTTTTGGTTAACTTTACTTAGAAGTTTATTAATATTTATGTTATATTAATTTTTATTTTTTCATATATGATCGTCAACTACCACGTCCTTAAATATTGATAGTAATTCACCAGTCACCCTGTATATGGCAATACTTATTTTTTATATTAATTTCTTACATTCCTAATCTATATATTTTTGTTTCAGGCGTGGGCCCTTTAGTAGAGGAGCGTGACAGTATAGCAGAGCCTCTGTACGCGTTGTTGAGTGAAGTGTTCGACATGAGAGGAGTGTTCCGCTGGCTCAGAAGAACTCTAGTCACATTCGTGCAAATAACGTACGGAAGGACCATCAACAGGTATTATATGCAAAAAAGTGGAAGATACTTCAAATATAAGCATATAGAGGATTTTATGTATGGTACATGTTAAACATAGTAGTGACATCTATCCACAAAAAATAAATTTTAATTTTGTTGATTAAACCAAATAAAATCTTTGAGAAACGTCAGTATAAATTTAGTAATATAATGAGATCTAAGATTTTCGTGAGTCTCATTCATTTAAATGAAACTAAAATCTTTTGGATACACTACATACGCGACTTTATTTTTGATTATACACCACATACTACCGACATGTCGTTTTAATGATCACGGTTGCTGAAAAGTAGCCGAAACGTCGGGAGTATGTAGTTTTATTTGAAATATATTAAATTCATATAAATTAGTAATATAATAGTATATGAGTCATGTTTATCTATACTATGTATGTATGTTATACGTAATGTTCCAGACAGATCAAGGAGACGATCTCGTGGCTGTTCTCGGAGCAGATGCTGCACTACTACAGCACTTTAGTGCTTAAGTCGTGGTGGCCGGGCGGAGTGCTCACACATGGGAACAATAACAGGAATATACGGGACAAGGGTAATATTATAAATGCGAAAGTAACTCTGTCTGTTTGTTACGCTCTCACGCCTAAACCACTGAACTGATTTTAATGAAATTTGGTACAGATATAGAGTTGACCTTGAGGAAGAACATAGGATAGTTTTTATACCCCAGACTTTTGAAAGGTTCTCTTGGAAACGCGATATAACCGAACTCCACGCGGGTGAAGCTGCGAGCTGAAAGCTAGTATTATATGTTTCTCGTATAATTGACCTTAGTTGGTAAATAAATCCTGTATAAAAATCTTATTAAAATGGGTCGATCAAAGTCACAAATCAATCGAAATAAAGAAACATATATGTTCATATTTTAATCAAAAAGCTTATTGGATGAAGTATCACGATGACGTCACTCGAATCCTGCCTTATATAACTCCTACGTATTAACTGTGCACCTCGCTCTGTGACGTCATTAGGACGATACCGCTTGCAAAAAACTGAGAATTATATAAAAAATATATAAATTATATTTTTTTTTACGTTGATAAAGGGTCGTTTTTATGATAAGGCGTCATACTACTAGGTCATTTTACTCACGAAGTTTTCCAATTAAAGAGATACATATTATATACATATACACAGTCCATGACCGATATGATATTACAGCTTAACAATAAAAAAAACGGCAAGTGGACGCTAGATTTTTCATTGCGGTGACACTTTTCATAGTCTAAGATCATTTTTGTATTTAATAATAAGTAAATGCAAACATGCTGTCGCGAATGCGGGGCGCCGCGCGGGGTAGCGGGAGAGGGATCGCATTCCAGAGAAGTGCACAGTTGATTCGTAGGAGTTATATATGTGTGTGTGTGTGTGTGTGTGTGTGTTATGCAAGTGATGACGTCACTCGAAACCTGCCTTATATATGTGTGTATGTGTGTGTGTAGAGCACTCCCGCACGCTGGCTCTGCAGCAGCTGTCTGAGTGCGTGGTGGGCGGGGTGTCGTCGCTTGTTGGAGCGCACGCGGCGGCGCGCGGGGCAGCCAAGCTGTTCACTACGGTACAACATACGACGCATAACAAACAGCTGTTCTATGTGAGTTATATATACATAGATGACTTAGAGTTACATAGGAACAGATTAAATGATCAAAATCATTCCCAAAAGAGGGTTGATGTCAGGCAGGTGGCTGGTCGTAAAAACAATTAGCCAAAACTATTCGCAACATGTAAGGTAGACCCTGGCTTAAATGTTGTGAAATTGCCAGGTAGAAGAAGAGATTAAATAATCAAAATAGTAGTATTATAGTAAGTCTCTCTGCGAAGTGATACATCGCAATGTGGAAATTAATATAGGAATGGATAGAAATCAAGTTTTAATAAACTCATACTTATACTGTTTTTTCAAGATAAAGTTAGCATTGCTTATAACTTATATATGTAAGCGTTGCTTCTAACTCATAACTGTTCCAACCAACTGTTAGACACGCATTAAAATTTTCACTTCAAAAAGTACAGATTAATAATTGAGATATTAATATCTCTATTTAATGCTCTCACAAAATTAACTCTGCATCGAAAGTAGATTTAATTTCTTAAAAATGAATCAGTTCGCGAGCATTGTTTTTTCTTAAATAATAAATTGTAAATACATACTGTGAAAAAACTTGTATCATGATAAATACATCACATACCACAGAGTATAAATAAAAAACAAAGTGTAGTTCCCATTTATGACCACAGAGTATAAATAAAAAACAAAGTGTAGTTCCCATTTATGACCACAGAGTATAAATAAAATCTCTTACAATAGTTTCATCACATAAATTTTCATACAATTATCTCACAACCGAATATAAAATAGCAAACACAATAACAAGAACCGGCTTTATAACGAACAGGGAAATAACAATGATGATTGTTGCTATTATTTTTACATTGTATCTACTGTTTCCGCATGACGTCACAGCTGTTTCCGGTTTTTTGTCCACGCGGGATACGCTCTGAAATATAAATATTTATTATATAAAATAAATTTTTAAAGGCATTTTTTATGTAAATTAACGTTCAATATTTGTATAAGAAGGGATATGTTTGTGTCCCTTTACGAAAATTAGGCTAATGGACGGTTTAAAAAATCGATTGTCTAAAATAATATACAGAAAAAGTTCTCGGAAATAGCACACACAAAAAGTAATACGTGAATATATCTACACGCTTTTGTGTGTGTGTGTGTGTGTGTGTGTTTGTGTGTGTGTGTGTCACTAAACGTGAAACATAATGTCATTCTATTTAATTTACTATTGAACTCGAAATAAGCAACATATATTTGATCGTGTAAAAAGTATAAGAACGTTGAGATCCTCAAAATAATCCATGATTCCAATGAGAAAGAAACTACAGTTGAAAATATTGATTCAATAACTTATTTTACATGGCACTTTTATGAGTAGTATATTCCCAAAGAGGCAGACCCTGGCTAAAGCTGGGAAATTGCCAGGTGGAAGAATATTTATGAGTAGTATATAGACATTTTAAACTTTAAAGATGTGTCTCTTAAAAATCTTCGTAAGCTATATAAATTCCGGTAAAGTGTGTATTTTATTATGTTGAAAGAAATTGTCGTTTTTATAAAAATATAATGATAAAAAACTCACGGAATATTCCAAACAGTGATCATTCCTCACTATAAGTATTTTCTCTCCGAGCAGACTCTCTGCGAAGTAGAAAAAGATCTCATTTTTAATATATAACATAGTATAACCCGTGACTCCGTCCGTGTTTTACAAAATTCAAGTATTCATACAGTACAGTACAATAAATATCTGTATATTACGTCAACAATAGCTGATAGGCCAGTGTCAATCCCATTAAAATCGTTCCAGACGTTTTAAAGATTTGAAGAAACAGACAGACAGAAAAAAACGCTTGTTTTAGTAATCGCAATCATATATTTTTTCTATTCTAATAGGTTCAGTTTGAGACGTGATCTTGTTTTGATAGTACATATATAATTCCAGTACTCATTACTTTCAGTAAGATAGTTTTTGCGTAAATAAACATTCAAACTTTAAGCTAAATAACGTAAGTCTTTGTGATTCTCATAAAAGTGTCCTTACTAAAAGTACACAATAACAAACTACTTTAAGTTTCCAGCTATTCGTTTCCAAAACTTTGCACATATACTAAGTAATAATAGGTATACAAATAAAAATATTTTCAATGAAGTCCCGCATCGCGGAAGAAGTGGCGCTTCGTAATGTGGGAATGAAAACAGGTAGAGATGGAAATTGATTTATAAGGAAATTGAAGTATTTCTTTAAGACAAAACATTTTTAAAATTATATACAAGTCACAATGGATTGCCCGCATGCGTTCGATTGACATTCCCTCTCGCTCTGTCTCTTTTTATCCAAATAGCGTTAAACGTTTAACGCAACCTTATTGGAAGTTTCGCTTCATAAACTCGACATCTTTACTACGTAGTACGACTTAAAGTGTAATAAGTATAAAGTACTCACCGCTACTATCTACTCGTATGGAGTTTATTTCTTCAATGTCTCCGCTATCAATACTGATTGTACTGTTTTCGTCATTGTAGTACATCATAAGTTCAGCGAGCGTCTCTTTTAAACTGCATTTGTTTGAACAAAACCGCTTCTTTATTTCCTTTAGGAACAGAAACGCTTTCGATCTTTGACATAGCTGCAAAATAATAATTCAAAGTTTTTGTAGCGTTTTTTGGAAATTTGTAAAGAAAAATGACCACATTTTTTTTTATATATTAAAGATATATAATACCGATTCTGGAAAATTCATTGGAAACTATTTGTTAAGGAAAATGTCCACGTTTTTATTATGGTTAAAATTATATATCAAAAAGGAATATATACCCTTTTATTTAAATGTATTGAAAACTAAGCAAAGATTGTAAAAAAACAATGTAGAAACAAAGATCGAAATAAAATAAATAATAAAATAATACTCGTTAAATTCTCGTTAAAAGTAAAGCTGAATAAATTAAATATGTTTGGAGAACATCCAAATCTGTTATAAGCGGAATCGTTAATTTATAACTCCGGAATTAAACGATTTATTTATAGGCGTTCTATAAAAATGCTTAAAATACCTTATCGGTTATGCAGAAATAGAAATAGTCATTTTCCATCAGTATATGGAAAAGATGTTTCTGATGATAGTACGTGATGCGGTGATCATCACTCGACACTTTGTTGATCACATCACTTAAAATGTCATCAAAATTTCCATCACAACACGCTTGTTTGAACAGAATGCTTCTCTTATGGACCACTGCACTGTATAAAATTGGCATATTTTTATTTCACACTATATTTTCCAGTAGACTTTTTCTGCGGACATTCCACACGCGTGTGACATTCGTGTGTTTGGTATTTAGACTCAAAATCATCATCTAAAATTAGTTGTAAAGTGTCCTTCGTCTATCAATTGATGTCGCGATGTTCACATTAAAATGTTAACATTTCACTACCGCATAACGAAATTCTTAATTAAATACGTCAAAAATGTCTATTGAAAGAAATTTGCGTAAAAACAGTTGCTAACTGAATCATACTATTGTTTTAATTGAAATTTAAAAGCTTTTTGTAATTTGTTAAAGTAAGTGTTCCTGAATCTATTGCTGTAAATTAATTATAGGCTTCTAAACTGACTGTACTTTTTGAATTTCGTTTTTTCTATTACAGTCTTGTATTGGTTAAAAGATAACACTGAAAAAAACGTGTGAAAACTAGAAAGATTTCGTATCAAGGCGACATAATAAAATCCAAAAATTATTGAAGTTTGCTGGTATTTTGATAAATTGTTATATTTACTATCTGAACTAGAATTTTCTATAATGAGATCTAAGACTTTCGTGAGTATTCATTTAAATGAAACTAATATTTTTCGGATATACTACACGTACTTTATTTTTGTAAAAAAACGTGTTGCTGAAATATAGCCGAAATGTTGGGAGTATGTAGTTTTTTTTTTCGAATAAAGCGTAGTATATCCGAGAAATATAAGTTTCAATTAAAAGAAAATTTTCTCTTATAAGATTCAAATCCCCCAAGAGAAGAGAGATACTTTAATAATAATAATATATACTTCTTTGCACACGGGCAGTCGAGATGTCTGCTCGTGAACACGGTTGCTGAAAAGTAGCCGAAACGTCGGGAGTATATATTTTTTTATAATAATAAAGCACGCGTAGTATATCCGAGAAATATTAGTTTCATTTAAATGAAAATTTTCTACTATAAGATTTAAAATCTCTCAAACATGTCTATAATATTTTAATATATTTTTTTGCAGGAAATCTTCGAGTTGGTCCTCATAGAAGTATTCCCGGAACTGAAGCGTTATCAATGAGTGTTTAAAAACATTTACAGGGACTACGACAATCATAAGTCATTCCGTATTTATTGAGAAGCTTTCAAAGTTGAATATATTTTCATATAGCATATTCTAAAGACGCTCTATAAAAAACCTGACTCGTCTGTACTAACTTTAGGTATACTCTGTTGCGCCAAAAACTAACTAATATTACTTTTATTTGATATCCAGTGAAACTGTGGTCGATCTCATTGTAACAAATAATTTATTTTAATATATTTTCTGTTAAGCTTCGTGCCAATGCTCTCTATTTCATAAATGTCACATTTTGATGTTCGCGCCATATTCGTACCTGACATGTGTCAAGCGTATTTTCACACAATGCACGGCACATTATACGAGTATAATTTTAATTTGTTTTTATTTTATTAAATATAATGACATTATTTAATATGAATTTCCAATATTAATATATTTTTTTATTATTTTCTGTTCATCAAAACGGGGCCATATTTTAACGAACATTCCCATGAATTTATTTATTATTTTAGCTAGTATTGATGTTAAATAGTTACAAAGGAGGCTTTCTTATTTAATAATATGTCATTAACTTATCGCTTGTAATGAAAATCATGTTTTTTTTCTTGTAATTAATCTATCATCCTAGTCTGAACACTATCATTTTAGATATAGACAAATCTCTCATATTTTCTACCAGCCGTAACTGTAACTTGTGGACTGTTCTTGTAAACCATTTTATTATCTGTAATAGTTAAGTATTTTTAAAATAGTAAAACAAGTATTATAATATACATAGTTAGTAACATTCCAGTGTGGAAATCTTTTAGACGGGTATTTAAAATACCGATTATTTTTTACGATTCCGTTAACTATGGACATCACTAGCATGGCTCATAGTTACTCATTTTGCACAAATATCCAAACACAGACACAAAAATACAATTTTTTATTTATATAACAACACATTTAAGATGATTTTATACGCTTAGATATTTTTTATGTTCTAATTAAAAATGTATTTTGGCCTAAGTCGTTCAATAGTGACTTCCTACTTAAACCGTCTCGAAAGCACAATTAAAACCAAGTGTATCATGATTCAGGTCACATAAAAGTACTTTTAATTACAGTAAGTACGATTTTTACATAAAAAATCAGCGTAGACTAGCGACTGACTATCGTTTCATAGTTCAATCGATTACACAACCATAGAATGTAAGCAATTTGACCTTTGACCTTAAAAATATGAAAATCTCAAGTCTACGCGGATTTTTCCTGACTTAAGTCTTTTATTTTCGATCTACCCTTACATTGTATAATAATTTTGAATGTATTTGAACTATAAGTGTTATATTGAGGCGTTAATTAGGTTTAAAAACTTAATGGATATTGTATCTGACATTTGGTATATATTAAAAAGTGAATCTGTTTTAGAATGCTCTTTTATTCCCTCCCTTCCCCCCAAAAAACTTTTTTGTTAAGGTTGGCACTGCAGCATTTTTTGGGTCTTTTTGAAGGATAAGGTATGCAATGTCGATAGTCAGTGGTGGCCTAGTGGTTAAAAGGCCCGCCTCTCATGTACGAGGGCGCGGGTTCGATCCTGGCCCTGGCAAATACCAATGTGATTTTTCCGAGTCATATGTACTTTCTAAGAGTATTTAGACATCACTGATTAATGCATTCCCAAAGAGGGTTGATGTCTGGCAGACGGGCGGTCGTAGAAACTATTAGCCAAAACTATTCACAACATGTATTAGGCAGACCCTGGCTAAAGCTGGGAAATTGCCAAAAAAAAGGTATACAATCGTCTTTTGTCCAGATCCTGTCTTGTTACTAGATGAAACAAGAATGGAAAAGCTGTGAAAGGATTAAATAAAAATAAAACACATAATTACTTGAATAATTTCTATTTTAAATCTCAGTACAGTAATAAAGTTCGTCAACAGTTTTTACACCTCATTGAGGAGGCCAAAGGTATGAAAACTGTTTCAGTTATTTTAACTTTTATTATTACGTTAAACGAATTTAAAAAATAAATAAGGATTTTGGCACTGTATATAAAATTAAATATTGAAAAATATATTTATGCTACGAAACAACGTGTGCGTTCCTAGCACCTGTTACTAAAGGGACTTACGAAATTAATAAATTTAAATATGTAATATTATACATACATATATATATTATATTAAAACTCAGTTATAACCCACTCGTTAGCCACAAAACATCTGTATCACAGCACTGACTTCCCCTTAATCTATATAAAATAATCGAAAAGGGAAAGTAATTTCAATTTTATGTTTATGAGAAATGAATACCAAACGTTAACCTACACCCTCGACCAGGCCAGACCTAAGGGCTCCTGTACGGAAAATATCTACACATAAACTTACCGTCTTGTATTGAATACTCTATAATATAAATAGTAGACATTTATTAGGAGAAGGAACCCCTTAGATATGGCTCTCGTCGATCACGACGAATGAATAGAATCTTTTAGAAAAGCAATAAAGGACGGGTCGCGTAACATTTTACGAGACGAAACACACATCGGATCCAGTGAAGTGTACTTTAAACATCTCAGAACGAAACAATCTACATTATATGCAAGTTACGTTTTAGTATTCTTTTAAAGAACAAAGTACTTAGGAGTAGCTGAAGGAATCCGTGTATATTACGACTATAGAACCGAAGCTCTCATTATACTATAATATATAAACATTTATAAACTATTGTTATCATTATGGTGTCGTCGACAAAACAATTTATATATATATAATAAAAATGTCGTGCTTATAAAAACATCGCAGAGTAGAAGCATGTCAGTGACTGTAAACTGACGTCGCAACTCTACCTTAGATTTAAACACCCTGTGACGCTCACGCTAGTGGCGGGAAAATGACTGTGTCAGAAAATAAAAAACACAATCATGGTCCAAAGAAACATCGAGCCATCGGATAACAAGGTGGCGTTGACGAAACTGTTCTTGAACCACCTATCAATACTATCCCTACCTGTATAACACAATAATTAATCTTTAAATATAGATCTTAAGTCTTAACCGATGATGTTGATATGAGTTACATTTCCATCATAATAATTCCATTATACAAACAAATAGATATTAATATAATAGTGATGAAATCAATAAAAAAAAATCGATCAGACGAGACGAGACATCGTGATTAAAACTAATTAATTTATATTGATATATTATTGTCACCATATTACCGTGGTGAATTAATACTAAGTTAATACTGTGTCGGAAATAAACTAGAGGAATGGTTCATCGCGGTGGTTTAAACAATTAATGTATATAAATAATAATAAGTGGTCGCCCCGACCCCTTACATCTATATAACTGTTACAAAGTGTTCATAACATGGTGCCAACAACGGTCGGCTTCGCTGTTTTCCCCTGAGCCTCGGGAAAGCCAGAAAAGACGACGGATACAAAAATAATACAAACATTTCCTTACAAACTACGTTATTTATATGTGATAATTTATTATCATTAGATGAACTAGAATACTATACTAGAAATTCTTAGATATTATCTCATCTGTGTAACAAAGAAAGCGAGACCTAGCCGGTAACACATGTAGGTACAGTTTCGTCTAAGGATTAGTTAATACGACATCCTTATAATAATTATCATTTTCTACTTTACTGGGACATTCATAATATTTTTTTTACGATATCTATTTACACGTTATTTTTTTATATAAGTGTTATCAGCTTTGTATCTCCACTGTTATTGATCTGAATCGACTTGAGTCGTTTTAATTTTCACTCGTTTAGGCCGAGGATTTTCCGCGTACTTTGTACATGCACATTTATTTTAATCTATATGTATATATCTCTTATAAAATTGACTTACAACTTTGCATGACAAAAGTTATTTTTAAACTCATGATATATAATAAAATATAATAACAAATTATCACAATCGTACGTTCAATGATATCTAGAAACTTATTGTAAAAAATAGAAACGAAAAATAAATGTAAAATTTCAACAATGATAAACTACTCTAGACTGGAAATCTTGCGATCATTATTTAATACAAATAAAATATTTGTTGGTAACCTTCTGTATGATATATACCGTCTTACAACACTGTATGTTCGGTCAGTTTAACAACAGTAGATGTTCATCTACCCTACAAATGCTTCTACCGCTAGCTACCAGCTCTAATCAATAACTATGAGACGAAAGTGACTTTATTTGATTGTATTAAATCAAATAATGCCGCGTATCGTCTAAATTGCGTCGTATAGTAGCGTTTCGTCGATTCTTCATAGTCCTTCAAGCGAATGGGTGTAGAGTGACAGGTTCGAAGTCATCGTTTGCTGATCGTGGGGGGACTCGGTGGGGGGGCGGAGGAGGAGCTGGCGGTAGGAGGCTCGTACCCTCCGGCATATACACGTTAGTTACACGCCCCTTAAACAACAGAACCATCAAATTATGACCTCATAAAAAAGCTCCAGGTTTATAAAACACTAGCAGCGCCCCGCGGTGTTACCCGCGGATTTCCGGGATTTAAAGTAGCCTATGTGTACCGGACGTCAGCTTTCTGTATACAAATTTTTATCAAAATCTTTTCAGCCGTTTGAGCGTCAAGAAGTAACAAACATACACACACACTCACAAACTTTCGCAATTATAATATTAGTAGGATATGAGTAAGTAAAGAGAGAACCATGAAAGGATTTGGAAAGAAAAACTAACCTGACTTTTATCGTATTTGAATATGCCCTGGAATCTATTCTGCCTTCTCTCCATGGGTTCTCCTACCATCGTGGCACAGCTGTAGTTGGGATTATGGAAAGATATGTGTCCGCTTGACTCGCGGTAGTTTTCCTTTATCTCACCATCACGATTACGTCTCATTTTAACTATGAAGAAAAGAAACAATTAACATAAATACATATTTAAATCTGATTCATACCAATTCTGAACCTCGTACTTACAGCATACAAAAGCCGTTATTAATATTGCAAGAATTATAAAAACTGCGACCGCCACTCCGATTATAATACTTCCGATATTAGTAGATGGCGCTGTTGTTGGATGCATTGCAATTTTGTTACCGATCTCAATATCCATGTAGTCGTAGAATGAAGGGTAGTGTGCTGGCATACGTAAATCAACTCGGAGTTTTGGAGCTTAAGGAAAGAAGAAATATTATTAACTATTTGAAAATAATTTCAGTAACTTGACATTAATATGACTTACTAGTTGAGCAAACTTTATCATCAAAAGCATCTGGACAAGCGCATACGTAATCATGTCCTCTGAACAAACACAAATGCGAGCAGCCTCCGTTATCTTCCTTGCATGGGTTCCATCCATGTTGTTTCTCAGAAGACACAGCTTTAATTTCCATGACCATCTCTAAATCTGTTCGTATTGCCGTCACGTTTTTACCGGTTCTCTTATCTGCTCTCATTACCGATTTTTTATACCAATCGGTCCAATAAATATAGTTATTGAACTAAAAACAAGTTAAAGTTTTATTTATATAACCCTCTTAAACTCATATTTTGCCAAAAACTTATTCTATAATTTACCTGAGTCATTCCAAATGGATTCTTAGCTTCAGGTATAAGTTGAACCCTATGCTGTCCGTTTAAATCAGACGTGTCAATTCTATCCTTTAAAGCATCTGTCCAATAAAGTCGCCTGTCTTTATAATCAATCGTTATGCCGTTGGGAAACCCTAAGTCATGATTAACTATAATTCTTCTTTGACTACCATCCAAAGCAGCTCTCTCGATGTTAGGACTCTCACCCCAGTCACTCCAGTATAGGTAGCTAAAAGAAAAATATTACTAGATCCTATTTGTTCAAGATCTTGAATAAAATGTATGCAATAATATATGTAAAAGTTAACTTACCCCTTAGCAGGGAATAAAGCCAAAGCCCTAGGTTCAGTAAGGCCAGTTATAAGAGTTTTTCTTGATGAACCATCAAGCCTTGCTACTTCCACGACCTACAAGATTTTTATTATGAATTATTTAAATTTTTACTAAGGATTAAATTGTATTTTTGCTGTTTCCCAACCTTGAAGTCATTATCAGTCCAGTAGATGTTATTCGCGATCCAGTCCACTCCCAATCCGTTAGGTGTGTCAAGACCAGTGTTAACGATGACTCTAGAATCGCTCATATTTTCCATATCTATTGATCTAAAACATTACGCATATTACTTAATACCAGTTAAAAAAATCACAACACTAGATAGTTAAAAAAATTACAACACTAGATAGTTAAAAAAATCTATATAAAAAACTATTATTCTAACCGTATCTCATTATTATAGACATCAGTGAAGAATATCAATTTTCTTTCCCAATGATAATCCACGGCAACTGAGTTTTGTATATCCTTGACAGGCAATGTAATATCCCATTGCTCAGGAGTGTCTAATGAGATCAATGCGATACTCCCTCTGGCGGCGAATACGAGGAAGTTATCGGGATGTTTCTTACATATTTTAGGATTAATTTCAGACTCATTCTTGAACAATAATCCCGTGGGACATGCACAAGTGTAACCTTGGGGTGATCGTAAGCAGAGGTGAGAACAACCACCATTATTTTTTCCGCAAGCGTTTTCTAGAATATGATCGCCCTGAAATAAAATAAAACATTTAAAAATCTTTCTCATACATTTTAGAAGTTATGGAAGATTAAAATTTGAAACTTTTAACCTGTATAGCTCTTATGTCCATGAGTCCTTCAAGATTTTCTCTTATCTTCAATTGTTCTCTGCCATTCGACTTGTCTGCTCTATGCAATGCTTTTGTCTTCCAATCTGTCCAATAAATGTGTTGTCCAACGATCACGATACCATACGGGTAAGGTACCTGTGTCAGAAGAGTGCGACGATCGTGTCCATTGAAATCTGAGCTCTCTATTGTCAAAACCTTAGCGTCATTCCAGTATAGACGACTCTCGATTCTGTCAATCGCTAATCCGTTCGGCCACTTGATGTTGTTATCAACGATAATTCGTCTAAAATATTAATTAAAAAATGTAAAAATTCTGCAACTATAGGATAGTGAAAGAAAAATGCGTTTAAAACTATCACCTGTTTTTGCCGTCCATGTCAGCTCTTTCGATTTTTGCTGAGGTTCCCCAATCAGACCAAAACATAAAGCCGTAATCGTAGTGCAATGCTATAGCTCGCGGAGAATCTGTAAAGTACATGTTTATAAGCTGTCTACAATATTTAAGCTTTGGCTGATAGCTATTTCATATATTTACCTAGTCCTGTCCACACAAGCACTTTTCTATTTGTGCCGTTGAGTTCTGCAACTTCAATACTATTTCTTCCGCCGTCAGTCCAATAAATCTGTTTAAAATTTTAGTATAGTTAGCTAAAATTGTTTTTGTATTAAGTTTTAAAATACATCGAATATATATCTCACCTTTCGACCAGCGGAATCAATAGCTATTCCATCAGCGGTATGAAGACCCCGTCCAATGATAGTTTCATTTTGTTGACCTTCTTTGTTAGCACGTTTTATTTTGCGTTCCCCGGTGTCAGTCCAATATATCAGACCTAAAAAAAATGAGCGTATAAAATAAAATACTTTTTTACATAAAAAGTGTTTATTTTGCTTTTATTTTACCAGTTCTCTGGTCAACGTCAACTCCAAGAGCGTTCTTTAAAGCTGGTAACGGTAGAACAACATCAACGAGATAAGGTACATCTAAAGACACTATACGTATATCTACGCGATGAGCAAAGATTAAGAAGTTGATTGGTCCATTCGTACAAATTCTGCCATCATTCTGCAAGAAACAATATTATAAAAATAGTTTTGGGTAATTTTGTGTGATGCTAAAAATGTATAATTACTTACGCTCAATTTAATGCCGATCGGACAAGCGCAACTCCGCCCCATTGGTTTCAATAAACATAAGTGTGAACAGCCTCCGTTATTATTACTGCAGCTATTAATAAACAAAAATTATTTAAAAATAAGTCATTAATTAAATTTTTTACTATATCATTTAGATAGATATTTTTTCTTACGGATTTCTACTGCTCATCCTTTCCTTATGAAATACTCTCACATCCATAAGCCCTTCAACACCGGCTCCTAATGTTCTCCTTTGTTTTCCAGTGTACTTATTCGCAGCTTGAATGGACTGGGTGTTCCAGTCGGTCCAAAATACCTCATCACCGTACAAATCAAGCCCAAAAGGATGTGTTAGATCTTGACCTTCATGAAATATAGTAAAGCATTTTGTATTAATATAGTTTTTTTTTATATTTGAAATTCTTACTAAATATTACGCGAGCAGTACCTATTAAAACAGTGCGACCAGTGCCATCTAAATTAGCGTATTCAATAGTACGATTACCACCATCTGTCCAATATATGCGTTTGTTCGGTAAATCAAGCGCAAGCCCATTAGGCCAAGTCATGTCACCAAAGATAAGACGTTGCCTATTGCCGCCATCCATGTCTGCGCGCTCGATGCAAGGTGAAGAGCCCCAATCAGACCAATACATTATACCACCTAAACGAAAGTGTTTATAAGTTTTCTTCCCATTGTTTTAATACGTTTTATTCATGCCGGACTTACCGATAGGATCAAGAACGATATCTCTAGGTTTGTCAATATTTTCCCAAGCCAACAGGGTCCGCATGCTACCATTTGCATTTGCTACTTCTATCCTGTTAGTGCCGGCATCGGTCCAATATAATTTATTTGTTAGCCAATCATAAGCAAGTCCGGCCGGGGATACTGGTAAAATATATCATCATTAATATATTCCTATAAACTAAGTTATGGAAGTAACTACAATATTTTGTCTACTTACTTAAGTTGGAGCCAACAATAATAGTTTGATGAGAACCATTCAAGAAGGCTTTATTAATCGTGTCCTTTTCAACATCAGTCCAAAATATAGAATTGCTGTTGTGATCCCAGTCTAAAGCGACAGCAGACTTAATATTCTCAACTGGTATCACCTAAACAAATAAAAATCTAAATAAGTTGATTGAACTTTTAAATTCGAAACTAAAAAAAATCGAATATGTATTACCATATCCAAAGAGTCCATGTGCTTTCTTGGATTTAATTGCTTAAGTCGTATATCCTTCCGATGAGCATAGAGAAGTAACTTCTCTGGAGTTTCTTCACAGGTTCGCCTGAGAAAGGACACATTTAATACAATTCTAAATACATTGTTTTAGTCACTTAATTTTTAGTACCAATCAGAGGCTTAAAGTTGATTTCGTCAAAATTAAGCATATTAGTAAATTGTCTTATTAAAAATTTTGTTTATTTTACCCGTCCGAATTAAGATTGAATCCTACAGGGCAGCGACAAGTTCGTTCAGACGAAGCTGGGAGACACATATGAGAACAACCGCCATTGTTGACGCAACGATTTTTATACGAACGCTGACGTAGTGGGTGGAAGCTAGAAAAAAAAGGTATTTTTTTAAACAAACATATATTCTGTATATATAATTATACTTTATTATTTTCAAATGAGTTTTTCATGGAATCTAGTGTTTTCATTATTCTTTTTACCTCTGTATATCCATGGGGACATATAAACTAGCATGAACAGTCTGCATGCCCATGCCAGTTTTCTTATTGACAGTTGAAATGCTTTTCGTGTGCCAATCAGTCCAGTATATGGCGTCTTCAAACAATGTTAACGCAAATGGATGGGGTAAGCCTTTGTTTATTATCTGTGAAATAAAGATATAGAGTTATATAGCGAAAAATTTAGGATTAAATTGTAACTTAACATGTATGAAAATGAGCAAAGTTCCTCATTAGTGCTTTTTATTACATTTTAACTGGTATTTGAATAACTCTAAAGATGTGCTTACGCGCTTTCTATCCAAACCATTGAAAGATGCTTTCTCAATAACGTGATGCTTAGCATCGGCCCAATAAATTGTGGATTCAGTATAATCAATCGTCAAGCCGTTGGGCCAAAATATGTTATGGACTATAATGCTCTTGCGATTATCACCATCCATATTTGCACGTTCTATTTTTGGATTAGGTCCTAGAAGAAAAGTTGTATTATGAAATATAAAAATAATCGTAAATAATTCATTAATAATTGTGTAAACATATACAAGAAATAAATAAAATATAGTGTAGGTTATTTTTCTATTTGCAATTGAGTTATTTTATTCTTTCTTAAGTTGACAACAGAGCAACTTTACCTAAATATTAAAATAATACCTACCCCAATCAGTCCAAAAGACAAGAGCATCTCCGGGATGAACAGCAATAGCTCGTGGCTTGTCAACGTCACTAGCGGCCAGAACTGCTCTCTGGGAGCCATCTAGTGTGGCCACCTCCACTCGCCTTGTGCCAGAATCAGTCCAGAAGAGAAGATCATGGATCCAGTCCACGGCTAAACCACCTGGTGTTTCTATACCCCATCTAACCACATCTGGAAGAAGCATAAAATTAAAACTTTTCCATACTAAAAAATCAATATCCATAAACTTTGGTAAGATGTAAACTTACCCGTCATATTATTACTATCCAACGGCGCAACCCTTATAACTCTCATGTTATTTTCAGTCCAAAACACAAGGTTCTTCTTGTAATGATAGTCTAAAGCCATAGCTTTGTGTAAGCCTTTTAAAATTGACATGTAGTTTTCTCCAGTTAGCCACACCTAATAAATATACGAAACCTTTAAGCTTTAGCTTTTATTAAGAGATCAATAAGATGTTTTGAATTTTTAATTATCAAACCTGTCGTATTCCCACACCATTAGAAAACAATAAGGTAGGTGACTCTCCAGTAGCCTTACAAGAACGAGCATCGGGTCTCAATACATAACCAGTCATGCATCCACACATGTAACTGCCGAGAGTATTTGAACAGGTTTGTGAGCAAACTGGGTCCTGTTCATACATGCACTCATCTATATCCTGGCAGCTACAAAGAATATTTAGGTAATTTTAATATAAATCCAAACATGTTTGGACCAACAACGTCATATCAATGTTTTAACTTACCTATAACCGTTACTATCCAATAAATAACCAATGGGACACGCGCAAGCTGATAAACCATCGAATGTCGTAATGCAGTGCCCTTCACATTTGTCATCTGGCCTGCACTTTCTTTTAGTAGGACATTTCTCTTCATCATCACCTTGAGGACAGTCCTTCATACCATCACACACATGTTTCCTGTTCACGCAGTTTCTGAATGCATCGCTTTTAATCGATTTACACATATATTGATCCTTCTCACAGAATACTTCACAGTTTAATTCATCTTCTCCATTGCTGCAATCCCTAAGTCCGTCGCAGAGCCAAGTTTTCTAAAAAGAACATCCACAATAATCATCAAATCTTTTAAACTTATATTAGTCTTGTTACAATATATCTTTATATGTCTTCTCGTACCGATATACATCGCCTGTCAATGCAGGTGTACTCATCTACGGTGCAGTTCCTGACTCCGTGTGGTTCACAGCTAACTTCATCATCACCGTCTTCACAGTCACGCTCCGCATCGCACTTCCAACGCTCCGGGATGCACTTACCATCTTTGCATCTGATGCGTTACAAGTAAAATTTATTTAAAAATCCTTTGGAATATCATGTGAAAATAAAGGCTGTTCAAATATTTTCTAATTTATCACTAATCAAATACATTTTTGGTTGGGTTTCCATAACTTAACGAGTTCTAAGACTTTCGCGAGTATTCATTAAAAAGAAACTAATTTCTTTGAATGTCGGATGTTATTTTTTTTTAAACAGACATCAGCAGAAGAGATATCGTCCAAATTTTAATCACGTTTGCTGCAAAGCAACCGAATCGTCGGGAGTATATAGTTCAAAGTAATAAAATATGAGAGGTAATCAGAAAATATTAATAATATAACTTGTTTGTTAGTAAATATTATTATTTGATTTACTGACTTGTATTCAGACGAACTACAACTTCCCGGTAGTACAGGGCAGGAGTCTTCATCAGTCCAATCACCGCAGTCATTATCGCCGTCACATTGGAAATCTTTTCTGACACACTTCTTGTTGTTACACTGGATCTCATTCTCACCGCATTGTAACAGTTCCACGGCTGATTAACGAAAATTTTAATACTTTGAAATACATCCCTGCTAATATTATAAATGTGAAAGTAACTCTGTCTGTCTATTGTTACGCTTTCACGCCTAAACCACTGAACTGATTTTAATGTAATTTGGTACAGAGATAGAGTTGACCTTGAGAAAGAACATAGGATAGGTTTTATCCCAGACTTTTGAAAGGTTCTCTTGGAAACGCGATATAACCAAACTCCACGCGGGAGAAGCTGCTGGCGGAAAGCTAGTAAATATATAATCTTAATAAACTTATAATATTCTAAATCTGTAAACGTCGAGCTTAGTTTTATTTGAGTTTAAGTTAACTTCTCCTAAAAATCCTATTTAGTTGTGTTTATTAATACATGAATATGTTTCTTACGACATTCGGATTCGTCTGAATTGTCGGGACAGTCGGCTTCCTTATCACAGCGCCAGTGAAGAGCCAGACACTCTCCCGTCAAGCAGGTGAACTGGTTGTCTCGGCATCTTCGTAATAATAATCACATAGTACAATGGAAACGTTAATACCAGGTCAAAACCTTTAACATTGATAAAATCGACGCAAGAAGGAGTATGATGCTATTTTAAACAGTTTTCGAATACATACAGCGACACGTTCACGTTTAACAATATCACAGCAAAGTATAAGATAAGAAAAATATAAGTTTTATTTTATATTTAGATTATGAAGAGACAGTAAAGTACTTACAGCAAGGTTGAAAATATAATATTGAGGGTAGATAATAAAATATTGAATAAACTACATTATTTAAGGAATTTTAATATTTGACAAGGTTCAATAATTAGTAATTTTATTATTTTAGTATAAAATATTTTTTCGAAATAATTTGAGTTTACAATCAGTCTGTCTGTCTAGTTGAGCTTACATTTGAAAAGCTGGACTGCTTTTAAAACTGTTTTTACTAGATAGCTGTTGTAATAAGAGTAAACTTAATTTAAAAAAAAAATGGAAGAAATAACTATTTCTCTCGGAAAAAGTCAAGGATACAGCTCGTATTTCCTTTATAAAGAATTTCCTCTTCAAAATCTCTGCTCATAACAATGACGTAGACTTTATACATATCTCCGTTTTATTGTAAAAGTATAGGTAAATTGTATGTATTTACAATATGTATGTCAAAGATCGTTTAACCCCATGCGCCTTGAACCTGCACTATCTCAATGACTTGCCTCTTGATATACTCGTAAACATGGCATTATCTGTTATTGATAAATTGCACAGAAAATAATTTTGATACCATTTTCAACAATCACTTTAATTTTTGTGACTTAATTGTATAAAAAATTTAGAACAGAGGGCTTTAACACTTTAAAGAATACTCGTTTCTGTACAAAAAAATCATTAAACTATTATACTATCGCGCGTTAATATAAAGACGCGGTTGTAAAAAAATCTTCACTTAATTGTGATTCTGTCAAATGATTTTTTTAAAAGATTTTTATTAAAACACTCCTTTATTTAAGTTGAAGTCGGTCTGAAAATGTTTCTAAATATTCAAAGTAAAAACAAAATCAGCATTATTCCAACATACAATCAAATAAATGTACTTTCAATATATTAAATGATTTATTTAAGCACTTATTATAATAAAATTATATCATTATTTTTGATATTATTTTTGTTGACACGTTGTTGTTATACGATCTATCATAACACGTAATGAAATTGAGAGGTCGCCCTAGAGTTAGACGAAGGGGATTTGAGTTCGACAAGGAAGCGACACGAGAGCTGGGGAGCGACCTATTATATGCAATCTATGAGACTCAACGAGTTTATTTGCTTTGTTTGTTCAATTAACGATAATGATGGCTATGTGTTGAGAGAATGGAGACTACACCTTGTTGTATGAAGTACTCCATCAACCTCGTACCTGTTAATGACCCCTTACCAGATATGCATTTACTAAATACTATTTTTATTACAAAAAAGTTAATAAATATTTTTATGAATAAAAATGTATGTAATGTTAATATTTTGAGGAGTTGAAGACTATAAGAAATTTTAGGTTAGCAGATGAATTCATGAGAGAAAGAGGTCTTTGTTCAGCAGTGGCTAAAAAAAGGTGAATTTTATTTGCAATTTTTTCCATATATTTTTTAAAAAACTTTTGTTCGATATCTTTTCGAAATATTCTCAATATCTCTTCGTTTATTTTGACAAGGTGTAAAATATTATAAGCGATTTTCACATAATAACGGTACTTACTTTCCTTTTGGGCAATGAATCTCGTCAGTGTTGTCTCGACAGTCATCAGCGCCATCGCAGACCCAGTCCTTATCAATGCACAGTCCGTTGCCACATTGAAACTGTTCTGAAGTACAATTCACTGCACCTCCTAAATAAACATTATGTATTTATCACTCTCTTTTAATTCGCATTCATGGAAGAATTATCTGTACTTCAATCAATAAAATGGGATTCAAAAAACTATACAGTTAGTCCAGATATACAAAATTTAGTGTCTTGAATTGAAAACAGCGTTTGAGTCCATTAAAAGTGTAGATTCTTTTTGTACCACAATGAGTTTCATCGGAGAAATCGTCGCAATCGTTGTCACCATCACAGATCCACTCGATGGCGATGCAGACCCTGGTGTTGAGGCATATCGTTCGGTTGTCGTGTTCATCGCAGGATGGAGTGCAGCCAGCCTCATCCTCAGCGTCAACACAGTCAACTTTGCCATCACAACGCTTCTCCATCGGTATGCACTTGCATGATGTCTGATCCATAAAAATTATTTAATCAGTAGTCAGTTTTTGTTAATAATTCTTATTCCATTTGCATGTCCAAAAAAGGAGGCTTAATTCAAATATTTTTTGTTATAAGTTCAAATAATACAAGAGTTGGTATGTACTGACCTGACACGAAAAAAATTCTTTGGAACATGATATGTGACATCCACCGTCATCGTCATCTTCGAGATCATCAGCGATCACGTACGATCCTTTTGAACTAATGCGGCCATTCGCTATAAATATGCAGAATATTATTAGGTGAAACATTCAAGTCATCTAATAATAGTTCAACTATCACACCATAATAAATTCTACACCGACAACTTCCACGAACTAAATTGAGATTTCATTCAATCTGACACCAATTCAAAGCTTAACACTTGCGTCACATTTGCATATTCATACCGATAGTAGTTCCTAAAATAGAATTCCGCGTTTTTATTCTCGATGCAATGTAAACATTCACCATTCATAACTGTGTAAGCACTTTTATGGAGATTGGAGAGTACTCACGATGCCAGCCGTCTATTCGAGTGTGAGGGTTGTGGGGTCGGAAGCCGGGGACTTGCATGGGGCCCGGCAGACCGATGGCAGGCGGCTGGTAAGGAGGCACGCGACCGATGGCTGAACGAGGGTCCGGTACTTCAACAGTTCCATTGAGATTTCGTTGGGGTGACACTGCATCCTCGCCGTTGACGTATCCTAAGAGATTGATTATTAATATATTCCATTGTATTTATTGTGCTCAGAAGTGAAGTCTCTTGAAGTTTGACTGGTAGAAAGGTGATTTACTTTTAATTATTGGTGCCATTCTGAAAGTAATACTTCTTTAAGTGGTAAATCCTAGCTGTAATCAATTTGTCTATTATCTGACTGACCGGGACTGCATCCCTAACAGACACGAAAAAAGAACCTAAAAGGGCTACCTTCGAAGTACGTTCCAAGAATGAATTGATTTTATTTCTGGACAGGCTCAAGTATTTTAGTAGGTAGTAATGTATCAATTATTAATAGACAACCCTGATCAAATGAGATGAAATTCTCTAAGGCTTGTTCTAACTTACCATGTATCGTTATAATATAGACCGCTATGAAGACGGCCCGGAGCATAGTGATGTTCTTCATGTTGGCTGCTCTAAGTGACTTGAGCTGAATCTTCATTAAATATCATCCTCACAGGTTGAAGCATTGTTCGTCCACACGACACAATATACCACCTATAAAGACAGTCTTCAGTTGGTACCATTCACAAAGAAGGTAACTTCTTTGTGAATTATTTATTTATTGTTAATTAGCATTCTGAAATACGTAAGTTATTTTGAAGCTAAAATTATTATGAATTTTTATTTACACCTTTGTAAATTTATGTACAAGTTAGTAAAATTATTAAGGTACATTATTTGTTAAATAAGATGCTATATTTGCGTTACTTAGTTGCTATGTTCGGAAATATCTATCAAGGCCGCCTAGAAGGTTGAAGAAAAAATTTTTCTAAAGTCTCTTTTTATGACGCCTTTATATGTAAAAATCAGCAAAACTAATGTAGAACCAATCAATAATTTGAAAACCCAATCCCGTTGATGGAAAAATTTAAATATGTAATTGTAAAAAAATAACTTTGCTAAGGGGTGGTTATAATATATGATTGCATTGACTGAAGTATTAGTTATTATATAAAAAATATTTCTTCATTAAACGATATACATTTAAATTTAAGGACTTGCCTGATATTTTCTTACTGTTGTCAATCGACGCCAATCTAATTTCATTTCTTAAAATAGTTTATTATTGATTTCAAAATCTAAAATATCAAATTATGTAACGTTTTATAAGTCACTGGCTATAGTGTCTATTTCAACGCATTTCTTTCTTGAATAACAAAGATCGTATTTTTGGTAATAATTGGATAATAATGAAAGATTCTCTTGATGTAGGAGTATAGCCATGAAGGCTAGCCATGTTGAAAACCTGAGATGTAACTGTGAGCATGCGCGTCTGTAACTTGTTGCTTCCATTCAAGCATCGTCAGCTAACTCCGTTCCTAACACGTAGCATACATACGTTACCTAATCTCAAACGTTTCACACAGCTAAAAATATCTCCATATACATATTTATAAACTGATCTATTTTTAAATATAGTTTAATAAAGTTAATCAATTTTATCGTTCTATTTATGTATGAACAGAATCAATTAATTTCTCTAAAGATATTATTGGATGTACGTAACTTGAATTGAATTTTTTAAAAGGATTATTTCGGCCAATTAATTGAATGAATGTCAATTATCGGAGTATCGGGAAACAATATATATTTTTACGGAGAGAAATTTTAATTCAGACCTTGATGACGTGGTTGATTGGAAGTCAATCAACGTGGGAGGTTTTCGAGCTATATATATAACTATATATGTATATATATGTGTGTGTGGGTGTGTGTAAACCATTGTATATATATTTTCATTTAATTCATTTATTATACATCGCTACCATCAAAGAACTTAACTTAAACTTCTATATGTTCTGACTTTATACTTTTTTCTTTAAAATTTTCTTATGATAAAAGAAATCCATACTTCGATCTATTTTTAGTATGTATTGATATTTTTAAATTACGTCGTTTTCATCTACATCCAAGAGGAGAATTATTTTAACTGGTAATATATATGTAATTAACAAAGGCTGTTGTAATACATAATGATCTTAAATAAACTTATCACAATATTTACCGTGGAGCCAGCAAAGCTTTCGATCAATATAGAAGGCTGCGCGCCGCCCACGCCCGTTACCCTCTGCTACCCCGCACTACCCTCCAATTAAATGACCCTGAAATCTTTTTACAACGTCAAACCCATAATTATTGTTAAAAATAAAATAAAATAAATAATATACTACATTATAATTGGAGCTCTCAATACAAAATTACATTTTTTTTTAAATATATATCGGAATATATTTTTGTAATTTTATTGTAAATAACTACGACTTACATTAAAATATTCTTTTCTTTGATTTTTATTTTTCATATACATATATTTTATCGTTCTCATACATTATATATAAACAAGTAAATTGACTCAGTATAAAAGTATAATTAATAATTAATATCCAAAAAATACCTGAAAGTCAGTAGACACAGGGCATGCCAGGGCACAGAACTAGCACAGCACAGCACAGCACAATAATAAAAATTTTAGTTTAATTACAACAATATGCGCTTCACATGTAAATGGTAGCGATATTGTAACGAATTGTTCTGCGGCCGGGGAGGTACTAATCTATCTGGATTCTGGAACCTGGCAGCTCCCCCCCTTGCCTCATTTCCCCTCTAAACCCCCCCTCCCGCGCCCCTCGGACCCCGCGCAGTCTGCGCCTTGTCAATGAATGAAGGCGATAGTACCTAACTCCTATTTAAAGTACCTTCCACATCCCCTACATTTGTTTTGTATAGATGGAAATAGATATAGCAAAAATAGATCACCTTAACATTTGAGAGACCTAAAACTGAATGTGTTGAATATACATATAAGATATTACGAAATTTATATATCTAGCGAAATACATAAGTTACTATACATATATAATTAAAATAAATGAAAAAAAACTGTAATATATTTTGAAAGTATTATAATTAAAACGTCGTTTAATAAAGTATCGAATATTTAAATTCATTAAAATACAATAAGTTATTGTTTTATAGTAATTTTAATCTTATATTTCAATCATGAAGATTTTTGACTACGTAGACGACTTAAATCTGTCGTAGCACTCATTAGTACCGCTTCTTGTTTCTAGATGTCACTGTACAGTTATCTTACAGACATCTATACCAGTTACATGGAATTGCTGATTTAAATCGCCAGTTGTAACACTTGTGTAATTTTTAAAGTCAATGTTACAGTCAGCTAGTTGTTCTTACTTTTTAAAGATGCCTCTAACTTTAGGAAAACACATATGTGTTACTGATATCAGTGTTGATCGACTTAAGAAAGATATGTAATTGAATAAATGGTATCGTACTTCAAACATTAATTATTGATTTTTTTGTAATTAAGTAATATTTTTTACAGAAACATGGTTTTTAACAGAAATATGTATTATGTAAATGTGGTAGAGCCTAGCTGTGGTTATGTTACTACACCTCGAACATGGTCTGACTCGACCGGGGAAGTACCACCCTCTCACAGAAGATCGGCGTGAAGTGGCCTTTAATGGCTGCGTTTCGTCCGATGAGTATGAGAGCCAGTTGCCTTTTCCCTATTCCCACCCTTTCCAGCTATTTCTCAATTCCCACCCTTCCCTTTTCCTCAACAATCAAGGTTGGCAACGCATCCGTAACATCTATGTTGTGGATGTCCATGGGCGACGGTCACTACTGACCATCAAGTAGGCCGTCTGCTCGTTTGCCAAATTTGACATAAAAAGAAAAATATAGTGAACATTATAAATAAACATTAACTTTTTATTAAGACTTTTTAAACTTCTATTTAGAGGATTTATAAATACAAACACGAAATGAATGTTGCATTCATTTATTTTTACATCAACCTTACTTTACTTCACGAACATGAAATTTCTAACCAAAATTATATATTTATATTATAATTATTATGAAATTGAAATTTTATTTATTTACAATAAATTTTATAATCAAATAAAAACTAAATTATTACTAAATACTACTCTATCACTAAGAACTAGTCTAAATACTAACATACGTAAATGATATTATTGAACATAAACCTTCTTTATCTACCTGGCAATTTCCCAGCTTTAGCCAGGGTCTGCCTTACATGTTGTGAATAGTTTCGGCTAATTGTTTTTACGACCGGCCGCCTGCCTGACATCAACCCTCTTGGGAATCAGTGATGTCTAGATATTCTTAGAAAGTACATATGACTCAGAAAAATCACATTGGTACTTGCCCGAATCGAACCCGCGCACTCATGCATGAGAGGCGGGCCTTTTAACAACTAGGCCACCACTGATTTTGACTGAACATAAATAATAATAGTAATTTAACAATACATTGTGATAAATATAAAAGCTATATATTAAAACCATTATTCAAATTATTTATAATACATTCAATATTTGGCAGTTTCGATAAATTTATTGCGAAAATTCTTATATGATAAGAAAAAATACTAATTAATTATTAGTGTACTTTGAACAGTAATTTAGAAATAGGACCTAGTTATGTGACTATCTTATGAATTATTGCTACGTATACTAATGTCGAAGCTTTGTAACATTCATTGATCAATAATTAACAATTTGCTCACATATACGCAACTAATATACATAGGTAAGGTCTATTTTGTTAGGTAGAGAGAGGAGCTTGGACAGTGGAGGTGAGCGTTTAACGCGCGTTAGACAGGGGCTTAAACCTACACCTGGGTCACAAGTCCCAGTCACTGTTGAAGCTCCTCTCACTACAACGATGGACCCGACACCCGCACGGTGATGAGATATTTCGTCTCATTAGCTCCTCAATTATTATTTAGTTTTATTCACATATTTAGTCAAATATATAAAACACCCAGTACACTGAGTTGAAGATGAGGAAACATATTGGAAATATTACTCTGGAGTACGTGTCTATGACGTTCACGTCACGGATCTTCGGCATCGAAGCCTTGATGACGGTGGCGCCTTTCTTCAACGCGTGTATCATCTTTGGCTTGTTGGATCCATCTGAAAGAAGTTTGTACAGAAATAAGGAAAGGACATGATAAAAATCGACAGTTCGCTTTTTGGAAAAGAAAAATGTAAATAGAATTGAAAGAAAACTTTAGTTATCTAAAAAAGAATACGTCATAACAATAAATTTGTTTGTCCGGCTGACATCTTTTCATCAAGTATGGTAAATAGAAAATCAATAAAATTGTGTTCGTAATTCTGTTGCGTGTGGGTATATTGAAATTTAAAAACCATTGAATAATCCAGTAAATGGAACAAAAAATTATAATTCATTTTCAAATATTTTTTTTAACGTAAACTGTATCTTATACTAATTATATTACTTTATTAATTTTCAAGTGTTATAGAATACAAATTACGTATTTAAAATTACAAATAAGTTCATGTATTATATATCTCACCAAAAACATGCCTGTTAAAAAGGAGGCCAAGTTCCAATCGGCTAATTGTTTGCCTAAAAAAGAGGTGAAATCCAATCTAATGCCAAGTTTAGATGCACTTTGAAATCCATCATAATCATCTTCATCAACAGCATGATCCACTGGTAAACATTTGCCATTCCCAAGACTCGCCACCACACCCAGTCCTCCGCCTTCCACATCCAGCCACTACCCGCCACCTTATTCACGTCAACGGTCCATCTGGCCGAAATTCACTTTACCATACACCCAACTTAAAATATGGTATAGTTGTGAAAATACGTAGGTGCTTGGTTAAAAATATCTAAAATTATAATACTTCTCAATTTGAACTTGGCAGGTTTTTGTGCTGTAGTAACACTTAATTAATTGTATCATTAATTTATTATTTAGTTATATAATTGTTTATATTTATATAATTTAAATATTATATAATTTAAATAATTAAATTAACCTGCCAAGTTCAAAATTAGAAGTATTATAATTTTAGATATTTTTAACCAAGCACCTACGTATTTTCACAACTATACCATATTTTAAGTTGGGTATATGGTAAAATGAATTTCAGTCAGATGGACCGTTGACGTGAATAAGGTGGCGGGTAGTGGCTGGATGTGGAAGGCGGAGGACTGGGTGTGGTGGCGAGTCTTGGGAATGGCAAATGTTTACCAGTGGATCATGCTGTTGATGAAGATGATTATGATGGATTTCAAAGTGCATCTAAACTTGGCATTAGATTGGATTTCACCTCTTTTTTAGGCAAACAATTAGCCGATTGGAACTTGGCCTCCTTTTTAACAGGCATGTTTTTGGTGAGATTTCAATACTTTTTTTCAAGAAATCGTACATACAATCGTACTATACAGCCGTACAATGCATAACTTACAACATAAAACATACAGCTACCATCTGATGGCATAGGAATTACCCTATGTGGTATATCTCCGCCAACCACCGAAAGATGTACAATTTCCATCGTTAGTAAATGAATAGTAGAAAAGAAATAGAGTGAATTTGTGCTTTTAACACACACAAGTAATCAATCAATAAGCAATATCAAAATTAATCCTTTAGCAAGTCAAATCAGTGATCCATTTAATCGTAATCGTAACCATATATAAGATATCAAGACATAAGTGTAGAAAGAAATAGAAAGAAATGACCATCGATTCCTTATCGACTTTCATTCATATATACTGCAGACAAAACAATATCGCGATTCAATTATACCGCTAGCGCCATCTATCGAAAGTAATTTATAACAATAGAAACCTGATTTTTTAGGTAAGCAATATTTAATTAAGTTATACAGTGTGCATTATGTATACATGACAATATTTTATATCCCTTATATATATATCAGTTCTTAAGAAGCGCCCCACACTTTTTACACAATAATATTAATTTAAAAATAAATTAACAAACAATAAATGGTATTTTTGTGAAAAAAAAGCGTGATGAGCTTCATATATCACTTCGTGAGAAGCGCCCCACGCTTTTTTTTCAATAATACCATTTATTGTTTATTTTAAACAATTTAAATTAAATTGATTTCCAAGGTTGTAAAGGTTAAATTAGTTTCCACGCGGTTTCTTTCATCATTGGAGCGTGTTTTTTAGTTTTTTTTAAACTATATTTATTTTTTATTTTTTAGTTTCATTTATCACCGATTGATAGATGTACTCATATTATTAATTATTAATATTTCATTATTATGTATTTTATTGTGCTGAGCTGAGCGCCTATATAAAGGTTTTGATTACCTGTCAGTGAGTCATTGCCAAAATTAGCTATTTTCACAGGGTCATATTTCAGGATCTACTGAAGCTTTATCTATGAAATTTGGCATACTGCTTTAGGACTAGTATATGATTACGTAGGTACAATTTTATCTCTGTACTTGCAATAGACACTGAGCTACAGGGGGTCAAAAGTGGGTCGAATTTATTAAAAATTCGATATTTAGAATTGAGGCAACTCACGCTTGACCGATTTCTTAAATTTCTTAATTTTTTGTTAATCTACATATAACACACAACCTGTGTACCAAATTTCATAATGCTAAAACAATGGGAAGTGGCCTAGAGGTTTTGATTACCTGTCAGTGAGTCAGTGCCAAAATTAGCTATTTTCACAGGGTCATATTTCAGGATCTACTGAAGCTTTATCTATGAAATTTGGCATACTGCTTTAGTTCTAGTATATGATTACGTAGGTAAAATTTTATCTCTGTACTTGCAATAGGCACTGAGCTACAGGGGGGTCAAAAGTGGGTCGAAACTGTTCGTGTAAATATAGTGCACGGCATGCGCCGGCCTGTGGAACTTGGCCGGCGCACTACCGTGCGCTTAGATTTAAATTGATTCTTATATTCTGATATATCTGTCCTTTATTAAATAAATAACCAACTGGTATAGTTCCGTGAGTGATTCCTCGTTCTATATCGAAGGTTGTGGTCCCGTTGTATGCGGAGTGAGGGTGGGGCTCCGGAAGGTGCTAGAGGTCGTGACCGCAGCCCCGGGAGAGGAGAGGCTCTGCCCCCGGGACACTCGCGGAGAGCTATGATCTCCTCAGGTGAACGAGGACCTTGAAACAAAAAATATAACGTTCCTTATACGAGTATAACTACCCTCCTTAACTAACGGACCATGATATAGGAAAAATATAAAATATCCTCAAAGGCTAATTGGTTTAAATTTGTTACTATTATTAAATAAATATAAAAAAAATCAGTTTAAAAAACTGAATTTCAAACTTTATTATTTTGTTACACAATCAATTATAAAGCCACCTCGGATAATCCCGTGATGAAGTGAAATGTTGTTGCTTTATTTTTAAGAAATATATACAAAAGATAAGGATTGTTGTACTTGATCTTATTGTATAAGATATCTGTGTACCCTTCATAAAAAAACTGCTAATATATATACAAATTCCTTGCAGTACTAGAGAGTATAATTGATTTTCACCGCTTCTCAAATCCTTATCCACGCTGGTACTAGTGGAGACCTCTCTGTTCTTTAACTTGGCCCGTTTCCTGGCTCGCGCCCCCCAGTACGTGTAGTTGACGGCCGCGTACTCCAGCAGGGCCGCGAAAACAAACACGAAACACATCACCAAGTAGATGTCTATAGCCTTCACGTAGGAGATGCGAGGAAGACTGCTGCGGACACCCGTGCTGATTGTGGTCATTGTTAGAACGGTCGTTATACCTGGAGGAAATTAATCAGATTACTGACACATCAGATTTGAAATCGATTTTCTTTATATTTTTGCAAATACTTTCTAAGCAAGGGCTATCCCTCTTTCTCATGTTATATTATAAATAAGAATATTTGTATGTTTTTGTTATTAAAAATTGGAAAATTAAGAAACATCTCTATAAAACATTTTATTCTAAATATTGAGTGGAATTGAGAACGAATCGGTTGTAAAAAAGTAATATTAAGAGGTCCAATTTAAATTAAAGATTTCGTTTAATAATACATTAGCCCATGGCCGCAAAAAGATTTTAAGAGTTCGCTACGCCGAAGCTCTTTTGCGGATTGTGGTTAGATTTCTTGCTCATAAGGTTAATACAACATACATATGTATGTAATGTACATTAACATGTTTCCGCAAAAAAATATTAAGTTTTTTTATTCTATATGTATAAACGAGAGTTATGATGTAAACTTAATTAATTACCTACCCAAAGCAACTCTGGCTGACGTAGCTTCATGATTGATCCAAAACGAGACCCAGGACAGCATCACAATCAAAATACTGGGCAAGTAGGTTTGAAACACGAAATAACCTATGTTCCGACGCAACTTGAAACTCAAAGACAATCTCTGATAGACGCCTGTCGCCAACTTCTCCTGGAATGTCACAAGTCTATAATAAACGACTTTTGTGAGGTAATTAGTAAGTTTTGGAATGTTTAGACACTGCGTGGTTTACAAAAGGGGATAAGTTTAGTTTGTAAGGTAAAAGTTATTTAATTAGTGCTTAATCTTCATCATCATCTATAAACTATAGACCTAGGTGGGGTAATATTTGAATTAGCTTATGCTATATCGTCAATTTTTTTTTGGATGATTTTAAAAACCTTTCGGTCGTTAGTTTCATGTCCTAATATAGAGAACTGTGGCAGCTCAGCATCTTCGACTCCACGGACCGGAGTATCCTTCCAGTACATCACGACATCGGAGACCGTGTACCCATCTGTATGACAAACAGAACTTTAGGATGCTGTAAATAGTCAGGTGAATTAATTAGAATAAGTAAAGCACTTGAGTTGATAATAATTTATAGTTAGTTGCTAATAGTTATTGTGTCCCTAAAACTTAATTTAAATTCGATCTATCGTCATAAATTTCTCTGATAGTTGTCAAACAAATTCAAGATCGGTTCTATTATTAATACGAGCCGCAATGCAGATATGATTCTGCTTGAACGCCAAAGCAAACAAATTATGCCATGACCGATCTCCAAGTAGTGTTCCAAGAATGCATTTTCTATTGTACGAAGTTGCATTCCGTGGACCTCGATGTCTTAACGTATTATAAGTATGGAGTCACACAGCTTTCGATCTCGACGGTGCAGTTCTGACTGTCCAGGGGGTAGTAATGGAGGTCCATCATGCAAGCCAGGGTCGCTGTGAACCTCATGCCGTACGTCACGCCGCCGTCACCACCGAGCCTCACCAGTTTATTGCGTTCCGTCACGTCGTGGAGAAAACTAAAAGTATACGGATTATATACTTATTATATTTATATTTGAAATATGTATCATATTTAAGAGATTATACTACATAAATATACAATGTCTAAGAAATTTGACGATATTATTTTATATAAATTTACACATAAATATATATTAAAATCAAGTTAAAATGCTACTTTGTTTTATTTTATATTGAATATTTGTGTTAATATCTTGTAAAATAATATCATATACACAGTTTTGTTGCATATAATGAGAACAAGTTTACTTCTTTATTCTTATAAAGTTGTCTCATTTTAAATTACTTTAAGTAAATACAATTAATTAAAAAATTCTGACTAATTTCACGTTGTAATATACAAATCACCAAGTTCTGTCCCTTAAATAAATTACGTTATGTATATATCACAAAATATTGTAAATGACCTGACATTACCTATTTTTATCATTCGCGAAGAAGGTATCCGGAACCCATATCTTATCAGCGAAGTCGCCTGACAAAGTGAGAACCTCGTCTTGCATCCCGAAACCTAATCTTTCATCCTTCCAATACTGATTCAGATAAAGGGTGATTGTGTAATCCTGGAAGATTACAAATATTTATCATCTTTTACACGCGCTATACAAAATATGCTGAGCACTTTATTATCGGAAAAAATCATAAGACTTTCGTTGCTTTGTTTTCTATATTAAAATGGATTAGAGAAAATTGCGGGATTGTAAGAGACTTTTCGATAAAGCTATCTATTTTTTTATATTAATAATATTTAGATGATAATCACAAAATACGTTACATTTTTAATGAAGAATCTTTATTTAAACTAAATAAATGATACAAGTATTTCTCTGAGATAAAAACGAACCAAATGAAAGCGTATCTTTCTCAATTCTCAAAATATTTAAAACTTAATAATTCCTCGGAATATCATACTCTAGGTTATTTTCGATGTTAAAGAGATCGCAGGTTTCAAAAACGCTAGTAATTTTTTTATTTTAAGTGTAACATATTATAGGATAGATTATACTGAGACCTAAGACGTTCACGAGTGTTCATTTTTGAATACGAATATTTTTCGGATTTACTACGGTACTTGCCAGGTTTCGAACCGACACCATGCACATGAAAAGTGGGCTTTTAACCTCCAGGCCATCACGACTTTTCAAAATTAAATTTTATTTATTAAAATATATGACTTTACGCCTAAAACTTAGTTATCTCGTAGTTATGTAAGTGTTTACGGAGGAGGTAAGATCTGAAGACCGATCCGCTGATGTAGCATCGGTCACCTCGATGTGTGTCAAGTGATGGCCTTGCTCTCTTTAGCTATTAAAAGCATAATGAATTACAATGAGCCATCGAGTGTTTGGACTCAAAGCGATCTCCACTATCATAACGTCGGCGTGACCGGTTTTAAAACGAGAGATTGATTGCGTGCATCTTGTTTATAACAGAATTACACTACTCGATGGATTACCCAAACAATATTGTATGAAGAACATAATGGAAGTGAAAAATATTGGAATTTTAAAAGATTGAATTACACTTTAATTTTATTTTTCATTCGAAGCGATGCTGACGGATACTAAAGAAATTAGAAGGTCCAATGTTCATCAATGATATTGTATAAGCTGTGTTACAAATCGAATAGTAATAATACTACGTTTACTGTAAATTGCATTGTTAAGTGTTTTTACAACGAAATATGTACAGTTTTGAAGCACTTTTCATATTTCTAAACATCCTTATTATTAAAAAGGATTTAGAGTATTTACGAAGAAACTAATCTCCAAGGATTTTAAAAAGTACCTGGTGGAATTTTGAAGACACAATGTATAAAATTTAACAAAACATTGTGACACAAGCAGCCAGATGGAAAAATTGAATTCGCATATTAAACAAATGCTCAAATTCTATTAAACAAATGATTAAAGATTCATTTTCTTCATAAATAAAGATCGTTGGTTAAATTTAAATTAGATTTTACAATATTAAACATCACAATCATTCTAGACTTACCATATTAACTTCTGATATAGCGTCGAAGCTAGCTATGGTGAGGTCCATTCCGACGTAGAGGGGTTCGCCTGTGAAGTAATATCATTTGAAGATCCAACATCAACATGCAGTGAAAGACGCTGACAAATCAAATATACTGAACTCAATATATCAAATGCAACGGGAACTTTAAACAGATTGCTGTACTCTCCGCTTGTGTTCCGTTTGCTCGCTTCAAATAAGTTGACATAGCATTTCTAGTTATGAATATTGTAAGACTGCGGAAGTGACTTTAATAATTATTACCATACTAATATACTATATGATTTTAGATGAACTAAATACTTCCAGGCGTAAATGTGAGCGAATGTCTGGTTATATTGGATTGCAAATTAATTTGAAAGTTATACTTTCAACGTAGTTTTTTACTTAAATATTTTAGACGCAAAAGTATATTCATTTAACGACATCTTTTCATTACATACTATTTTTTGCAACTTGACTTCACGCAGACGTACTCTTTACTTCCTTAAAGATAATAGATAAGAAGATTTTCGAATTGATCGACTTATTTTTTCAATCGGATAAAAAGTATGCTATGTTCTTTTCCTTGTTCTAAGCTATCTCTCACCCAATTTTAAACCATATCCGTACAGCCGTTGCTAAGTTATAAATAGGGTAACTAACACGACTTTCTTTTATATATAAAGATTCTATCATATTTGGTGTATGCAGTGTAAATTATATCGAACTGGTCCTAGAATTTAACTCTGTTAAATTACTAATATGATGTTTGTAAAATGTAGTTTATATTCCTAATTTACATACAATTGATATCTTTTAAGTTTTCGACTGTATTTTTAGTTTATACTTTATAAGAGCTATTTATTATGAATGTTGGCTAAATATACTGAAAATGAGAAATTGGACCGTTGTATTCATTGTGTTATAAGAATTGAAATACCGAAAATTGTGCTCAAAATACAGATATTTTGTGATGATAGAATGTAAACCATACAATTGTTTAAAAGATTCATAAATAGATTAATATGTTAGTTGTAGTTTTCATCAATCTTTTCTATTTTTGCTCCATATTACAGCATCACTTGATTGAATTGAAGAATTTCGTAACTCATATTGTGTTGACAATCATATATAACTACATATTTAAAATATGTCATAATAAAATGAAATCGCATTAGTTTGTGTTGTCTTCTACCTGGCAATTTCCCAGCTTAAGCCAGGGTCTGCCTTTTCTTGTAAATAATAATTATAATATTGAATATGTTTGTGTAATTGGCTCCAATTAACCAGACTTCACTATAGATGGTTGAGTATTTGATTTTAAAACTTACCTCCGAAATTCGGTCTCAACCGTATGTCATATCCATCTAGGATACGTGACACTGTCTGGGTAACATTCTGAAGACGATCCACAGCATCCGAACGATCAGATCTCGCAGAACATCTTTGAATATCATCTAAGTCTTAGTAGTAATCTTACTTATACAACTATGTTTAAAGAACGTTTAATTCAAAAGTAATGTGTGCAATATTGAAAAGGATTTATCGATCTTTGTCACGGATAAAGCACAAATAAATGAAAAAATATATAGCTTATATTAAAATATAATGGTTAATAAAAATAATGTTAGTTTATAAGTCATGATATCGGGATCAAATAAAATGACCTCTAATTCTATGTAAAAGTTAAAGCGCAAGTAAATGAAAACCTATACTTAGAAGATCAAACATAAGCAGTATTTTGAGTGAGCATATATTTTTAAAGTTTGTAACCTGTCCGAAATTTAATCAGAATATATATCTATAGTAATTTTAATATTGAAATTATTGTAACTTCACATTAAATAGTTACAAAGTTAACAATGTATAAGTTATGAAAGACTATATAAAAATCAAATTTCAGTAATTATTTAGTAATTTCAATTTAATAGGGGCTTTTATATGTCTGATGTCTTTCAACATGTCTGATTTTTCTTTTCTGAAGACGAAACAGTAGATTTTTTGTAGTTATGGTCTGTGACGACTGATGAATAAAAACAAGTTATAGAGACTATTTTTTACATCAACGAGAAAGAATCGCAAAGTTAATTGGATAATAAAAAGAATGTTTACAACATTTCAGACATCACATATATGTTTATCTTCTACCTGGCCATTTCTCAGCTTTAGCCATGGTCTTCCTTACATGTTGTGAATAGTTTTGGCTAATTATTTTTACGACCGGCCGCCTGTCTCACATCAATCCTCTTTGGGAATAAAGAGTTGTGATTATTCTATAATATATAGTAATTAAATACAAAATTCTGAACACAAATTTCTTAAATATCTAACACAATAAGTTTTATAAGTATCTTTTTGTAACATACACTTCAGTTTTATACAAATTTTATTAGTTTATAATTCCTTGCGAGTAGTTCTGTTTGTACATCCAAGTAATTACACCGTCGTATCCCTTTTAAATTACATCCAGAGGCATCTTAATAACGCTGGCTCAGATAGAATTACCATTTAGGAAGACGAATCCCTCAAACTAATGAGAAAACACTCACAATTTCTCTATAACACGAGAGTAACTCTATGACTGAAATTTCTGACTTTTTAAGTGATATTTGATTCTAACTAAATATAATGATAATATATGTAAAAATCTTTATAAATTATATTCTTTGTATGTTAGTTTCTATGATATATATTCATATTTTAATACTTTTGTCAATAATAACTCAAGTTGACGAAGCAAGTGCCGCCGGCCGTCGGATCAAGTTAAAACATTTCTACTTTACTCCCGCTTTTTTAAACTACGAAATATTACTAGATATTAGTTTAAATAAATTTAAAACGTATTATTTACACGAAATACATAAACTATTTTACTATATATTAAATATAACTGAATATTATGTCAAGAAGAACTTTTTAGTTCTTCGTATTTTTACTGATAATACAGTTGATAGTTTAAATTAACTTTTAGACTTAATTTTGTTAAATATATTAAAGAAATATAAGATATTCTTACAAAACTTTGACTTATGTATAAATGTATGTATATAGATATTTATTTTGTAAGTATACTCACCGTGCTGGAGCTAATGACAATAAAATCGCCAGCATCATAAGAATAGAAACTTGGTGCTGGCTTGGTCGCTGGGGAGACACCCTCGCGGTCATCACACCGCTTCATCGCGTGCTCACGAACACATTATACATCAGACGAGCTTGGACTCGCGTAATCCAAAACTTCCATACTTTATACAGTCACGAAAGTTACTTGTTCGTGTAGGAATCTAGCGGTCGCGGCGAAGGGACCGTTCGGAATGACGTCGCGCGTGCGCCCCGCGGCTAAAACATAAGTTTTACATCACCCATACTTGTACTTCATCCCTACTAAATCCTTACTCCTCTTTCTATGTCTAATGATAAATATTATGTATAATAATGAACCCTACAAAGTGTGAAGTATTTACACAACATCGACATTTAACAATCTTACAATGTTTGTATGTACTAGTAGATTCAAACTATCTATTATGCTAGGTGTAGACCGATTGCGGGTAGGTGATGTACAATAAATGTTACAGCCGCCGCTTACGGAAGTTATTCGCCGAGGCGCAGATTAGAAACGTTTGCATGCATTTGATGTACATCTTGTTTGTGTTTGGCTTTACGAAACTAACTTCTATTGGAATGTACCTAAATATTGCTAACTACAAAAATATTCATTTTCTTATTACTCGTAGTCTTTAATTGTGAGTTATTAATATATATTTAGATTTGAACTAATAAAATACTAAAAAAAATATTATTTTAAAATCGAGAAAAAAGGTTTAATACGAAAATATAAAGGTGTGTACATATAATCTACATGAAACATTTGAATGCCACTTACAACATTTCCCTACACACGCATTATACATACGAAATAGTAGCCAAAAAAAAATGTAATTTCTTCGATTGTTTCATTTTTATATTTTTTCCGAGTCAATAGGCTGAATAAAACGATCCCATCGTATTGAGAAACGAAATTCGCTGGATACCAGCGCTCCGGAGACAATTCTACTGACGCGTGAAAGAAACCTCTCACAAAAAGGTGGCAAAACAATAAATATGTAGCCTTATAATAAAAATTATGTTATGAGAATATTAAATTATATTGTTACATACACGATAGATAAATTTGTAGGTTGCTTATATGGATAATGGAAACTATTTCACGATACAAAATATAGCTTATTTTCTGTATTATATCCCTACTAATATTATAAATGCGAAAGTAACTCTGTCTGTTTGTCTATCTGTTACGCTTTCACGCCTAAACCACTAAACTGATTTTAATGAAATTTGGTACAGAGATAGAGTTGACCTTGAGAAAGAACATAGGATAGTTTTTATCCCAGATTTATTAAAGGTTCTCTTGGAAACGCGTTATAAATAGAACTCCACGCGGGCGAAGCTGCGGGCGGAAAGCTAGTTTACAGTAAAATATATAATATGATCCACGTTTTAATATCTTAAACTATATAAAAATTAATTTAGTTTTTTTGATTGGAATGTATTTAATCTGTGATTTTAGTTAAAATAATTTAAAAATCAAAAATTTGATACGAAGTCGTACAAGTAAATAATGAAGTAATGGCCATCTACAGATGTAACTGCGGAGTTACTTAAATAAAAAGCCTACTTTATATAATATGATCTTCCACGTTGCTAGTTTTTCAGACGGCCTTTTAAATGACTTCATCATTAGACCCGCAGTAGACCAGTAGATCACATCAGTAGACTCGCATTACTCGAGATGAAGAGAAAAAAAACTTTTAGATAATTGCATCAACTTTCTACTCTTTATAGCTTACTTATTTGGTTACTTCAGTTGAACTTCAACAAATTGATAGCGTATAATTCAGTAGAATAATTTTACTTTTTAGTAATTAAATGTTCTTTTAAGAGTAAATGTGAAATAAATTTGTAATTACATATTTGATGTCAATTTTGAAACTTCAATGGACTACCAAAATGCATTACGATGCTTACCTACATACGATATTGCAATCAACGTGGTCAGTTGGGTCAGCCATTTACCGAACTATTGTTATTATCAAAGAACTCATTTACCTATTTATCTCTGCAAATAAATTAACATTTTACATGTGGAAGAGGTGGACAGTGTAAAATAATATGTTTTATAAGAAAGAAATATTAAATTGTCATCTTTTATTAATATTACATATTTAGTCATAAAAATTATGCTTTATAAAAGTAACTTCTAATCAAAAGAAAACAAATAAAATAGTTTTTTAGTTTAGAATATATACGATTCGCTGTAGTTAACAAAAACTTAATGATTGAAGAACAATTAAATGTCTTTTTATTAATCTGTATGAGATGACAAATTCCACAAATTCCTCGCATCTACATACTGAAAGCTATTTAAAGTTTTACTAGATATAACAAACTTAAGTTATAAGCCGATTGGTTTCTGAATTCATCGCTGGATAGGCGCATGCGTGAGTTTGAAGTCGTGTAGACAGAAGGCTGGCTCTCAGGGCGCGAACTGCTAAGACGATACCAGCATCACACAACATATTCATTAATTAAAAGAAGTTTTAAACTATTTACTATCTTTAAATATGATAGCAATACTGTACTCCATTTTCATCGGGTTTTGGTGAGTCAATAGTTACAATTATCTTTATTATAGTTTTCCTGTTTATAAATTAATTTAAGTTTATACATATTAGGTTTCAAATTATATTTAATTTTACCTAAATGACAGTCCTAAGACGTTCTTTTGGTGTTAAGAATATCGCGTTCCGTGTTCTTGAAGATCCAACAGAAATTAATGGATTGTATCAAATTACATTATCACTTTATTTAATGCTGACATCTTGTTTGACGAAACCTTATATATATATTGAATGATTAAATATATTTTAATATGTAAAAGTATAAAAAAGAGTATAGCTTCCCGGTGATAATTATAGATAATTTCGGTGTTTTAAATACAAATGAGACTAAATATTAACAAAATTTTGAAGACTTTCGCATTTCAATATTTTATATTTTAACAGCTTCTCCGTTGAAGCTTTCTGTGAAAAAATGCCTTTTTAAATTATTTATTTTGTTTAAAAATTAATAGTTCATTAGTGTAATGAGATCTAAATTCTAATACTTTCGCGAGTATTCATTTAAATGAAACAAATATATTATTTTAACTTCGCGTACTTTATTATTTTTTATAACGTCGGGTGTATGTAGTTAGTAATAATAAAATACTTATAATCATCCGATAATATTGGTTTTCATTAGTGTAAATTCAAGAAAAAATCTTAGTTTCTACCTAAAATAGTTTAAAGGTGAAGGGAGATATTTAGTTGCACTTAAATATTGTCTTATTAAGTTCATTACGACTAAATATGAAACGGCTTCATCACGGAGTGTTGTTCTAACAAATAAGTCTGATTTCGCGCTTAAACTTCATCCTTATTATATTACGACAATTTAAATTAAAAGCATCACTAGCACATAATATTTTTTTTAAATTTCAATGAAATATTTAATAATACAAGCCTTGAAAGTCAAGCTTTGAACGAATTGAGCAATTTTCGAGTAAGTTAAACATCTGTCTTTGCAACAGATACGTCGAATCTTTCAAGGCTGAGTGAAATCTTAAGAGATGGCTAGAATTTAAAGGTTGATAAGGTAATAAAAGTTCGCGTTAAAGTAACTCGATTTACGTACATTCCACTCCTCGCTTTTTTTATTCAATTTATTTTTTACGCCACTTCAGATTTACAAATACCTTATGGCTTATACAGTGTTACTTTGAGGTACCAATTTTTCGTTTAATGTGTTGCTTAACTGGAGTATTCATGTATTTTATATAAAATTATTCTATGTTTTAAGGCTAAAACAAGTTTAATATACATTTAGTTTTCTTATTTGTTATAATTATACATAAAAATAAGTCAGCACTAATAAGTTAAAGTGAAATTTTTAATACGACAAAACGTTGTGGAATTAAAACACAAATAATAATTATTATACGCTTATTTGCATTAAACTGCTAAACACTATTAATAAAAAAATCCCCCCACATTTAACTTAAAATATTTATGGTAGAAATAAATCAAGTCAAATAAAACTTAATATTGAAGTATATGCGTCCCTGGCAAAGCTAGAAACGTTCTTATTATTCGCTCTATTGATATATGTACATAGGAAACCTCTTAGTTATTATAGTTGTTAATTTCCTTACACCGCGTTACATCCTTCCGCCATGAGTTGGGAGGATGAAATAAGAAATATCTTCAACAGCAATCACTGATGAATACGAATGACGACATCACTAACTTCATCATCATTAAATAAAACTAATATTTTTCGAATATACTTACTACGCGTGCTTTATAACAGTTAAATCTCTCTACAGCCTATTAAAACACTTGGGCCTGTCTGGAACTAATATCAATTAATTCTTAAGGCAGGCAGCCTTAGTACGTTCTTTTCAAATTTGGTAAGATAGAGAGAGGAGCTTGGACGGTGGAGGTGAGCGTTTAACGCGTTAGATAGGGTTACCTTAAACCTACACCTGGGTCGCAAGTCCCAGTCACTGTTGAAGCTCCTCTCCCTGCAACGATAGACCCGACACACGCACGGTAGATGTGTCTTAATCACGGTTGCTGAAAAGTAACAGAAAAGTCGGTAGTATGTAGTTTGTTTTAGATAAAGCTCGCGCCATACATTAAAACAATATTAGTTTCATTTAAATGAATACTCGCCAAAGTCTTAGACATCATCATCATCGCTCATAATTTACCAATATTGATGGATCGACCTGATTCATGGACTGTAGTGCAGTTCAGAAACTATTCCAATAGCGATAGTTGTTTAATAAAATGTTTGAATATCTGTTATCACAAAGCCCTTTGTAATCTTATCTTTGTTCCTACTTTTATCAAACGATTTAGGACTCTTAAGTATTACTGGATTTTATTTCATTCGTTCGTAACCAAATATCAGATAAATAAAATTTATTTATTGCTCTCTAATATTGATATTTTTATATGGAAGTAGTTGTATATATATTATTTTGTAAACGAATTTACGAAACAAGTGCAGTGCATAGAATTCAATAAAAGGCTGTTATCTGTACGCCTGAAGGCTTCTTCAGATACAGCCTCCCCGCTTGTTATCTCACAATGAAGGTCCTTTCACGGACCCTAAACATTTTAGGTATATTGAAATTTACGTGAAGCTTTCAGCTTTTTTAAGACGATGTGACTATTTTATATACCTTCAAATTACCCTTTTTTAACTTTGTGTTACTCTAAACGTAGTTCATTTGTATTCTTCATACATATATTTGAAGATTTCTTGTTATATATATAAAAGAATTAAAAGAAGACTTGTATATCAAAAATACGCATTAAATGATATCAAGACGACAGAACCGGGAATCAAGGGGAACGTCCCTCAGGGCTCAATTGTACCGCCATTTCTATTTCATATTAACATAGATAACCTTATTATGCGTTCAAATTTTTGAATTTTTTTGCTGTGAAATATTTCTAAAATACTGTCATAAAAATGCGTTCAAATTAATGTCTTATTTTTGAATGATGCCATAAAAATATTAAATAATGAAAAACAAATCAATAAATTATTTCACTAGCATTAAAAAGTATATAGGTAAAAAAAGTAAAAGTATATAAGTATATTAGAACTGTAGCAGTATATTTTGGTAAATTCAATAAACTAAAGATTCCATAAAGAAAAGAAATTTGATAAACGAGCCTGTTTTATTTCTTACAATTATCAATTATTGTATAAATGAATAGTGAGATCTGTCTTAACAGAAAAGAACTAGCTATATATTTATATATATACTTTTTATTTACACTATAATAATACGAGCATGGTAAAAGTTAGAGCAAGATCTTCATACAGTTGGTTGTAAAAATATCTGTCCTAAATAAAAGATGTGAAACTATTCTTTTATGAGACGAAGTAAGACTATGACACCACAAGGGCTCTTGACATTGACAGAATGCAGTTTTCTAATAAAATTGGCAGTTTGTCAAGTCTGCACAGACTCTAATAAAATAGACCCTTAATTCTGGATATATACCTAAATTAATTAAGATATATATATATATATAAAACAATAAATATATAACTATTTTTAAATGACTCTTCAGAATAAACATATAATATATTATGATTTGTCAGCAGTCGAGATATTAAGCAATACTTAATACAATGCATACAATACATACAATGCAATACTTTTGACTGTTTTTGTACTTGATCTCTGTCAGATTATATGTATCCTTACCTTCTTACAATCATTCTAGAGACATGCTAGAGACCTGATTTTAATTTCTAAACAGGGAATTGAATGTTTTATTCAATAAGGGATTTAAAGTATTTGTTGCACAAAACCTAAATTGCATCGACAACGATGTTGTGGTACATGAGTTAGAAAATAGGAACGCATTGCTTGTTTTGAGAACTTGTTTGGCTTTTCAAGATGAGTGTACGAAATGAAAGGATTTGTCATTTGAAAAGAATTATGCGAATATTAGAAATGAACTCTTATATTATTGTACTTATAAGGAACTTTATTATCCCACTTCTGATATCGGATTTATTACATATTTCGTTGTTTTAAAGAGAGGGAGGGACGCCAGCCTCGCTGACGTTACAAATGTTACTTCTTCTAGTACGGTCCATGATATTTTAAAATGAAACTTCAATTGTTCTTAATGCTCCTGTATTTCTAGAAGGTTCCTCACAATCACATACTTCAATGATACGCACTCACTGAACTCTGAATTCTCAATGCTGAATTCTCAATTCTGGAGTCCGCCGTCGTGAGTTCAGACGTCATATTTTTCACAAGATTCAAACATTGTTCTATTCTCCTTTGATTTCGTTTTACTTTTAACAATAATCATAAATACTAATGAGGTTTAATAAGAATTGATGACAGCCTTAAATTATTTTCAAGTCGCATCCGTTATTAAAGCTGGTAGCGCCGATATATAGTTTTCGATAAAAAAATAGTTTTTGTTTTTAATAAAATTACTGTAGAGCCTAACTTTATTACACAGGTTCATTTAATTATAGTATTTTACTATGCCTCTAGTAAAATTCTTAACAAATATATTATTAATATTCTCATGTTTTCAAAAATATTATGAAAATAATAAATGAGAAAATTAAACGGTGTGGCTAAAGTTGTTTGATGCGAAAAAAATTACAAGTTTCTAAACAAAGTTCCTTAATCTTAATAAGTAAAAGTTCTTGTATCCTCTTAATGTAATATTTTTTCCATATAATGGAGGTAGAATAATATTTTACATAACACACGTTATAAAGTATATTCTCTGAGGAGTAGATATATGAGGAAAGCTTAGTTGTTTGAAATACAATTAGTCACGTAGCGGTTGTGTCCAAATTACTTAATTTAAGCCACATAAGCATATCTAATTAAATATACAAAATGGTTGCTGGATATACAATACTCCAATTATAAAATACAATAAATTTATAATATGTAGTGGTGGCCTAGTGGTTTAAAGGCTCGCCTCTCATGCAAGAGGGCGCGGGTTTGATCCTGGCCCTAGCAAGTACCAATGTAATTTTTCCGAGTCATATGTACTTTCTAAGAGTATTCAGACATCACTGATTAATGCATTCCCATAGAAAGTTAATGTCAGGCTGGCGGCCGGTCGTAAAAAATAATTAGCTAAAACTATTCACTACACTAAGGCAGACCCTAGCTGAAGCTGGGAAATTGCGAGGTAGAAGAAGATAAATTTATAATATAAAAAAGGGTATAATTCTCTTAAAGTTTGAGCCAACATTATATTTTTTCAGACACCTGTGACACTATCCTTTGAAATTGTTGAGTTTCCCAAGGAACCCTTTTGATAAAAATATCTACTCCCTCCGTATAACATCTGTACAATGGAATCATTTCATCTTAAAATGTTACAACAAACGAGTGGCTCTTGTCGTTCCGTCATATCACAATCAAATAAATTTTGATTGAATTTTATGTTTTCCTCATTTCTCTCGTTACATTATTATCACTTTTAAGGCATTTGACGATATGAGGCTTTGTTGATGTACTTAAAGGTAAATGCTTTTGTTTAATAAGTATTCTTTATAAATTAAAATATTTTATGATATTGAATTTCCATTTTAAAGATACACAATGAAATCTAAGAGTTTTGCGAGTGTTTATTTAAATGAAACTAATATTTCTCGGATTTTTGTATTTTATTATTTTAAAAACCACATCGTACAATAAAAACCATGATTACTGTTGCTGAAAAGTAACCTAAACGACGGAAGTATGTAGTTTTTAAAGTAATAAAATACGCGTAGTAAAATAAAATTACAGAAATTACTGAAAGTATATTTATTTAATTTTTCGATTTCATTTAAAAGGACTTGGTATTAATATACTATTTTCTTAAACACAGCTATTCTTTGTAAATAAACGATTACAGTCGACCTCATTAGATGTAGATTAAAAAAGTTATATTAAAATATTAATTAAAAAAACACTTTATTACTAAACGTTATTCTGTTTTAAAGGGATTGCTAAAACTTTGTAGTCTTCACCTTAGAACATGACATAAACGTCAACTGTGATTGAAATAAAATGATGGAATTAAAATAAGAAATTACAAATATGTAGGTGTAAAATAAATACAAAATTCTATCATGGATCTAGAAGGGCAAAATATTACTTCTATCAAGAAATGAGAACTAAAGAAGCATTAAAAAAACTAGTGCTTAAAATGAAGAAATTTGCATATAATTCAAAACAAACAGCTTAGGCACTGGCGTTTTAAATTAGATGAGAAATTAATGAACGAATCTTATCTTTACTTGACAATATTCAGGAGTTGTCTGGTTGCTATCGGTTATCTGTGTGGAAGAATCTATGAGGATAATAAAAAAGCTGACTGTGTTGGCAATGTCTTCGTAATGTCCGGACACTTCGTAGCTATGATTGTAGATGTACTGAACATTTTAAAAGATCGACAAAATCGTCCAACCATGAGTGCCAGCTATTTCTTCTTGATAGCAAATTTTTTCTGTATCATCGGCGAATATCAGGATTTTAAACATCATTTCTCACAAATTGGGGATACGTCCTGAAATGATTGTAACTAACTAATGTTACAACTGCAATATTTATTGGAGAAGTACCTGCCCTACTTTGGGCATCTTCTCATGGCCATGGGCTATGTATTGGAGCAGTTTCAAAATATTGAGCCACCGCTGCCGAGTGCCATGGTGCTGCTTGGACATCTCTGTGTTCTTACGGACCCACTTAGCTTATCACCGAGCCGCCCCTATGTCCAGATCGTCAATCTTTTATTTCTTCTGAGCAATATCACCATGTTTTTATATGATCTATTCAGAGCCGTTGAACGTAATTCTACCATCACGGAGTCTGAATAATACATCGGCAGTACAATATAAAATTTTAGACAAATTTTGTCGATTTATTTTTAAATATTTTTAGTATTATTATTTTGATATTAAACAATTAAGCACATTACTAATTATACTACGTCAACCGATCATTTATAAAGATAAATTTGAGATAATTTTAATTGACTTCGTGATGTTGACATAGGCAAATTAAAATCCAACCGTTTTAATGGAAATATTCTACTCAATTGTTCGTCGAAAATATAAATAAATATATTATTTTAGTGTTGAGTACAATAAATCAAATTATTTGACTATACTTGTGACGGAGTCGAGACTAAAGCTTTTCACTTTTTTCCAACGATTTAACAAACACCTGCCTGTGTGAATAGTGTCAAAATATTGTTTGAAGAGTATTTTCAAGGGATAAAGCGAGTCCTGACGAAATTTTGTAAGGCTGAGTTGACGATTTGACCCACTTTGGTATTAAGAAGAAGTGTTCTTGTATCGATGAGGGCCCTCTGTCATCAGCGAGCAAGTGTAGAATCAAGACGCTATAACCACAAAGAATCTTCTATAGTATTAAAGGTATTCAATATTTTTATAATTAGAAACGTCTGTGAGAGCTGTCTAAAATTATATCAATGATTTTCATTCAAGAATGTCTGCTCTGTGTCGTCTTGTTTTAATATTTAGAGAACGTTACGTTAAAAATGTTCTGTGTTTAATAATATTTGATAGATGATGTCTAAACACACTTAAAAAGACTGAAAGAGAGAAGACTTTATTCCGAACAGCTTGTTTAACAGAAGAATATAATTGTATATAGTGTCAGTATCAGTATCAGTCAGTGGTGGCCTAGTGGTTAAAAGGCCCGCCTCTCATGCACGAGGGCGAGGGTTCGATCCTGGCCCTGGCAAGTACCAATGTGATTTTTCGGACTCATATGTACTTTTTAAGAGTATTTAGACATCACTGATTATTGCGTTCCCAAAGGGGATTGATGTCAGGCAGGCAGCCAGTCGTAAAACAATTAGCCGAAACTATTCACAACATGTCAGGCAGACCCTGGCTAAAGCTGGGAAATTGCCAGAAAGAAGAAGATAGCGTGTATTATATTCAGAAAAAAACACATAGTTTAATAATAAATGCTAGTGAAAAATACTCTAATGTATTAAAAAAGTAGAATCTATACAGCTATTGTAGTTTATAAAAGCTAAAGTCGTAAGTAGGTAATAGAATGAGGTTTTAGAAAGTGAATGTATCGAGAAAAGTTTAGTTAGACCCACTTCCTCTCGAACATCAAGTAAACATAAGTTTTTGTTAGTTAACATTGGAACAGATTATACTTGATGGAGAAACATTTTATATAAAGATACTACTCTCAGATTAGAAAAAAGGTCTATAAAATGGGAGAAAAATACATTAAGTATTGTCCTTAAAGAATTTACACATTATATGTACTGTTTATCAACTTGTTATACGTATATTTTCAAAACAATTATTTTAAAGATTCCTTATTAAAGTGAAAAATATTGGCTTAATCATTAATGACGTTTTATAGTTATTAATTTAGTTTCTTAGTTTAGAAACATTTAGAAATTATGGAGAGCTCGATATGGGACATCCATTTGGACTGTACTCGACTTTATTGATATATCTTAGTGCTATATAAATATTACGATCAAATAATAAAGTAAAGTGAGGTAGGAGAGTACATAAGTGAACCATATACTTATAATATATGTGACTCATTATCAAAATTATAATTTTTTATTTTACAATTATAATTGATCATTTTTAATATATGATCTATCCAAACGTGTAGAACTTAATATCTGCATAACCTTGAAATATGTTTAATAGTGAAAAAAATAATTTTACCAAATAAGAACTTTCTCCTGATATAAACTGACGTTCGTCTTCTGAATATCAGATGAGTTGCCAGCCAGCACAAACTTTACAAAGTTCAGATTGATAAATCCTATCAATTGATTAGAATGGATTACAATTCACTTCATTTAGTGAAGGCTCTATCATCTACTAAGACAATTGAATCACGAGACTAAAACGTTCAGCATATGATATATTATAATAATTTTCTTTACCATGTAAAAACATTTCTACAAAAACTTTTGTTATATACGTTTACAATATGGTATTTTTTACAATCTAAGTATGTACTTCGTCAAAATTCAGTAAATATATATAGAAATTAATATGAATTATATGATTATTAGTAGGCAGAATTTTTGAAATCATCAAAAGTATTTTTATACCAATCAATTCCTCAAATAAATCTGTTATACCTTCGATTACCTTCAAATAAACTAAGTAATAAATTATATCTTATTTTCTGACCGATTTATATGTATCACCTAGATTTTTATAAGTATAACATAAAAATATTCAAAGAGAATATAGATAAAATTTAAATATAAATATAAATATGTTACACGAGCATTGTGTTTAGCATAATCTAAAAGAGATGGCCAGCGGTAAGACGCGAGTGCAGGAAACTACGAGACAGGGATTTTGGAAAAATACAAGAAATAGCTCTACTAGGAATATCATAAATGTTATGCAAATTCAGACTTAACTAAAATGTACATAATTTTGAGATGAATAACTTATCGAAGTATAAATTAATATATAAATATATTTAACCTCAACTGCCACTCTATAATATCATGTTAATTTTTTTAACTACTTCAATAAAATATATTCCACAACTTTTAGAAGTAAAGGTGCCAAAAAAGTTATTGAAAAATCAATGTACTCATACCCAAACAATTTTATTTTATAAAACATTGTTTATGGATCAATTTAGTATTAATAGTTTAGTATTTTTGAAGCATCAATCAAGCTGAAGCGAAGGGAGCCATCTACTTGACAACTAAGAATGGAACGTTCCCAATAATGTTGACGTCTTTTAAGTCCCACGACGCCACGGAAGACACTGAGATTTTATCCGCTAAAAATCTGACAAAACAAAACTTTGATGACGAAGAGATGTATCAGAATTACACGAACGATACTTACGATTACGAGGCAGAAATCTGGAAAATTAACAGGAAAAGAAGCATCAATGATGCTGTGTCCAAAAACATTACTATGGTTTTGGAGAATCTATTGAAGAACTACGAAAATTCCCAACTACCCACTCACGGAAAAGGTAATTGATATTTTCTTATTATGTTATATTTAATGGAATTTTGATATGAATATTCACATCAGGTTACCCGACGGTTGTTCAAACAAATATTTTGATAAGAAGCATGGGACCAGTTTCTGAATTAGATATGGTAAGTAGGCTTTACCATCATACAATGCTCTTTTACTTTAAGTCGAGATTTTTCTTCTGTTCTGATAAGCATCAATGTATTCCAAACAGGACTATTCTATGGATTGCTACTTCAGACAATATTGGCGAGACACGCGGCTCTCCTTCCTCGGCCCGATTCGATCTCTTTCCCTCTCTATAAAGATGCTGGAGAGAATCTGGCGACCAGACACTTACTTCTACAATGGCAAACACTCATACGTTCACACCATTACAGTACCAAATAAGTTGTTAAGAATAAGTCAGCATGGGGATATACTATACTCCATGAGGTATTCTTTTTATCATATATTTTATTTACTACAATAAAAGACTCCAGAAACTTTAATACAACATTTAAATGCGATAATTTTGTTATATTTTTTAATACTTCAAAGGATTTTGTTAACAGAATTATATTTAACTTTATGATGAAACAAAATTATTTTTTATAAAAAATGAAAGTCGAGAACTAATTCGGTAAAGTTTATTTTTGTGCCGAGACGATTCAGAGCAATCATTAATTTTATAGTCCACTGAAGAACTCACATTTTAATTGGCACCATGAAAAATGCCGTCGATCCCTTAACAACGGAATCTTGTTCGTTTTAAAGCGTTTTACTTGTAATTATTTTCGATAGAAACTTTTGTTTCAAATAAACAAGTAATATAATCAAAGTATATTAAAAACTAAGTTCATTTATTATATTTTTATATATTATGTAAGTATATATAAATTTTTACACATCATAGCGTCAACGTCGTGTAAGGAAGCATATCGAGTATCACATAACATAATGGATATTCAAACTGTTCTAGATTGACTATAAAAGCTAAATGTCCAATGGAACTCCGTAATTTCCCGATGGACCGCCAATCCTGCCCACTCATTCTTGGCAGCTGTGAGTATTAGATGCATGGTTAGGAAAAACTGAAGGCCGTAAATATTTATTAGAGCGTGCAAAATCTGCCTACAACGCTGATATGCCTTCACGCCTAAGTATTTTTCTTATTGGGCGAAGCTGAAATCTGACTTCCTATTCCAAGTTTTTTCTAGCTGTATTGATTTTGTGATATGCGTTTATAAATGCGAGCTAACGATTGAGAATGCTGACGTTGTATCTACATATATAGACTTATTTAAGAATTACAGAAGTGGATATATTCAAAGATAAATTTCAAGTTATATATTGATTTTTCGATTTAAAAAAAATTATGCACTTCATAGGTTGTTTAAATCTAAAGCTTTTGCGAGTATTCATTGAAATGAAACTAATATTTTCGGTTTATTACGTGTTATTTTATTAATTAATTAGACATTCTATTTCGTTTGACCGTGATGACAATTGCTGCAAAGTAACCGATACGTCGGGGCATTTAGTTTTAAAAATAAATTAATTAAATATCCTATGTCCGTTTCCTTATTCTAATCTATCTCCCCGCCAATTGTCAACCATATCCCTACAGCCGTTCTTGAGTTGTAAATAGTGTAACTAACACAACATTATTCTATATAATCCGAAACTATTAGTTTCATTTAAATTTTAAATAAACATTATTTTAACAAACTATTCATATTAAATAAACAATTAATAAACCTATACTTCTATATTTTATTTCAACAGATCGTGTATTAAATATTCATGTAACTCTACGTTTCCAGATGCCTACTCCAATCAACAGCTAGTGTATCAATGGCAGAATTCCCAGAGCGTCAACTTTGTTCCCGGCATGACTTTATCCCAATTTGATCTCATCAGCTTTCCATATAGAAATTTTACATTCACCAGACGTGAAGGTGAGTAAAACAACATTTTATTTATCGATCAATATAATATTTTAAACTCCGCTGTTCTGATATATTTCAACATTTGTAACTGAGTTCAAACCACTTACATTAATGAAAAATTACTATCGCAACTTTGTGTAGTAAAGAAAATTGTATTTACATTTTATATTATAAATTTATTTAAATATACTTTAGATTAATAAGAAAATATAATAATAGTTTCATGTAATGAGAATTTTTAATGGAATATTAATTTAATTGACGATCTAATACCCAAATACGTATATATCTAGACAACAATATCGTGGAACAGTCTATCCGTCCTACTAAAACCGACCTCGATATATCCGCTTACGATTTAATATGATTCCACACACTCCGATAGATACATGCAAAATTTCGGCCAAAATAAATCCCCGTATATAAATTTCTGTACAATATTTCAAAATTCAATATTAAAATGTTGAGCCTCATTCTCAGTCGCTCGAGCTTAAATTCTATTTTTCCTTGAAATTCTTTAGTTTATAAAACGTATGGATTTTAACAGCACGACTGAGATTTGATATATTCGCGAAAAGATTTACTTAAACAAGTATCTTATTGAAATGCAACGTTACTTGCAATATAAACGGTTTAAGTTATTTTTCTATTTTATATTTTATACTTATAGAAGATAGAAACTTTTTACGAAGCCTGAAATCATTTAAAATAAACTTAGATAATATAAAATAAATAAAAAATGTCATGACTCTTTTAATGGTAATAATGAAAATATTATTCTTTATTGTACAATGTACACCTTTAAATTAACAACTATTGTTGAAATGTTGGCGTCATCAGTCCTACAGATTATTCTCATCCAGATGGTTAAGAAGGAATCATAAATAATTATATTTAAATAATATCCATAAAACACAGTTAACGTCAAAACTAATAATGAATAAATAATAATAAAAAAACGCTCTTTTATAGCTAACCGAACTAAAAATAGAAAATAATTTTCACTTACAAAGAAATTATATGTATTACAGTAATAGAAGGTCAAAGAATCATTCATGGTTTATCACCGTAAAATAAAGTTATAACAAAATTTAAGTTACTAATAGAATAATTTAATTCAGATTTAAAAGCGTGGGATGAATTTGAGTACATTTTATATCTTTACCGTGATAGATAGTTGCCAGAAAAATGATTGTAACATTCAATATGAAGCACCAAATACAAGCAATAAAAGCGTGTTAGAAAATAGTATGTATAAGCTCACAACAAATGTACATATGTAATAAGTCAAATAATCTTTATATATATATATATATATATATATATATATATATATATATAATTCTTCTGTGAGTGTGTTTGATGATTTTGACTGATTTTGATGAAATTTTTTGTGTGTGTTCAAGGCGATCTGGGAATCTGGGATTTTCACAGTTTTGTCCGCTGGACAATATTTTTTTAATAAATTTTTAATTTAGTCGTAGTTGTTAATACAAACGTTTTTTTTTTTGACATTAGATTTGACAACTAACTAATATGTCAATCATTCTGTTCGATTGAAAAGAAAAAATTTAATAAATACCAATAACTGGTTATTTAAGACGGAATAGAGTTCGCCCGGTCAGCTAGACATTTCTATTTAGAAAAGGGCTGTTTTTTGGGGTTTTCTCGGAAATTAATCAAATTTTTTCACTTTTAAACCTTTCCTGAACCTTCACGAACCTTTCAAGACTAAGAGAAGATAAATCCTTTCAGCCGTTCTCTAGTTTTAGTGAGACTAACAACAGCAATTCATTTTTATATAGATTGTATATTATAAAAAAAATAAAACAAAAAATTTCGTCCGAAAAAAAAAACTAAGGGTGAACAACCCTTATGACTTAGGGGTATGAAAAAATAGATGTTGGCTAATACTCAGACCTACTCAGTATGCTCACAAATTTTCATCAAAATCGGTCCAGTAGTTTTGGAGTCCTCTGTTTAACACCGCGACACGAGAATTTTATATAGGTATAGGACTAGCTTTCCGTCCGGTTATACATAGGTATAAAACTATCCTATGTTCTTTCGCAAGGTCAACTCTATCTCTATACCAAATTTCATTAAAATCAGTTCAGTGGTTTAGACGTGAAAGCGTAACAGACAGACAGAGTTACTTTCGCATTTATACTATTAGTAGGGATGTAGATCTATGTTACTATAATATACACTATATTTTTTTAAATATATGTATATTTTTCCGTGTACAGGCGACTTTTCTGTCCTCCAAGTATCTTTCAATCTGAAGCGACACACGGGCTATTTTCTCATTCAAGTGTACGTGCCCTGCATACTCATAGTGGTTCTATCATGGGTCTCCTTCTGGATTCACAGAGAGGTATTTGTTAAGTTACAATATTAAGTACACAAACAATACTTTAAAAGACTGACTTAAATAGTCTGATATTTCTTTAGACGAAGAGCTTCGAGAATACTGACAAAGTCAGTCAGTGATCACTTTTGCTGTAATCGAAACGTTAGATACTTTAGAAAATCGCTAAATTAATCCAATAGTATATTGCTAACTCAAACCACAGTTTTGTACGTGTCTCCTCTATTCTACAAAAAAATGGCAGAACATATTGTTCACGGTTTTGTACAGATGAGGGCCATTTTAGAAACAATTAACCAACCAGCAATTACTTTATTTAAATTTTTACTCACAAATCATTGTACACACCATTTCATTAAAAACCACTAAGTCTTTAGACTATTTGAAGTATCCAAAACAATGTTTATAGTCTCGAATGAACTCTTGTAATGTTTCATGTAATATATAGGCGACATCAGACCGGGTGGGGCTCGGCATTACGACCGTGTTAACTCTGTCAACAATCAGCTTGGACTCACGAACAGATCTGCCGAAGGTGCGGTACGCCACTGCACTCGACTGGTTTCTGTTGATGAGCTTCTTCTATTGTATCGCTACGCTTCTTGAGTTTGCTGGTGTACATTATTTTACAAAGGTATGATACACACTTTGGCATATGAGACGAAACCTCGTAGCAACTCATATATGCACCGCAGGGGTACCGGGTCCATCGTTACAGGGAGAGGAGCTTCAACAGTGACTGAGATTTGTGACCCATATGTAGGCTTAAGGGGTATCTATCTAACGCGCGTTAAATGCTCACCTCCACTCTCCAAGCTTCTCTCTATCCTTTCATTGGGCATATTTTAATTATAAAAAGAGTTTCAGTGTTTCAATTGAATAGCTATTAAAATTATTTTTTTTCCTATCTTCCCTCATTTTAATCATTTTCAATAACGAATTTAAAAAGGTGGACTTCTTTCTTCAAATCTTTATCTTTAATCAGGTCGGTTCCGGTGAAATAGTGATTGATGATTCAGAGTGGGAAGACTTAATCGAGGAGGTAGGTGGAGACGCCTTCGCAGCTCGACAACTGGCTGTGAGGAGACGAAGTTCAACCAGATCTTCAAATAACTTTGTTAGTACAACTGATCAACTCTCTTACAGCTATACCAAGCTACGTTATATTACTGCTTAGAATGTAAATGTAATTATTCCTTTAAGAATATCACGAATTTTCATCTTGTTTGTTTTATTTCAACAGAGAACTTACTTTAGTATTTTATACTAACATTCCACGAACATCCATTCTTACAAACTTTCAGTATGACAGTTACAGGACTTAAACTATGAAGTAAATTATATATGTTTCAAAGTTATTTTCAGGTATTTTATAAATGAATACACCGATTTGTTTCTTTAAAATTAGTTTTTCTATACACGTACTGGGTCATTTCAGACCTAAATAGGTTTTTAGAGTGATAAAGTGTTTGTTCAAAATAGGCATTACAAATTTAGAGAAAAATTCAAAGATACTTACATTACTTAAATTTCTCATGGTCTTGATCAGCGAGAAATTTCAAACTCTTGTTATAAACAGCGACCTACGAAATGATCACCCGGTGATAGTAAAATCTATATATAACAATACTCTATATAGCATTCAAAGAAACTCAAACATTCCAATAATTATATGAAAAGATATCCCCAAATTTGATAGTTATGGATGTGAATGCAACCAAGACATTCAAAAGATTCAATTATTCTTAAAATCTCGTTTAGAACAAGTTCATTGTGTAAATGAAACTAATATTTTTTGTATATACTTACTAATAATAGAAATATATATAATAGAAATATATATAGAAAAACATTAGTTTCATTTAATTTTATTTATTTATTTATATTTTGGAAACAAACAGTACTATTAATAATTATAAATATTGTACATAATTAAACCTTAAACCAAAACAGTTTCCTATGATAAATTATACATACCTAAATAACTTTCAGAATGTAGAAAGCATATTAATGATTACTATTATAAATTATTATCATTATAAATATTAAAATTAAAACTTTAAATTCAAAATTAAATTATTAAAACTCGCTAAAGTCTCAGATCTCATTAAGTTCATTGTGGATATTGAAGCAGTTCTGTTACGTATATTCCAGAGTATGCCCGGAATATCAGACAATGAAGGTGAAGTACAGGAACAGCAATCAGTTCGTTTGACGATGGATCGTACCACCCAAACGGAGGTACGGGTTCCTCATTGGAGACAGCTACTCTACTGTCTAGCAGGAGACGATCAATATAGAAGACAGCGGCAAAGAGAAGCTGGTGAGTTAGGAATAACCTAGACGAAGTTTATCAATAATTTTATTACGTAGGGTGGTAACCAGAGGTTCCAGGAAAACTACGAAACTTATTTATATGTGTTGAGATAGTACGAAGTTACGTGAGTAGTGCCACCCGACATATAATATGTAAAAACGATCTATTCAATTCAGTTGTCGCCTGAATATCATTGTAATATCTTTGTCTGGTTTAAATATATTCGCGTAAATATCACCTATTTATTCATAATCCTACAATATGTATATTATAATGAGAATTACATATTAAAACTTATAACCTACAGACTACATGATTGCCCCGATGTTAGAATAGCAATAATTCCATAGCTTGTGTGGTATTGGAATCTTCTGGTTCACACAGCTTGGTGTTCGTTCTGCGGAGTCAGTAGCGTCATTAGATATATGATATTTCATCCATACAACGATGTTGCCCCGGCGATGTTCATTTATTTTCAATATAACGCGTACCTAACAAATTGATTAATATTTTAGTTTTAGCTAGAAATCATAAAAACCAAGACATTACTATAGTTTTCTCTCTTAATACAACACGCGTATGTTTCCGTACTAATGCTATTAAATCTATTTGTTCTTTATGTTCAAGGTAATCGCGGTCACATCAACAGTGTGTCTCACATAGACCGGGCCGCCCGCGTCCTGTTTCCAGCCTCCTTCGCGCTCCTGAATCTCTTCTACTGGATGATCTACGCTTTCTCCAACGATACTTTCGCTTGGAGCGACCATCCCATCAATACTCTGTCTCATTAACTTCTATCTACACTAAATTCGCTTGATTTCCTTTCCAATTTGCTAAATTGAATCCAGATATTTTATTTTGATTAGAATCAATTTTTTAAATCTATTTATGTGAGTATATAGAAGTAATATAGATATTAGATAATTATATTATTTGTAGAGACCATTAATTTAATTCTTTTAAGTGTAATTTATAACTTTAATAATAATAAAATGTTAGGTATAGCGACTTAATTATTGTCTTTAGAAGTATTTTTTTAGTTTTAAGTAAGTTTAAACTTTTATGATATTCGTAGTTACAATTTAACTTGGTTCGCAAGTCTCAGGCACTGATGAAGCTCCTCTAGCTCCTATAGAACAGTAGTACATAATTTGACATTACCGATTTATCTTAAGTTTTAAAAAATACGTATTTATGGATAAATTTAGAATGACCTAAAATTTAAACAAAATATTTAAATATTAATTAAGAGGTAGCTCGAGTATAATTTATTTTGTAAAGGTTTTTACCACTCTGGATACGAGTCCTTTTGAGCCAACCGTTAATCAACTTTCACTAGAGTTTCCATATCCAATTCTATGATGCATAGTAATTTATTCATTAGCTGCACTTTTCACAAAAACATTTCATTCACAAAATATTTGATGTAAACAAAACAATTTTCTATGTATGTATTAATAAGATTAGGAACAGTTAAAAACATCAAGTGTTGCAAAGCATATGTAAATTTTTCACTTGTAGCAATACTATTAATGTAATTTTAATTGATGTATTATTGTTTAGATAAAATTAAGGAAAAGATGTTTTGTTTTATTTCCCGCCTACATTATTCCTTGTCTGCTTAAAAAAAAAGGAAAAAGAAAACCAATAGAGATATCTTATTTTCGTTTATTCACACATAATATATTGTTTTAGTGTTGAAAAATAAATTAGGTATAGACATATAAATATATACAAAGACATAGCAGCTCGTTCAATAAATAGCACGATTTTACCTCATATAATATTAAACATTATTTGTAGAGAGCAAATATTTCAGATTTGGTCCAAAATTACAAGAAATACAATTATTATAAATAATTAATTAGGGTACGAACATGTTCCACGCCATCTTAAATTCTATATTATAATAGACAATGACATTTTTATGACACATGTCAAAAGATGCAGATATATTTGACTAGACAATACTATAAAAATGTACTTTTTAATATAATATTTGTTTAAGTCTCCGAATTAATTTAGAAATATATATTTTAACAAGGCGGGACTGGGACATGAAAAATTCTTTAATTCTAAGGACAAGGCATTGGAATTAACACACGTGGAATGTATAAGGCTAACGTCATAAGTCTTCCCATAAGTATATATGGTACATTATGTGAAGGTACAGTAACAACTATGCTTATAAAATACGATAGTAAAGTCTGGAAAAGCTAGAACTTTAAAAATATCTAAGCTATTTCTTTTGTTAATATAATTTTATCTGTGAAATTTGACACTTAAATATTTTGGACAATAATTTGTTACTTATATTTATTGAATATATGAAATTAATGATTTTTCCTCAAGTTCTAGTTAATCGTGACTTACTTATCGTTACACATATCGCTGTACCAATTTTTATTATATAATAAGAAATATTTTTATTCATAATCCTCCATTTTCTAAATTTATTTACTAAGCAGGTTTTATATGGCGAAAATAATTAGTTATTTATATAAGCTGACAACATTCAAAGATCAATGATGTTCCTCCACAGATACAATTAGAATTATAAATGAGAAATATATTTTTTACAAATATTTTCTCTTCGTATCAGATCTTTTGTTTATACATATATATCATTAAAATTGTAAATATTTATATAATTATATAGCTTTTAAATTGGCGATGTTACAAAGTTATTTAAACGTGATTATATACATCTAATAATCAAAGATTTCCATTGAAACAATAATAGTAATGTTGTACTACACAGTAATAAAAACATTTCCATATATTTCTCTATATACAAATATTATTTTGTACATCGTATAAAGTCTACAGCGACCACTGAAGTACAGCTCCACGTGTTTCTATCACACGTCAATTTATATTTCGACGAGTAATCATTAAAGCATTTATTGTTTTAAATACGAAACTCCCGGCTCGGCTTTTAATATAATCCAAACATTTTAGAAATCGTATTATTTACGGTTTTTTGTTATTTTTATGCGATGAATATTTCACATCACTAGCTGTCATCATAACGTTTTATGTAAGAGTAAGAAACATATGGACAAGTCTTGAGTTATGATTGGTTAAATTCTATCGGCAAGTCGAGGAAGGTTAGGTTCAGCTGCCGAGGGCGCCACATCCACACACTACGGAGTATTGAACACTTACCTCGCATACAATAAATAGACCTAACTTAAATATTCAAAATGTATAAATATAAATAGTTAAATCACAGATTCTACTTTACTGTCTATTCTACGTCTATTCATCCTTCTTCTTGACAACCAAGTACACGTTCATGTTGTCCTTACCTTTCACGTATACACTGCCGCGTGGTTCGAGCTCGTACTTTAAAGACAACACCGGTATACAAGCCTCTCCCACCTGGATCCGCTTGGGAACACCCGTGGAGTCCATTCGTGAAGCAATATTGACGGCATCACCCCATATGTCGTAGTACAACTTGGTGGTGCCAATGACCCCAGCAGTGACGTCACCGTAGTTGTAACCTATGCGTAATATGAAGTCGAATTCAAGCAAATCCTGGTTGAAATTGTCCACTACTTTTTGCATCTCGAGTGCGAAGTCCATTAGCTGGTATAAATGGTCGTAAGGGCCGCGTGAGGACCTCGCCCGTAGGTCGGGATTCAAGCCACTCGCCGCCATGAATGTACTACCGATAGTCTTAATTTTTTCCACGTGCTGGAACTCCTGCCTTTCCAGCAATTCGTCAAAGTCCGCGATCAACTCGTTCAAAACCCTCAAATACTCTTTCCCTTTCAGATAAGATTCGTCGTACATCTCATTGAAGTTGACGATGCTCGCGAAAATGATAGCGACGTCCCGATGGTTCTCCGAATACTTGGCGGTGCTCTTCAACTGGTCGGCTACATGTCTTGGTATAATATTGTGTAGCAACCAATCAGCCTGGTTCCTCATGTTCTGCACTCTTTGCTTATCTCGGTTCGCAACCACGTTGCTGTAAAAACTCAATCTATAACTGATTTCGAACTCTCTATTCAGAAACCAGACTAATATCAAGAGTAACGCTATGTCCAAATACAGTTCGGTCAAATGCATCTCATGATTAACGGCATCTGAACCGATGGTGATATTCTGCATGAGGTCGTCGGAGGTAACATTCAATATGAAGCTAGTTATATTTTGAGCGACCATCTGCGGGTTTAATTTAATATCAGAATATAGTAATTGAGTATTGGCTTCGTGACATCCGAGAACGGCGAAGAATAGGAACAAACCGGCGTACAGAGTCACTAATGTGTTCTTGACCAGCCAACTCATCTGAGTGAAATTGCAGAAGTGAACTATACTTATATATAGAAGATACACGTAGAAGGATTGTTCGCCTTTCAATATGGTTAAAGTCGTATTCTGGCAAGAAAAGTTGATCAGAACGGCCAAAATCGGTAAACTTATCAATAGGCTCCCCGATAAATGCCAAGGATACCAATTGGATAGGTTCCTGAATATCTTCACAGATCGCCTCATAGTGTCAGTTACGTCGTGAGGATCATGCTTCGTCTTCCACTTCAAGTAATGTCTGTACACACAGAAGGCCATCGCCACAGCTTCTATTATGATGAAGAAAGCGAACCAGCCTATCGTGAACTGCCACTCTGAATACACGACCAGTATCGATGATATGACCGCTAGTAAAATGATCGCAGACACCAGAATATCTAAAGCCGTATTAAATCTGGATGTAGTTAGCGTCGGTGGGAAATCCTCGCAGTCATCGCTTCTATGGGCCTTGTCGCGATAGTGCATTTCCATTTCGGGATATTTAAAGAACAGTGTTATCCTGTTCAATGGAGGTTGTACGAAATAATTTATTCCTGATCTGGCGTTGTCTTGGACGCATCTTATGAGTTGAAGGTCCGATTGTTTCCTGAGCTTCTGCAGAGATTGGACCTGTTCCTCGTTTAGTGGAGGGGGAAGCCTTGCTCTGGAAGGGAGGTCGTTAACCGAGGATTGACTTGAAGTATAGTAACCGGACACTCTATGTTGCATCATGTCAGCTTGTGATGTAGCTAGAGCATGATTCAGAGCGAATATCTGAAAAAAATTGATATCGATTATTATCAATTGATATTGGGTTATAGATTAAATTTAAAAATATACATACTATTTTTATATCATTTTCATATCGATAAGAAAGCTTTTATCTTGGACAAATTACTAAATGGTTAAGGTAACAAATAAGAGCCATTTAAGTATGTATCAATGAAGTAGTAAGTACCATTTATTTTATGGAACATCAGATCAAATGATTAGAAATCAACAGTAAGTAATATAGGGGATTCATTATATACGGATCCCTGTTGTTTACTGTATTGAAAATATCAATCCCAGAACAACATTACGACTCACCTGTTGTTGTATACTGGATCTCCTACTAGTGCTTCGTATCCCAGAATCCTTCCTGCTGTTGACGGAGGGACATAGACTGACTGCGTCATCCAGACGAGCCTGGAGCGGCAGATTTAGGCGACGGTCCTTGGGGCGAATCAGTTCGCCCTGGGTAGCCAGTGTGGAACTACGTGCTCTACACACAGGCACCTACAATAACAATGAATTCTTTCAAATTTGGCTGGGTAAATAGAGGAGCTTGGACGGTGGAGAGCGTTTAACGAGTTAGATAGGGGCTTTTAAACCTACACCTGGGTCGCAAAACTCAGTCACTGTTGAAGCTCCTCTCACTACAACGATGGACCCGACACCTGTACGGTGAATACATTGAATGCTGAGAGGTTTCAAAAAGAATTTCTTAAAATATACATATTTCATTGAAATATTTAAAAACGATAAATTTAATTATTAAAATAAATATCACACTGTAATAAAAAGTATCGTGTTTCTTTGGTAGTGCTAAAATTAGCATTCCCAAGTGTTCGATCTCCCGAGCTAAACTTTTACGATAAAACAATATTAGTCGATAACACTTACGTGAGTTTCAAAGAAATATCAAAGTACATATATTAAGTTTCAAACATAATATAAGTTACCTCTGTGTTATTTCTTCCGTACTGGGATCTATAGCTGCTGCTTCTTGCAAACGGCGACATATTGCTTCTAGATTGGCTCAAATATGACCGAATATCGATGACCTCCCTCTCAAAGGTTTCCTGGTTGCTGGGTAGGTTCAGTTTACTGCTGTTCTGGTTTCTTTTCTCCTGAGATTCTATAACGATGGGCACTTGGTGGTAGCCTCTATTGGACTGCAAGCCATCGTCACCCCTCTCTACCAAGTGAATGGTCTTATCGCTTAACTCTCGTTTCTTCATCTCGTGCATCGGAGCGTCCGAATGTTTCCTCAGAAACCTCGGCACCTTCCAGTTCCTCAGTTTGTTAGTATACTTGCCGTAGCTTCCTGGAATGATAATCGAAGCTAAATCCGGTTTCCATTAATTCTCATGCCATCCCATGCTCGCGTGATTTTCGTGTGAATTCGTATTATAATTTTTTTATAGCTCATTCTGATCCGGAAACACGTGTTATTAGTTCGTCTTTGATAATTTTAATAACTTACATCAGAACTGAATAAAATGTATGTATAATAATTTATATATTATTAGTTTATTTAAACAGCGTCGGTGATTTTAAAATCTATTTATCTACTTAACGACGGAATGCTATTCAATGTGTGTGACTGTATGTATCAGATGTGATATTCGCGTCGAGCTAAAATAACCCCTATTGTATATAGATACGGACTGAAATAGCGCACTTTATTATCAAGTTGAAAGCAAACTCGCAACGATGACTGTATCCAATGATTGGTTGTCGATAAATTTATTTTCGGTACATTTTTTTCACTTTCAAAATCAAGTTTCGTACCCGGGTCGTGTAATGAAGCGTGTTTCATATTATTGACGTACGATTCATTAAATTTAATGTTTACATCGAATATATAACATGTAACTTCAATTTATCTATTTTTATTCATTTGCTTTCAATGATATAACGATAAAAAGTTACAAGAATTGCATTGTAGTAAAGAAATTATGTATTTATATCGTTATTAGCGTAGTTACTAATTGTTTAATAGTTGCGTAATAAAAATAATTATGGTATAATAATAACAGGACATATTTTTTTCTTCATCCAGTTATGGCGTGATGGCCAGGGAGCATCACCTTGGAGCAATTAAGAAGCAATCTATATCTTATCTCCCGTTCCTTGTACTGATAAGACACTTAATAAATAAAAGATGGCCAGTTTATTATATTAAGTAAAACTCATGATATATATTGTTTCTTTAAATACTGTTAAGAATTAATTATTCTGATGCAATTTGCTAGTCAATTAAGATCGCAGGCGGGCATGTTAAAGCAACCCATATATGTATATATATAGCGTATGACCTATTTGAAGTGTATTTTAAGATAAACCGTTACTATATTATCGACGTACCGACAGACGTGGGACTTTTTGATGAATTTCCATTACGTTCTGGGAAACATTTCTTCTCGTCCATTTCGGTATCCGAATCCAGAATACTTGGGAGCGAGCTAGCTTTGTTACGGAAGTTGAATGGGCTGGGCGAGAGGAAGTTTCTAGAATGATTCACTTCACTCCTTGGATTCTTTTCCTCCGTAGATGATTCACTGGTCTTAGTGGACAACGGCAGCGGGGAATTGTTGAAGGATAGCACGGATTGGGGGGAAACTGCTGGGGAAATGATCAGACGGAGATTAATAGGATTGGTGGGGGAGAGACAGTGATCGTGATCGTACGGGGAGCTCATCTGGCGGCCCTCTATGAAGTAGGTTTTATGACCTGGACACATTCAACACATGAGATAAGGGACATGCTGATGACCTACACAAGTTAAATCCGTATATAATTACCGAAAACCTCTTCAGATTCTTCCAACACATAGGACCCGCCTAGAAACTTGCTCGTCTCTTCGGATATATGAACTCGACCCGGCTTTCCAGTAGACTCCATTTTGTTAGCAAAACTGACGTCATTGCTCCAAACATCGAATTTGAATCTCCTAGTACCGACAATACCACATAATACTGTCCCGGTATGGACACCCACTCTCATATTAACGCCCTCGCCTCGCTCGCGATCGAATTCCTGAATTGCATCTATCATTCCTGTAATATTCCATTGTGTGTTTAGAAAATGAAATTCCTATTTATCGATACACGAAATTTTGTTACTTATATCATCATATCTCGAATAAAACAAGAAAAAGCTAAATGTATAATAAGTGTGATAAATTGAACGTTTATTTAAATAACAAACGGATCGATTGATCGTTTTATGAGCCGTAAATAGATAATAAAATATGGAGGTCATGCTAAATCTTAATACTTGTTTCACGTAATGTACTCACCGAGTCCCATTTCGACGCAACAGGTCGCGTGATCCGGCCGAGGCTCCGGACAACCCGACACGCAGTAATAGCAGTCCCCTAAAGTCGAGATTTTCTCGCATCCATGACTTATACACAACTCGTCAAATTTCTCAAAGAGATCGTTCAGTATATTGACTAGCTCCTCCGCGCCTTTATTACTCGACATTCTCGTGAAGCCGACGATATCAGCGAATAGAATGCTCACGTTATCCATCGAACTCATATTAAAAGGTCTAAAAAGTGACTTTATATCTGAGGCGCCCGGTTGAGAGTTTCTAGGGTGCAAAGGATCGTGTCTTTTAAGATTCGTATCCGATTCAAACACTTGCTCTTTCATCAAACAGCTCGCTAACTTCGGCGGCATAACGGAATGAATCATTTTCTCCTTTAATTGTTTTTCCATTTCCAGCTGCCTCCTAACTAATAAACTTTGACCCACTTTCATAAACGTGCCGCGCATTCTCACAAATGTCATAAGATATATATGTACGCCGATAATGTGCACGCAGAGCTGGAGTAAAATTCTAACAAACATTCCGGAGTAATGCAATTCTTGTTCGGATAACTGTGAGATGACGTTCAGTACTTCGAAAACTATGGAGTATAATAGTCCAGTAATGACACAAGCGAACAAGGGTAGTGGAGTCAGGGTATAAATGATCAGTAGGATCTCTAAACACATAGTAAAATGTCCAGATTGACTAATATCCGCTGTTTTATATAAATCAGTTTCAATCTGTGTCGTCAGCGTCACCAACGATAGGCTCAATGAACATAGAGCTAGCGCCATTATCAAGGACAGCTTGGAAGTATACAGCTTGTATATATTGGTGAACGTAACAAACAGCATGACACTCGTGATTAGAAGAACACCAGCGAATAAAGAACACAGAAATTTCCATTTCACATTAACACCATTCATGCCGAGAATGATAAAGTAAATGAACCATGACACAGAAAATATTAAAATATATAAAAGTGCAAATCTGAAAAGAAATTACACACATTAGGGACTTAAACTTCCAAGACGGGACAAGCTATTCAATAGAGAACAAGCACATCTAGAATATTTATCACTCACCTGAACCGTAATCTTATTTGCCTAAATGAGCTACTCCTGTATTGACCTTCAAGTATTTCCGAGTCAAAACGTGGATTCCACCACGTTCCAGCAGCTGCTCTTTCAAAAGCAATCGGTATGGCAAATCCGCAGCAGTTAGTCGTTGAATTATTATGAGCCAAGTATGCTTGTACATGAGGTGCGATTCTGATCTGAGCATCTTCCCCTTCCGAACAATCATCATGTTTAGTGTCATAATGTTCTGACCCTTCGTTGCAAGTGACACACCCACTTTGTCCACTCATTTTTTATATAAAATCTATTTCATTATATTCCATTTTCATATAAGCACATAAAATGCACACTGTTTAGACCCAATCTACAATACAATAAGCCACACTAAGTAACTAAAGTTCGTTACTTTCAAAAAATATTTAATAATGTACTGAATAAATATTAAAACACTGTCTCTTGATATTTTGATCAAGATTACATTAGCAACACATCTGTAAGTTTTTTTTTGTTTATATTATGATTTTAAAAACGAAACAAGGTCTTTTAGATAAACATGTCATGTTTTGAAATAAAATAAAACAAATAAATCCAGATAATGGCCTCAATTTCAGTAAATCTTAAAATATATATATTTTTTGAGATAATAAAATTACGTTAATACAATACAATTTTACTTTGGTATAAAATTCAGAAAATTTTTAAAGGGATAGTTTTTCTTATGAAATAATAAATTGTGATGAATGTTTTTCATATTTAAGATTAATTTTACTTTATAATTTACCTCATAATTATAAAAACATAACACAAAATTGAATATACTAAAATATTGAAGTGGTAGTTTATCCATACTTACCATTTTCAGACCAAGGTTATAATTTCTTGTCTGAGAACTATTTTGACACTAAAATATCGCTATCACTGATGAAACACTAAAATTGGAAAGCATGCTATCATATCCTTTCTTTATTTAGGGTCACTACTAAGTTATAAAGAGTTCTATCAGACACAAAATGTACGTATTTCATTAGCTTGTGATGCTACATACGAGACTAATCACTGAGCTGTTCTGACTGAAGATGACAACTGACACAGGAACGATCGCTGTCAGCTGACATAAGTGTATTGTGAAATTACGTTACAGACTAAACCAATTAGAAATTATTGAAGATTGCTTATTAAAAATAATTCATGATGAAAACATTTTAATGTAAAATTTAAGTAGTAATAGTATTATTAAAAGTTAAAGTGATCTTTCCTAGAAATGTTTGATTTATATCGTCATTCGTCAGTTATCTTTAACATTGTCTTTTACTCCTTTCACACAATCCTTATTAATTAATAATATTATAAATGCGAAAGTAACTCTGTCTGTCTGTCTGTTACGCTTTCACACCTAAACCACTCAACTGATTTTAATGAAATTTGGTACAGATATAGAGTTGACCTTGAGAAAGAACATAGGATAGTTTTTATCCCAGACTTTTGAAAGGTTCTCTTGGAAACGCGATATAACCGAACTCCACGCGGAAAGCTAGTTCCATATATTTTACTTGTAGGTAAATAAAAACCATTATAAATATCAACAATTTATTTTTATAAAATAATCATTTAATACGATAATAACATTTAATTTTAAATTCTGAATATATCACAATTCACAACAATTAAATACATTATGAAAACTATGCGGGCTATATTACAAAATAGAATATCAAAAATACAAAGTTCTCATCGGTAAATAATATCAAGGCACATAACAAGCACCGGTATTGCTTAAATTTATAACATCAACCTCATTTGAGCTTAAATTTAATTATTAGTTCTCTTATTATTCTTATTCTAAATAAATTACCATTATTTAGCAAGCAAATAATCATTATTTACATGCTTGTTGATCGATCATGTCATATTGTTTTTTATAGAAACTAAATAAATACTGTTTTGTACTACATTAGTCATTATACATCCCATCTAGTAGAAAGTCCATCCGTTTGTAGTGTCTATTCTTCCAGGCTTCTTTTCCTCGTTTGAGAGCCAAATACGCGACAACTGCAAACATGGGTACAACTAAAATGGTTATCACGATTGGTATTATAAGGCCAGGATGGCTGCCGGCCTTCATCACTTGTACTTTAACATCAGGTTCATCCTCTTCTATATGTACATGGTTTATTTCATCCATTTTAGCTAGAGATTCATGCGAAAGAACCAACGGTTTCAGTATTTTGGTTACATTTAACTTTTCTGTTCCGTTTGAGACTGATGTCGTGTTATCACTAGTAGGTGTTACTAGTGTAACCTTTGATATCAGATTATTTTGGTTTTTAATAGTAGATGAGCTTTCATCTGATAAGTGTCCTGATTTGCTGATGTCATCTGCTGCATCATATTTAACACCTTTCCGTGGAACTACAGACTTTGGCTTACTTATAGTGAGCTCCTTATCTATGTTAATCAGAGTATGATTCTCTTTTGGCAGCGTCACAGAATTATTTGATGTAATCGCACCACCCTCGGTAATTAGGGTGTGATTAACGGTATCTTTACTTACGGAAGTTATTTTATTCAGCGTCGGATTCGTATCACTGACCTTAGAAACAGGGATTACCTCTCCTAATGTAAAAGAAATAAACAAAATGTTGCAAATTATCAGATGTTTATACATTTTGGTTTCTAACCACTGTTAATAGTCTAAATAATTACATGGACCAATATATGCTAAATTAAATGTTAAAGCTAATATTTTGGTTAAAAATGGGAAATAAAAAATACAAAAATATAACTATTAATAAATTCTCAATAAATCACAAACATTCTCAGAAATGACATTAGCCAGATGATTATTAACTGTCTGATATAGTGTTGTACATGATAAGACTTTTTTATATCGATTTTTTTTGTGTAATTAAAATTTTTGTTCGAAATGAAATATTAAATTTACCAGTAATTTCTATAAAATTAATATATTTAAATTCTATCATACATTTTATATTATATAAATCGTGTAATTGACATAAAAGTGACGGTGACACACACGACTTTCAAATGACATATTCTTCAAAATAATAATTTATTTGAAATCATTGTTCTGACTTCTGTATAGTTTTGTATAGGTAGAATTAAAAGAGAGTGCGCAATTTCGTAGAGAAATGAGGACCCGAAGCAATTCGGGGGTCCGATTAGATTATTATCAAAGAGTTGTTCATAAACTAATTTTAGACCACCAGCAACCTGTTACGGGTCTGTTTCCAGCTAGTTCTAATAATGATCATGCTTGGATTAGAGACAACTTATACTGCATACTGGCAGTATGGGGCCTTTCTATGGCATTCAAGAAAATCGCCGACCAAGATGAAGATCGAGCTAAAACATACGAGTTGGAACAGAGTTGTGTGAAATTGATGAGGGGTAGATAAACAAAATAAACCTATAAATTACAGGGTTCATTTATACATGATATTTAACTGTGTTCCTACTGCTTCTTTTTCATTTTACAGGATTATTAAATGCTATGATGCAGCAAAAGGATAAAGTGGAGAAATTTAAAAGCACCCAACATCCACTGGATTCCTTACATGCTAAGTACTCATCTATCACTGGCTGCACAGTTGTTAAAGACAATGAATGGGGCCATCTACAAATAGACGCTATCTCGCTCTATCTTTTAATACTTGCTCAAATGACTGCCTCTGGTCTGCAAATAGTATTCTCCCTAGATGAAGTGGCATTGATCCAAAACTTAGTATTCTATATAGAGTCTGCTTACTGCACTCCCGATTATGGTATATGGGAAAGAGGAGACAAAACAAATCATGGCTTACCTGAACTCAATGCTAGTTCCATTGGTATGGCTAAAGCAGCTCTTGAAGCAATGAACGAGCTCGATTTATTTGGGGCTCGAGGAGGGCCATCTAGTGTTATTCATGTTTTAGCAGATGAAGCACAGAAATGCCAGGCCGTTTTACAATCAATGCTTCCTAGAGAGTCTAATAGTAAAGAATTGGATTCCGGTCTACTCTCAATAATAAGTTACCCGGCATTCGCAGTTGATGATCCTCAACTTATCAACAAGACGAGAGAGACAATTGTGTCGAAACTGCAAGGAAAGTACGGCTGTAAGCGTTTCTTAAGAGATGGTCACAAAACACCACGAGAAGACCCAAATAGACTGTACTACGAGCCATGGGAATTGAGGATGTTTGAGAATATTGAATGCGAATGGCCATTGTTCTTCTGCTACTTGATCTTAGATTACTGGTTCCAGAATGATAAAACAAATGCAACGGAATACTTGCAGAAGCTCGAGAAGATCATGATAAGGAAAGAGGATGACGGAATCAAACTTGTACCGGAGTTGTACGCTGTGCCGATCGATAAAGCAAATCAAGAGCAGCAGGAACCGGGCAGCCAGGAACGAATTCCGTTGGGAAGGTGTCCATTTTTGTGGGGACAGTCGCTTTACATACTTGGGAAATTATTGCAAGAGGTAAGCAAGTCTTCATAAATGTAAGTTAAATTTTTCATTATTCTAGAGACTTGGTATTTTATATGAAGGAAGTATTGTGATCTGCCGATAAATTATGTATTGCCTTCAATGTTCTTTTTCTACCTGGCAATTTTCCTAGCTTTAAGCCAGGGTCTGCCTTACATGTTGTAAATAGTTTTGGCTAATTGTTTTTACAACCGCGCGCCTGCCTGACATCAACCTTCTTTGGGAATGTATTAATCAGTGATGTCTAAATACTCTTAGAAAGTATGTATGACTCGGAAGAATCACATTGGTACTTGCCAGAATCGATCTCATGCATTAGAGGCAGGCTTTTAACCACTAGGCCTCTACTGACTATTATAATTTTATAACTATGTTTCAAATCTATAAATTTTGACTCCATAAGTATTTCCTATGAGCTAATGAGATAATGTTAGAATTTTTTGTAGGGATTTTTGGCAGTCGGAGAATTAGATCCGCTGAACAGAAGATTGTGTTCGGAGAAGAAGCCTGATGTTGTTGTCCAGATCGTGATACTGGCTGAGGACAATGAGATCAGGGACAAGCTTCTGGAGTATGACCTTCATGTTCAGACTATCAGTGAGGTGGCACCTATTGAAGTACAGCCCGCGAGGGTGCTGAGCCATCTGTATACTTACTTAGGTTAGTGACGTCACTACGTACATACATACTTACATACACACATACATGCATGCATACATACATACATACATATATACATACATACATACACACATGCATAAGGGCTGAGAGTATATACTCTGGTTTTATGGTTAATAATAATTGGTTAAAAATAATTTTTGCTTAATAACAATTTTTAATTTTTTAATTTTTTAGAGCCGACCCCAATTGAAATGGGAAAAGGCTAGACCGAGAGAGAGAGAGTTAATAATAATTTTAGGTTAATAATATTTTTGGTTAACTGGAATGTTCTAGAAAAAACTGCCTTAAGTTATAAAATGACGTATAACATCTTTGTGATTATGTTGGATTCTTATTGTAATATAATTAAATTTCCAGGTAGAAATAAGAAACTTGGTCTATCAGGTAGAAAATCTCGCGATGTGGGTATATTGAGCACAAGCAAACTGTACTCTTTGAATGATCGGATATTCGCTTTCACACCACAGGTGAGTCTATAACTTCCTCATTTTTACTGATGTAAGTTTATTACAACACTGAAAGTAATCTTTTTCGATAGTTTTCTGATATGACGCGATTCTACATAGCTTCCGATTACGAACTGATGGTAGATCTATTGAAGGCTGAGATTAATTTCCTCAAGTCTTCGTGGCAGAACCTTCTTGGGAGACCGCTCATTGTATTGACCTTGACCGAAATGAATTTAGGTATCAGAGATTCCCCAACTCCACACACTAACATGACCCCCACTAAAAGCCCAAAGCAATATATTATATAACATTGCTCGTGTGTCGTGTGTTATTATTTCTAGTTGATTGCTTTGTTTGTAACTAACAATAGAACTTCGACTACGAGGAGTACTACATGACTCGCGACCCGGCGTTGCTCGCGAGTACCTTCACAGCCAACGTAGCCTTCCTCGGCATGAGCTGGACCCAAATGCTGGGTCGACCTACCGTCACATTACTCGCAACTCAGTACCTGCTCGGTAAAATAATCTCACCCATTCATTATTACTTACACCCATATATCGATGGCTATGTATAATGGCCAATGTGCAAAATGATAATTTTTCAGTAGTAGTTTTAAGTTTGATTTTGAAACTTTGAATAGCAACTATGACATACATGTACGTCATTTAAGATTGATATTTAAATAATGTATATAAGCCTTTATACGTTAAAAAGTGTGTTACTTATGCCTTTTATTGCAATTAAAACTAATTCTTTCACCCAAAAAATACGAATTTTTAAATGGATGTTGTAGAATACAGTATTATGAAGTGTTTAAAACAAAAAATTGCTACATTGGCCCTTATACATAGGACCCATCGATATTCAAGTCACCTTTGAACATGAGGATTTTTGCCATACTAATACTAGCAATTCAATTAAAACTTAGCATTGCTCTTTTTGGAGTTCATTATTATCAAATCTTAATATATTCTTTAGGCAAACCCTGGCTTAAGCTGGGAAATTGCCAGGTAGAAGAAGATATTCTATGGACTGACAATAATTATGTATTTGTAGATCAAGGCAAAATCCCGATGGCAATGATAACTACGATGAAGAAACTTAAATCGGGTTACATCAATGGTACCAGGGTTATGTTGGGGAATTTGGGAGACTTCTTGAATACTTCTGCCATCACTAACTTGAGTTTTCTGGGCAGCCAGGAAGAGGGATATCCCGATAGTAAGTACGACGTGACCACAAAATAATATGAGTGACCTTACACTTGATATTCACGTACTAGTATACTATACTACTACAAATATTACTACAAGTACATAGGTTAGATATAGGAAACACACGTTCCATATGAACAGATCTTTTATAGTTAATGGGATATTGTCGGGGATAGTGCAAATCAGCGTAACTAGCATTTGATAATTCCACGTATCTATATTAGAAGCAGATTATCAGAAGAATGTTTAAGATGAAATATTTTCTATATTAATATTTTCGCAATCAGTATTTATTTCGTGTTTAATTAAATGGTGGGAATAGAGAAAGGGCTCCTGTTTCTCTCACTCATCGGACGAAACGCAGCACTTAAAGACTACTTCATGCGAATTTTCTTTGAGAGGGTGGTACTTCCAGCTTCAGCAGATATAGTCTCTACTTATAAATCTTTCTTTGTATTTCCAGAATTGAATCCCCAAGTCCAGAGTTATTTGGAGGAGCATCTTTTACGGTCGCTGAGCTCTCGCTGGTCGTTCGCCAAAGGAGCGCCCGCCGCCCGCCGGCCCGCGCTACGAAGACGAATGTCCGTGAGGGGCGCTATACGGAAAACACGCTCCATCAACGTTGACTGTGAGCATCTCTTCTACCTGGCAATTTCCCAGCTATAGCCAGGGTCTGCCTTACATGTTATGAATAGTTTTGGTTAATTGTTTTTAAGACCGACCGCCTGCCTGACATCAACCCCTAATTTCGCGAGTATTATTCATTGAAATGAAACTTATATTCTGAGGATATACTACGTGATTTTATTTTTGGTAAAAAACTACATACTCCCGACGTTTCGATTACTTTACAGCAGCCGTGATCATTAAGAGATGTAACACCGCAAAATATTAGTTTCGTTTCAATCGTACTTTAAAAATATTGTTTTTCGTGATATACCCCAAAGTACCATCCATAAAGTATTCTTTTCAATAGTTATGACTCTTGAGTGGTCTTGGTCATCAGTTTGGGTAATTTCTAGCTTGACAATTCAACGATATTCCTTTCGTATCGATGCCTTCCTTACATATGTTTACAGGAGCATAAAATATGTCACACGTAAATAAGAAGGGAGGGTAAAACCGAAATTTGACAAGGGGCATGGGGGAAAAGTCAATAGTTTTGCGAAGTCACATGTTAAAATTTAAAAAACTAAAACGCAATTGGATATTTAATACAAATTGGTAAAAATTAGAACAGCTATTTTCTCTCGATTATTTTTAGATAAATTTAAAAATGTGTGACGTCACATCAGAGGGAGGGGTTATAAAAATATGACAACCTGTGACAAGGACGGGGGGAGGGGTTGAAAGTCCTAAAATTATGGGACCTACTTTATGGATGGCCCCTAATCAACATTTTTGGTTAAATCTTCAACACAACGACAGTCCTCTGGACTTCCTCTTTATGTATTAACTAATCAACTAAACATATTTTTAAAATTTTCAACAATACATATAAAAAGCTTTCGTAAGTAAAATTCGATATTTATGAAATGTTACCTCTATGTATGATCAGTTTATTTTTTTAATCATGACTAAAGAATCTCGGAATACCTCTCATCTCATTTAAAGATCGCGACGCCTCTAGATTTCTCTCAGATGGTGAATAATAAAAGTGCCAGTTATGACAGAGATCAAGCTAAACTAACAAGTTTATGTTAATAGATAATGTTTTTTCATACAGCTGAAACCCTCGGCATGGAAGGTGAACACACGGGACCTCATCTGGAGAAAAAGTCTTCCTGGCTAGAAATAGATCCTACCTTTGGGAAAAGCCCTTCACCTGAAAAGAGGGCCTTCACTAAGTAAGACAATACTTGACATATAATTTAATGTATATAATCATCATAAAAAGTCAGCGGTGGCCTAGTGGTTAAAGGGCCCTCATGCACGAGGGCGTTGGTTCAATCCTGACAAGTACTAATGTGATTCTTCCGAGTCGTTTGTACTTTCTAAATACTCTTAGAAAGTATGTATGACTCGGTAAAATCACATTGGTACTTGCCAGGATTGAACCCGCGCCCTCATACATGAAAAGCAGGCCTTTAACCTCTACGCCATCACGACTTTGTAGTATATAATAGGAGTATTTAATTTTCTAATGACAGTCTTAATTACTTATGTGTTTGTTCGTTAAATGTATATGAAGGTTGTTTTTATTTCAGAGGTACATCAACTACTAGTCTTGGAGTAGTAGGCACCGGACCTGCAATAGAGATCACTAAGGAAGATACACCTTCACCGCCCAAGGAAGAAGGTACACTACATATAAAATAGTGCTAATAAATGGGCGCTATATATAATACTATTCATGGTTCTAGTTATACTGGTTCCACCCTCGAACTTTATTCAAAAAAGTACCTATTCTTCTTATACTTTTTATATTGCCCAGTTAAATCACAGATGATATTGGTAAGAAATAATCAAACCATGTTCTGAGATGTCATTATATTCAGACTTCAGTACAAATTAACACGGGACAAGCCAATATCACTTATTTATTTCCCATATATGGTGTTTGTATGAGTGAATGAGTTATTTTCCATTTATGTTGTTTCTATGAGTGAATCAGTTATTTTCCATTTATGGTGTTTGTATGAGTGAATGAGTTTTCCATATATGGTATTTGAATGAATGAGTTGTTTCCCATGTATGTTGTTTCTACGAGTGAATGAGTTTTCCATATATGGCATTTGAATGAATGAAAGAGTTGTTTCCCATGTATGTTGTTTCTATGAGTGAATGAGTTTTCCATATATAGTATTTGTATGAGTGAATCTGTTTTCCATATATGGTATTTATAGGAGTGAATGAGTTTTCCATATATGGCATTTGAATGAATGAATGAATGAATAAGTTATTTCCCAGGTCCGGCGGGCCCCAGCGTGCCTCGCAGCCGCACGTGGTCGGACAACTCGTACTCGGAGCAGGAGACGGCGGAGCTGCTCGCGGCGCTGAGGGACGCGGACAGTCTGGACGACCAGGGAGACATCCTGCAGTACCTGGTGGACACGCACGGGCTGGACTATAACACGGGTACACTATCAGATACACGGGGCGATATAGTCCAAAGAACTTTAATTAGATATAGATTCAAAGATATTTACACAGCCCATGAATAGTCCAAAGAACTCCAATTAGATATAGATTCAAAGATATTAAACTAGGTAGTTTATATGGTGGTTCATATAGTATAGTCTATGTAGTAATGAGATTTAAGATTTTCGCGAGATATATTCATTTAAATGAATCGAATATATTTCGGATATACTACGCGACTATATTTTTGTAAAAAATTACATACTCCCGACGTGGCAGATGTAGCATCTCGTCTTAATGATCACGGTTTCTGTAAAGTAACCGAAGCGTCGGGAGTATGTAGTTTTTTACAATAATAAAGCACGCGTAGTATATCCGAAAAATACCAGTTAAATTTAAATAGTCCATATATATTATAGTCTCAGACTGGTGGGTGATAGTCCACATAAAAGATTCTTTGCGTTATACTTCCTAAATCACCGCAAAATTACTTATTCTGTTAAAGCGCCTACAGAGCGATATTCCATAAGCCCTAGCTTTGGATCTAACTTGCAAAGAAGATTGTTATCATCTATATAGACTTCAAGCATTAAACTCAACTGCTACTATAATAATTATATTTAAAATATTCCAGGTATTCAAGAGAACGGAAAATCAGTAACAGTAAGAGATTTGCTCAAAGTGTTGTACGAGAAGGCGTGCACTCAGAAGCTGTGGGGCCTGGTCAGACATACGGCCGGCATGCTGGGGAAGAGAGTCGAGGACCTGGCTAAAGCTGTCACGGATCTGCTCGTGCGGCAGAAACAGATTACTGTGGGTATGCCGCCGAATAACGAACATACAGTCACAGCGCCCCTACCGGAGAACGAGCTTAGACATCTCATACATCTGGTGAGTTTCGTTTATTCATTCATTCGGTCAGAATATACACACAACCAAATTTGTTTATATGTATGTATATTACTTATGCTGGCAACTATGCTTACCCCTAAATGTTCAGCATTGTTCCATGTCCCTTTTTCTACTGTGTGTGAATAAAACTTACATTTTTTCAAGACCATTATATTCAGTTTTCCAACCACTAAAATATTAACACATTCATTCATTCGTTCGTTCATCATCATTTTTCATTTAATTCGTTCATATTGAGCTGTCTCTGTTGCATGCAGTCATTCCGACGTGAGGGTCGCGGGAGTTGCAAGAAGGTAATCAGATTACCGTCTGGTTGGCACTTTACTGCACCTTGCACATTTAGATGGACTTTTTATTATTTGCATGGCTGTGACTGACAATCATCCAAAAAGACAAATATTCTAATTTTCTTAATAAAAATACTGTTTTGGTAATGTCAGCTTAAAGTCTTTTATTATAAACAATATAGTTTAGTCATAAAAATATCCAATAACTATTCCTTAATGAATATTACTATTATTTTACTAATACCACTTGCACAACATCATATTTAATAAATTTCTTATATTTTTGTCAAAATTGTACATCTTTATTTATGACCCCTCTGCTTTTTGTATACAACTTTAATCTTTATCTATTTACCCAAAATATATAATGCTATATGGTGTACCATTAAGTATCTTAAATGTTAGCTATACTTGACATTTAGGACTCTTCATAATTTTTAGATTCCTAGTTCTATATCTATAAATACAAATAACCTCTTTATACCACAAATATCATTAATTTGAATTTTTCTAATAGACCAGTGCCGATAGCTTTTAAAACATAATTATAGTAGAATGAAACTCATTAGAAAAGCAGAGGAAAAATATTATAAAAATTCCTTTTCTAATGAGTTTCATTCTACTATAATTTATATTCACTTTTCATTAATTTGAAAGGCTTCTGCACTGGCCTATAACACAAATTCTATAATATTAGCACTATTATCTTTATTAAGGAGTTTCCTAACGTTCCTAACGTGTGTTATTCCTGTTCCAGGCGTACGGAGACGACGAGAGCACAGCCATGTTGACTCAGGAGCTGCTGGTGTACCTGGCCATGTTCATACGGACGGAGCCGCAGCTGTTCCTGGAGATGCTCCGGCTGAGGGTTGGCCTCATTATACAGGTATACACACAGGAGATTCTGTATTGGGAATTGATTGTATTGTTTGTATACAATATATAATACACCGCCTCACGTACCCCACTAGAGAGGGTGGGTACCACAATTTCAAACTTATATTTGAAACTATTAGTCCAGGTTTCCTCACGATGTTTTCCTTCATCTGTCACTGGTGTCTAAATACTCTTAGAAAGTACATATGACTCGGAAAAATCACATTGATACTTACCAGGATCGAACTCGCGCCCTCGTACATGAGAGGCGGGCCTTTTAACCCCGAGGCCACCGCGACATAACTGATTAAATTGTTTATAATGAGATCTAAGACTTTCGCGAGTATTCATTTCAATGAAACTAATATCTTCGGATTACTTCGCCTTATTTCATTATTTTGAACTACATACCCGCAAAGTTTCGGTTGCATTGCAGCAACCGTGATCACGGGCAGATGAAATGATTGAATGAGCATGTAGTATTTTAAAAATAGTAAAATACGCCTAGTAATCCAAAAATATTAGTTTTTTTAATTAATTATGTTTGAACAGGTGATGGCTACTGAGCTCTCTCGGACTTTATCGTGTGATGGTGAAGAAGCCTCTGAACATCTTCTCAACCTGTCTCCCTTTGAAATGAAGAATCTTCTTCATCACATACTCAGCGGGAAGGAGTTCGCTATCAATAGTGGTGAGTTGGTATTATACCTACATTTGTCTCAAAGGAAAACTAGTACTATTGATCTTATTGATGATCGTTTATTGTAATCTGATATTTTTTTGCAGCAAACTCACAAATAATTGTATTAAAGGAAAAATACGGTAAAACTAAAGGCGAGTTGTACAAACAATTTGTGTTATGTTAGCTTTGCCCGGTTTCATAGACCCTTGTTTTATAAAACATTGAACAAATATAAAAAAATCGCACCAGAATTGTTGTTAATTTCCACTTTATTTCACTTAATAGTTTTTATTTGTTGCCCACAGAAATTTTAAAGTGCATGAATAATATACCTTATTTAGTAACTACTGTAGGTTGATTTGAGAATGAGCTTATTCCGTACTAGCCTTGCCTATTATTATATATATCCTGATTGATGTATCCCATACTTTAATTATCTCAGATATAAAATCATTAATTAATAATTGTTGCCTATGTTTCAGCGGGTCGAGGTAACTTCTCCATAGTGAGCAACAAATCAAACCGCTACACTAAGAAGTCACAGATTATACTTGAAGGACAGGGACTACAAGGAACCATTGATGAAGGTGACTATACTATGATCATCATAATATCATAAAAAACACAACAATTAAAGATTACTAAGATAACCTATGGAGATAAGAAACAGAAAATTAGTAGAGAGTGTTTAAAATATACATTATTGATTAATGAAAAACAAAAATCCCTACTAATATTATGTGAAAGTAACTCTGTCTGTTACGCTTTCACGCCTAAACCACTGAACTGATTTTAATAATTTGGTACAGAGACAGAGTTGACCTTGAGAAAGAACATAGGATAGTTTTTATCCCAGACTTTTAAAAGGTTCTCTTGGAAACGCGATATAACCGAACTCCAAGGGTGAAGCTGCGGGCGGAAAGCTAGTAGATATATAAATAGTATATATGCTAATATATATATGCTAACTGTTCCATATGTCCATAAGGTCCATCAAGCGAGCCCGACCGTCAGGGTCAGTGGTTAAGAAGACGAAGACTTGACGGAGCTCTGAACAGAGTGCCTAGAGACTTCTACCCGAGAGTGTGGGGCGTGTTGGAAAAGGTTGGTTATAAGAAACTATCAATTAATACACTCATATTACATGGTAGCTGTAGTTTAAGATAAGAGATTCGATTTGTTTTTTTTTTAATTAAAATACTATCAATCTTTTAGTTTCCTGTTCAATTTTGTTTAATAAAATTGGACAAATAATATTCATCCATTATTAAGCTACATAGTTACGAATGTACTCACTAATACTACAAAAATACTACTACTAAAATCAATTGTAATTTCCAATAATTTCATATTTTTGAATTAAACATAACGTATTTTTCACATTATTATTAAAATTATATAATAATAATGCTTAATATAAATTTCAGTGCCAAGGTCTAGCCATACAAGGAAAAGTGCTGCAACCGAATCTGACCCAAGAGATGACTCCCGGAGAGTTGAAATTCGCTCTCGCTGTAGAAACAGTACTGAACTCGATCCCACAACCTGAGTACAGACAACTGATAGTAGAGGCGCTTATGGTGATCACATTAGTAGTGGAGTACAAAGCGGTCGGGCATCTCGGCGGGCTGATAACAGTGGAACATGTAGTGCATAAAGCTAATCAGATATTCTTGGAAGATCAGGTAATATGACTGAATAAATTCATGAGTATAATGAGATCTAATGAGATTTAGATGGTAATATTTTTCTTATTATTACATCAGCTACCTGCCAGTAAAAGTTCCGTCAAAATCAGTCTAGCCATTTAAAGGATTATCGGGAACAAACAGAGAGACAGACAGAAAAAAAATGTAAAAAAATTATTTCGTTGCATGTGCTGTATGCACGTAGTAATAAACTACTATTTCAATATCACAAGCAGACAATCCAATCTTATTTATTTTTATAAATAACAGAACTGACTAACTGACAGACATTCACATCTCGTCTGTCCATATTTTAAAATACTAAAATACGCGAAGTGTATCCGAAACATTTGTTTCATTCACAATTATATACGTTGCTGCCCTCTATCGGAATTCATCTATACTCATGACCTTCTTCGACATATATATGAATTTGATTCATTGTCATATATATACTGTCCTATACTATTTTCTCCTTGTTCTATAGACTCGTGTGAACGGAGACGCGACTCTATGTTGCGCGAAGGTGTCTTCGGGCGAGGTAGGGGGTGCAGTATGCGGGGGGGCGGCCGGCGTCTGTCAACACTTGTATGACAGCGCGCCGAGCGGCAGCTACGGAACTATGACGTACTTGGCGCGGGCCGTCGCCTCTCTACTTAGAGATAGACTGCCTCACGACCAGCCCTTGGAGTGTACGGTCACGTAGTAGTATACTACACTACTACTTATACTACTAAAAATACTACTACAGGTACATAAATTAGATATAGGAAACACGTGTTCCATATGAACAGATCTTGTATAGTAAATGGGATATTGGCGGGGATAGTACAAATCAGCGTAACTTACATTGGGTAACTCCGCGTATATACATTGGAAGCAGATTGACAGAAAGTATAAGCTGAAATATTTTGAATATTAGCGACTTTTAAGGTAATTTTTTTACAATTAGTAATTATTTAGTGTTTAATTTATTACTAGGTTATTGTGAAAAATTACCTTAAAACGTTAATACAGAAAATATTTCAGCTTTAACTTTCTTCTGATAATTTCCTTCTAATGTAGACACCAACGCGGTATTATTCGATGCTAGTTACTCGGATTTGCACTATCCACGATGATATGGAATACCTAATGTTAATAGGATATGGCTAAAAATTATTTTCTAGAAGTTTCTACAGCAATAAAAATGTTTTCTGTAAATATCCAGAAAGCTGACATATAATTGTTTTTTATTTTGTTGCCATATTAATGTTTTGTATTTGTTTCAGGTTGTTTATAGAGAAAGCCGACACATATATCTGAATGTGCTTATGTTTTAAATATAATTAGAAATAGTTTTTAGTCATAAGCATTATAAAATAAATTAATGAGACAATATGTTAGGTGTACTGTATTAAAATATTTCTCAAGGCTTAATATTGTTTTGTAAAACATTTTGATAGATCTGTTTTTCCCCATTTTTAAAATATGTATATAAAATCATCCTATGTTTAATATTTTTGTACCGGCTTTAATATCTAATTTAATGAAATAATGAATAAAATATAATATTAGTTCCTATGTAAAGATCATATTATCAAATTGTAAAGGATTTTATAAAAATATTTCTGTTTATCAAATGTTTATTTTAAATAGATTTAGTATTGATTGTTGAGTATTATATTATACAGATGAAAAATTATCTTAGTTTTTTAATCATTTAATAACCTTTTTTCATTCAATTATAAGTATATATATAGTATAATTTCTTTAAAAGCTGACCGTATTTACACACACAAACACGAACGCACACACACACTTGTCCTTGTGGTGACAGCAATGAAAAAATAAGTTAAATAGTTTTATATTTGAAGAATATTTAATATCTTATTGCCTGTATACTCATAAAAACTTCATACAAATAGTGGCAGTAAGATTATTACTTGAGAAAATCATTTTCATTGATTTTGCTGCATCTTGCCTTTTACTACAGTTTAAATTAATATCAAAAAGTATATACTCATTGGAAAATATTTATTCCCCAATGACGTAAAGCTTTATAAAATGAATGGAATGAATTGAAACTCGCATTGTCAGTTAGAACTATCTAATCATTTCAACGATACATTTTCTATAACACAACAAATTTGCAATAAAACTTCTACACTATGCTTCATCCTTCTTGCCGAACGGGTTCATTTTGGATAGCCAGGAGGTTGTGGATCTGGAAATAATATTAAAATTATAAATAATATATTGTATACAATCACACAGACAAACATAACTATATAGTAAATTGTTTTTGATGTAAAATATTAAGTACTGTCCAACTTCTTTCATAAAGGTAGTAAATTATTCAATCTATATATATAAATGAATCCCTTTTTCCCTTGGTCACGGCATCACGCGTGAACGGATGGACCGATTTTAATAAATCTTTATGTGTTGTATTTGTTATTTATTAGGAGAAGGTTTTTATGTAATAAAAAATTACGAAAATTTATATAAAAAAAATACTAAAATATTTCACTTTTTAAATAAAGAAATAAACTTCATTCAGATAAAAAAATAACATATTTCTTTATTTAAGGGCGGTACGAAGTTCGCCGTGTCAGTTAATTAATGACAAAAATGGCAGAAATTATCCTGTGAAAACATATGTTTTTGAATGAATTAGTGTGTGCGTTTGGCGTTTATGTCCATAGAGGATAATCAAATCTGTGGTTTAATGAGTTTTGATAGTTATTAATTCATTTGATTATATTTTTTTAAGTTCAGATTACATGACTCAGGTCAAGTTTAATAAAAAAGTCTCTGTTCATAAAATCAGCGAAAGTTGGATCTACCATAAAAGTTATCTTAAATGGTCAACCATAAAGCAATCGGCTGGATTTTCTGAACCAGCTTTTTTGTTTGTCAATATAAATTCCTTACTTTAAACGTATTTCACATATAAATATGTTAAAAGGAGAGAAGAACATGTGAGGGATTTTTGATCTATCTCAGTTGTTATCTATAAAATTTATTAGAAAAAAAATTACACCCCTGTCGCTGGTTTACATAGACCAATTGATCAAAATTAAGTCAAGAGGTCTCAAAATGGATTCAACTCCAGTCCAATATTCTGAATCAATATACAATTACAGCATTCCCAAAACAAATGTTAAAAGACTAATGTGAACTGGGAATTATTGTTAGTTCTTCTATTGACATGCCCAGATAAAAAATCATATATTTAAAACATGAAATTAAAAATCCATAAATTTAAAACCATTATAAATACTATTAATATATACCAAAAGTGATATCAAAATATTTGTGTACTATAAATTAACTTATTGGTGTTTGAAGTAAATCTCTTTCCCTTAATATATCAAAATAGAGATATAAGATTTTGGCAAGTTTTATTCATTTAAATGAAACTAATATTTATCTCTTGCATCTCGTGAGACAGACACATCCCATCTGCCCATGATCATAGTTGAAAAGTAGCCAATACATCGGTAGTATGCAGTTTTTTACTTAAATAAAGTCGCATAGTAGATACGAATAATATTAGTTTCATTTATATGTCAAAATATTCCAATCTGCTACTAACGCTATATCAGAAGTGCTACTATCACTCTGGCTCTCTTTTTCTTGCAGTTTCTCAATAAGTTTTTTCCTGTACATATGTTTCAAAGGCACCGGTTTATTTGCAGCCTCCTTTAGTTTTGCTACTTTGTTGAGTGCTTCATACCAAGTGAGACCATACCATTCTATTTCCTCGGGTGTGTACTGAAATATTACAATTTAATTAGACTAAATAATCTTAATATCGTCGGGGATAGTGCAAATTCGCGTAACTAGCATTGGATAATTCCGATAACTATGTTGTAAGCAGATTATCAGAAGAAAGTTTGAGCTGAAATATTTACTATATTAACAACTTTTAAGGAAATTTTTGCACAATCAGTAATTATTTAGTGTTTAATTTATTACTAATTGTGAAAAAATTACCTTAAAAGTCGTTAATATAGATAATATTTTAGCTCAATCTTTCATCTGATAATCTGCTTCCAATATAGGGACACTTAATTATCCAATGTTAGTTACAAGGATTTGCACTATTCCTTACAATATGTATTTATTATGTATGAAATGAGACCAACACTTACCGAAGATAAATAGGTCTTATATTCTTCATAAACACTTTTCTGTTTCTCGGGATTGTTAGCGTGTCTAGGGCATCCATTCATGAGTTCGGTAAGTATTTGTTTCTTAAGTTTCAATGCTAGCATCGAGACAAGATCACAGGCGGGCGTCTTAAGCAGGTAATGATCAAATCCATAATGATCATTAATTAATTTAATAGTTCTACCGGTGACGGTGACTGATAAATGTGTGTTTAGAACTTCAGATTTGACTACAGTCCTCTTCAGGACGGGTACCCAGTAGTGGGGTACTCTGCGACTGTTGCGATCTCGCTTTTGGAAACCTGTAAATTTGTTTCAGATATGTAACTAATATAATCACTATTGTAACAAGTGGGTCTCAAACTATCGAGTGAGTTATACAACATAGGCTAAAAATCTCTTTAATGATTCTAATAATGCGTTTAGGGTGCTGCTGGGGCTGCCTCGGTTCTATAGTGCATCGGGAATGTTCGCAGCAGCGCGGTTTTTAAGTTTTAAGTAGTTTTTAAGTTTTATATTGTTACTAACAAATTGAGTAAAAAAAATAATAATATCGCTACTTGATCATTTTCATAAAATAAATAAAGTGAGAATTAAATTACAATAGATGGGTGTAGGTATATTTTTTGTGTTTTATTGAACTTATCATAGGTAGTGACTCAAAAAGGTTAATGTAATGTATTAAAGATTCCCACTTCTATAAAAAAGTGAAACGATGAGTACTAAACTTGAAGTTTATATTTAAACCAACCAGGGTGTCCTTACCTTTGATAACAGCCTCACCACCCCATATTCCCTCATGAATCTCCGCTGGGTACTTTAATGGTATCGGGATGTTCTGAACGGGCAGCGTTTCACCAGTAATCTCATCCCGCTTCCACTTGCCCTCTTGTGGAATAAAATGAACCGCAGCTGGTTTCAGTACCTTCCATTCTCGCCAAAACTTCTTATAAGCGGTGGGTAACTCAGAAGCTATGCCGATTTCAAATCTAGTTTTCTTCTTGTAAGTTTTGGATAGCTGACGTACTGTCGCCTTTAAAACAAAGCATTTTTAAATACATCGCATTAGATAAGGTCACACAATGAACGTCAATAATACACAATGATGCAACAATACTTTAAATAATCATCTTTATTATGCTGAATACCTGGATGCGAGATGAAGCCATCTAATTAGTTTAATAGGAACCACATAAACTAGAAAAATATTTTCAATTAAATAAGAGATAATTTATTTTCCCAAATTTCTGTCAAAATACTGTAGCATGAAAGGTTATTAGTGTTGTCGAATTTTAAAAATCGTAAGTTGTTATAAGAAGAGTAGACTTATTGAGTTACAGGAATATTATATATAATAATATAATATTTTAACTTTGTCAAACATTGTAACTTAATTTAGAAATTAAAACATATGTTTCCTTTGTTATAGTTTCTATATTTTACCTTTTATACTCTGTTACCTTTGTCATCTGTGCTGACGTGGTCAAAAAATAGCAATGGCAAGCAATAACAAGTGCCAAGTGGTGGCGATGGATTTAATATTTTAGGGTTTTTGCATTAAATCACCTTTATTGTAAATATTCTAACTTTACTAAAACTTAATATCTTAACCTGAACTTTGTTTAATAATATCATCGCATTAATGTACGCTGAAAATAAAACAAGATGTCGGAAAACGAAAGAAACATCGAAAGTCATCATAAAAAGGATCAAAACCCTGATGATTGTGATTCCAATATAGCAGCGTCAGCTAGTGGTGTGTCGAGTGTTGCGGGCAGTGTTAAACATTACAAGGTAATGCTTATTATCAACAAAATATAAAATAAATAAATATCTATATCTCAGTCTCCTTACGTATTACGTATTCTATTTTTATTAATTTAATTCGTAATAACCACACTATTATGTATAATTTTAGTAATAATAAATGAACAGATCATATAAATAAATTTTCTTAATAATAATTTTAATTCTTACTACATACAAACATCAAAACATATTTCATATGTTAACAAATTAGTATGCAAAGCATACGTGCCATTTGAAATGCTGATAAATGTAATGTAATGACAACTTTCATACATTCTTATCATGTATGGACTAAAAACTGTTTAGATTTCAATTAACATAATTTTTTATTTAGAATGAGGACTTATATCGATGGGTCCTATGTAAGGGCCAATGTAGCAATTTAGCGATTTAATTTTTTTGCTTTAAATACTTCATAGTACTGTATTCTACAACATCCATTTAAAAAATGCGTATTTGTTGGTGGAAAGACTTAGTTTTCATTTCAGTAAAAGGACATAAATAAATAAACAAGAAAAACTTTTTAACATATAAGGGCTTATACATATAATGTATATTATAAAAAATACAGTAAAAAGAATTTATTTCTCTAGTCTCCTATAATATTAAATGTAATATTTTCGGATTTACCAGACAATTTTTTATTTTCGACGAAAATCTTAGATCTCCTACATTCTATAATATTATAAATTCATAATTTATCAAGCAGGCAATAGGCTAATATATTATCAACTCATCATTATTATGGTTGTTTAAATTATTATTACAAAAACACTAATTCAAAAGTTATTTTTCTGAATAAAATTATAAATCATTAAATAACATATGTTTTCAATTTCAGCAACAAGCATCTTCGTCCGAGAGACAAATAAAATTTGAGAAGGCCCAAAAATGCTTAGAGAATGCTGTTCTCGTGTCGAAGAGGATTAAAGAGCATCGGAAAGCTACTGCTGAACTATTGGGCCGTCCCTTTGGTAAGTTTCAATATAAAATTAACAATACTAGTTTTTCCCTGTGACTTTGTCCACACTAATATCGGAATAAGTAACATATGGATAGTTCACAGGGCGAACTCTATTCTTCCCAAGATGCTGTAAATAAGCAGATATTGGAATTTATTAAGTTTCTTTTTAATCTAACTCTCCTCCAATTTTCAACTATATCTCTACAGCCGTTCTTGAGTTATAAATAGTTTAAAAAACATAACTTTGATTTATATACATAGATAATTGAAATTCTATCAATAGTTACTATTAAACAAGAATAGATAATTAAAATAATATTTATCTCTTAATTTATCCTGTTATTTAATTTTAATTCAGAGGAAGATGTCACCGACACAGCATCGGAACTGGGAACCAACGTGAGTGAGAGGACCGGTTACTCCGTCTCAACTGAAGCTTCAACATTATCTGTTCAAGATGCCCTTAACAGTGAGTATTTGAATATAACATTCGATAATAATCTTCATATTTTGGTTAGTTAGAGAGAGGAGCTTGGATGGTGGAGGTGAGCGTTTAACGCGTTAGATAGGGACCCTTAAACCTACAACTGGGTCGCAAGTCCCAGTCACTGTTGAAGCTCCTCTCACTACAACGATGGACCCGGCACTCACATGTTGAATCCATTGAATGCTAAATAATTTCTTTGTCGTCGTGTTTGAAACAATAAATCTTCCTCAATTTTGATAGCTTGTGAAATATTATATATAATAATTGTTTAATTATCAGTTCCCGGTATAAGTGAGAGTTTGGCAAACACATTGAAGCAGAAGGAAATATTGATGGAAAGAATTAAACAATACAAAGAGATCAATAAACGACCAACAAAGAAAACAACTCCCACACCCACTAGAGGACTTTCGAGTGAAACTGCTGATAAAAAGGTAAGCTTGGGATATGTGGAACATTCTCGATATACTTTATATACTAAATCATGTATATTTTGGCCGTTATATACAAAATTATGTTTTATTATTTATCTACCTTAGTAAATACTATCAATGTATGTTAATATGTTTTCTTTACTGGATTTTAATTGTTTTTAATTCTGGATTTGTCATTCAACAGTGTATAATCTAATTAATTGCCATTCCAGAACAAAAAATTTACATTTTCTCAGTATGTTTAAGTTTAATATACTCCTTACAGATCACCGACAGTGCAGATGTATCGAAACTAATGAGTTTAGTTAAAGAGAAAGAAAATAGCTTGAGTGTTATGCAAGTTAAAATGAAGGCCATGGAAAATACTATACTAGACTTACAGGAGAAAATTACAGAGAAAGACCAAATTATTGAGGCTAAGAACAGAGCTACGACTTTAATATCTGATAGTCTTAGTAAGAAAGGTAATAGATTTTGTTACCAAATATATTTGTATTATATGTATAACTTCATATATTTTGTGATACTAGTTTGTATATACTTTTTTATATAATTTACAAGTTTTTTGTATGTGTAAAATTAACACATAAACACATAGTGCTTATAAAATCTTTATATTGATTGAAGCATCCTAATATATTATCTTCTATCTTCTATCTTCTATATATATAAAAATGGATTGCTGTTCCTTAGTCTCGCTAAAACTCGAGAACAGCAGAACGGATTTATCTTATCTTAGTCTTGAAATGTTCGTGGAGGTTTAGGGAAGGTATAAAAGCTGAAAAAAATTGATTCATTACTGGGAAAACCATAAAAACAGCCCTTTTCTGTTTCCCATACAAACGTTTTTTTTGACATTAGATTTGACAACTAACTAATATGTCAACCATTCTGTCGCACTTCAAAACACGGAGATGTATGGCTTACAGGTAAACTCCAAAAATATAAATAAAAAAACGTAATAGATATTTGTTGATTATAAGGCGATACGAAGTTCGCCAGGTCTTCTAGTTCTATATAAATTGAAATTAAAATTATACACCTCTATATTATATCTTTATGAACTCCAAACTGTCAGTGTGACCTTTTAAAGGCATCATAATCTATGCGTTACTCACTTCAAACAGATTTTCAGGAATTGTGATGAAAACAACTGTTGTAGTGTTTCTGATCAGAACCCTAAACATATATAGGAACTTTATAAGATCCTGTCCGTACTTATTTTCATAACCACATCTGACTTAAAAAGACTAAATAATGTACACAAATACTTCCTGAAGAATATCTTATACATAAAATTCTCGTGTCGCGGTGTTAGACAGAGAATTCCTCTGAAACGGCTGGACCGATTTTGTAAGCATATTGTGCAGCTCTCAGAATTTGCCAACATCTATTTTTCATACCCCTCAGTAATAAGGGTTGTTCACCCTTATTTTATTATTCTGACAACATTTTTTGTTTTTAATTTGTATCATGTAGCATGAAAAAATACATACAACCCAAAATTTTTATTTTTTCATCACCAACCCCTATTTTTTTATATGACAAAACAACGTTTGCCGAGTCAACTATTTTTCTATAAAAATATGTTTAGCTTATTTGATTTATAAGTAATTAAACTAAACCTTTACACTTCCCTCGTTTCAGAAAGGGAAACATTAGATTTATTAGAAGACACAAAAGAACAGATGACAAAAATGCAAAGCAACTTTATAGCCATGGAAACTGAATGGAAAGATGAGAAACAGAAATTATTAAATGAATTGAATGAAAAAAATTGCACAATCAAGAGTTTAGAAGAGGCAAATACTATACTTGAAAACGCAAGATTCGAAATCAGTATTGAAAATTCAAAATTGTCTGAGGAATTGGAAAATAAAACTAAAGAAATTGTTAGTTTACAAGAGAAGTTGCAACAGCTATCAGAAATCACCACCGAAGAAGTAAAAGATAATATAGAATCTGTGGAGGAAAAGGGCTCGATAGAAATAAATAATATGGAGGAACTTACAAAGAAAATCGAATTATTGGAACAGATTAACTTTGAAATACGACAGACGAATAAGGAACTCGAAAGCCAACTGGCTACACTCACAGAAACTAAACCGGTCGTATCACCAACTAAAAGAGGAAGTCCACTTCCGACGCGAAAAGGAGGCAGAAATACAGCCTCAAAAATGAAATCTCCTTGGAGTCAATTATCCTCAGAATCACTCCCTCAAGAACAGGATAAAAAATCAAAACCAGATAAAACTAAATCAGATATGTTACTACAATCTCTTAACAAGGAAATATTAGACAAGGAATATGTTATATCTGAAAAGAATCAACAGATAATGGAATTGGAAAACCTCATAAAAGAAAAGGAAACTAAAATAAATGAATTGCTGTCCTCGATAGATGATAAAGTTATTGAAAAGACGGATGCTGGTATGACGACTGATGCAGTGGAAACAGTATTAAGTGATGATTCAGAACCTACGTTAAATGTTAGTGAACTTCAACATAAATTAAAATCAGCTGAAGAAACGATTGCATCTCTCAGCATCGAAATAGACAATGCCAATAAGAATATGATCAAAGTGAAGTCCAACTCAAAACTAAAACTTAAACAAATGCAGAAAACAATTGATAATTTCAGTAAAATATCTGATTCTAACGCCGAAATAGTTAAATTAAATGAGGAAATACACCTTCTGACACAAAGAGTAGCTGAATTGGAAGTAGAGAAAGGTAATCTACAATTACATCTTGTGGACTACGACAGTGGTAGATGTGAGTATTGTGATGTTAACTAGATTAATATTAACTTTTATTAAGACTAAATTGACTAATATTATTCGGATTACTATAAAAGAGATGTGAATATCGTCTTTGTGATCACGTTTGATGAAAATCAACCGAAATTTCGAGAGTATGTAATTTTTAAATAATAAAATACTCGTAGTAATCTGAATAATATTATTCATTTAAGTGAATACTCGCGAAAATCTTAGATTTCAAAATACTACGATTTATAAGGACCAGATAATTTTTCCATATAAAGTAATATTAAAGTTTCTGTCATACATTTATATTCATAAAATTAAATCGTTATTATCTTTGTGTCATATATTTAATTTTTATTTGTCTCAGACATAGTCCATATTAATATATATGTTCATATTAATTCCAGTGACCGAATCAGATGTATATAAGAAACTCATAGAAATGGAAAATGTAGCAGAGGCCAGGCTAAAGTCTATTAGCTTACTAGAAACACAGAAGTTTGATCTGGTTCAAGGTAAACATTTATTTTCTACTAGCTGCGCCCCGCGGTGTTACCCGCGGCTTTCCGGGATGTAAAGTAGCCTGTGTTATTCCTGGACGTCAGCTTCCTGTATACAAAATGTTATCATAATCGGTTCAGCCGTTTGAGCGTGAAGAAGTAACAAACATACACACACACTCACAAACTTTCGCAATTATAATATTAGTAGGATTACAACAGAAACTACTTAGTATAGTTATATATGGCATATTTTTAACACGTTTTTATTATCTTGGGCTGTATGTATGTAACGGAATCTTTGAGCACGATTTTCACCGGTTTCTAAACATCTGATTAACTTGAAACTTTGCATATGTCTCAAGGACTAACGACAATACAATAATTCGTTAACAATTTCCCATTATCCTTGTTAGGGCCGCCAGGATTAATATATTCTTTTTATATCAAGTTTTTAGTTCGGTTTGCTATTAAAGCGTTTTTTTTTAGTTTTTTAAACTATTATTTAATATAAATTATTCTATATATGCTTGTATTTTATTCATAGTAAACTAAGATTATGTAATAAAAAAATTATAAATAATTTTTATTTATCTTTCCAGAGTTGCATAGCTTGCAGCAGAAGAATTTGGAGATGGAAGATAAATTAGCAGATATATCACAACTACAGAGCGAACAAGTGTCTTCTGAAATGAAGTCCGTGCAATTAGAAGAACAGATTGACAATCTCATGGCTTGCAAGAAAGAGCTCGAACTGGTTATAGACAATCTGAAATTGGATAAAAACCAACTAGACGCAACTATAAAATCATTACAACAAGAAAAAGACGAACTAGCACAGAAATTAGAGAATTATATACAAGAAAACATGGAACTAGCTGATAAATTGGGCAAATTGAGCGCGGAAAAAGTCAGTTCAGCTGAATCTATAGAAATCGTCGAATCTTTGACATCACAAGAGAAATTAGAGCTAGAAGAATATAGCAAGGGTCTTCAGACTGAACAGAAAACTGAAGACGGCGAATACAAAGATACTGACAAACATGATGCTGAAACGTCAAAAGAAAAATTACTAGAAGAAATCATAGAATTGAAGAATAGAATAGAACTATTCACTGTGGAGAGGCAGGAGGTTATGGAACGAATGAGTAAGCTGTCCATAGACAACGAAACGTTAAATGAGAGTATAGCAGTATTAAAAGAAGAGTGTGAGACGCTGAAACGTAACATAGACTCTCTGGACCAAGAGAGGAACCAGCTCGTAATAGATAAAGAAGATCTTAATAAACAACTAGAAGAATTGAAGCAAGAGAAATCTGAAATTCTCAAAGAGACCGCCGACGTGGTTAAATCATCAGCCGCTGATGACGTCACAGATGGAACCACAGTTGATTCAAGTCAACAAGACGACAAAACAACCGGAGACAAAGGAACCAGAAACAAGAGCGTAAAACAATTAACAAAGGAAATATTAAAACTGAAAAATACTATAAAAGAAAGGGAAGAAGATATAGCCGACTGTCAAATGAAAATACTATCATTAGAAGAACAGCAAGAGAAACATAAAGAAATATTACAGAGCCAAGCAGCGTTAGAGAAATTAGTCAAGAAGCTGACAGAAGAAAATAATGAACTGAGAAATGAAATAGAAAGTATAAATAAGGACAATAAGACGGAGCAACAGCAAAATATATCACAAGCACATGAAATGATGCAAATGGAAGCGCAAAAACTACACCAAGAATACACAGCTGCTATCAACGCAAGAGACGCGAGGATTCACGAGCTTGAGAACGTTTTGATTGAATATGAAAAACAAGTCATCAACTACAGCAACACACTACAACAGAAAGATAAAGAACTATCGGAATATATAAACCAAATAACCAAACTCAACGATGTATCACAGAAATTGAAATCAACTATAGATTTACTCGAAGAAGAAAAGTCGAAGGATCAGAATTCAGAAGTAATCAAATCATTGAACAAACAAATAGGATTGTATCAAAAGACTCTCTCTGATACAGAAGATAAACTCAGGATATTAGACGAAGAGAAATCCCAACTGGCATCGATGAAGGCTAAACTTGAAAATATAAACGTCAATCTCGAGAGTGAATTGAAAAAAGTACAAGATGTGCTATCAGAAAAACAATCACAGCTACAAGAGTTACAGGCGCAACAACAAAAACATTCAGAGGAACTAGCTAACGCAAGATTACAAGCTAAAGAACGAGACGAAGAGATACATGAGATAAAATTACAACTACGAAAAGAATCTATAGATAACGAGAAACTACACAACATTGTTGTTCAGAAGAGCAACGAAATAAATGATCTAACTAAAATGTATGAAGCTGTTAAAGAAAAATTGAGCTCCATTTCTGACGATAAGACCTCTCACGTAGAGCAATACGCAGCTTTGGAAACCAAAAATAAGGAGCTCATGGATAAGTTGAAGAAATTTGCCGCTAGCATCAAGAAGAAGTCAGCTATGTACACCGAATTGGAAAATCAACTACAGGAGACACAAAAACAACTACAGAGCAAAAACGAATCATACGACCAGCTATTGATTCAAGTTGAAACACTGCCGGCCCTGCAAGAAAAATTAAAACACGCAGAAGAAGAATTTAACAGACTACAACATCTTAAAATATCACTCGAGCAAAAGTCGCAACAAGTATTGGCTTTGCAATCAGATATAAACACATTAAAACAGAACGCGGCTAATGATAGTGCAACCATATCAAGACTGAACGAATCGATTGAACTTCTCAATAGAGATTTGTACGTCCTTCAAGAGGAAAATAATAATTACAAAACTCAAGTAGAAAGCTTAAACAATAAGATGGTTGAATGTGAAATAGACCAGAAAAATTACACTAACCTCGTCACCAAAATATCTTGCTTGGAATCAGAATTAATCCAAAAACAGGCGCATATAACTGAGCTTTCAAACCAAATTGAGATGCACAACGAAAAGCTAAATCAAGTGCAATATGGCCAAGACGCGAAAGTACAAGAACGAGAAATGTACATAGAAAATTTACAGTGCGAAATAGACAAATATAAGAACAGAATTGAACGTCTCGAACAATGCATTTCAACTATGGAGAGTACTCGGCAATCTTTAGAGAGGAAGGCGGATGATTTAGGTTCGCAGTTACATGAAAAGCGGAAAGCGTATAACGAGTACATGAATCAGGAAGACGAATTGGTGGCCAGACTGGCTGTCTTGATGGATCATGACAGGGTTGTAGAGAAACAACTGCATGAAATAGATACTGAGAACAAGGAACTACGTTCAAGAGGACAAAGTCTTACTGAAGAATATCACGCTTTGAAATCTGCTTACCAAGCTTTACAAGAGAAATGCAGTACTTTAGAAATTAAAGCATCCAATGTGGATACTCTCGAAAGTGAATTATTGATGTATCAAAACAATTGCAGACAGTTAGACAGTGATTTGAAACGAATTATGTCGGATCATGAAAACTTATTAACTCAAAAGAAAAGAGACATCGAAGAGCTTGAATCTGAGTTCCATACACAAATAGAACATTCCATTAAAGAAAAGAAATTACTGAGCGAAAAATATGAAAAAATTGTCGAACATGTTTCCCAATTGGAAACAAAACTAGAAGAGTATAGAAACACCATAGAACACCTTAATGTAAATATAAGAGAAATGGAAGCTGAAAATCAGAATTTGGTCCAGAAATACTCAAATCCAGACAAAACTTCTACTCCGGACTATACAGAACAATACATAAGCGAAATCAACAGGCTTAACTCTTTATTGAATAGTAAAAATCTAGAAATCACAGAAATAAACAATTCGAAACTATTGATGCAAAGAAATAATTTATCACAAATATCTTCATTGGAAAGCAAAAATATGGATTTGTCTGAAAAATATGAAACTCTATTGAGAGAAGTTAACAGCTTAAATTCAGAAATTGAGTCTCTTAAAAACGACATAAAATATCTTCATGAAACAGTGAGTCAAAAAGACGAACATATTAAACAACTCATGGAGAAAAAGAAGTTAGTGTTCGAAATGAACATACCGAAGACAGAAGGACTAACAATTTCATCTACTATAGAAGAAATTGATAACAGTCAACCTCCATTCGACATCTCATTACTCCAATCACAGATAATATCTGACACAGAACCATTACATGTTGATCAGCCGATTGTAAAACGCAGTGTCGAATCCGTGCAGCAACATTCAGAGGCACGTGCTCTCGCTAAAGGAGAAATAGAACCAACCATCACTCCTAAGAAAACCTACCTTTGCTATAAGGAGGAAGAAAGTGCTGATGTGGCGGAGAGCGATCCCTTCAATTCTGACGAGGGCTGGGGCTTCGGAACTCAGGAAGTAACAGAAGATGTAATCCCTGGCTTATCTCATTTGAATCAACAAATACAAGAACTTAAAGAAACCAATGAGAAACTCAAATCCGAATTGAAGACCACGAATGCAAAATTATTAAAAGCTTTGAAAAAACTGAAAGATTTGAAATCTGCTAATGATGTTTTATCCAATGAGCTTAAAATATCAAAACAGATATCACAATCCTCGATTCTGGATATGGCGATTGAGAGCGAACTATCAAGTAATTTAAAAATGTTGGAAACCAAAGTCGAGGGACTCGGCAGTCAACTAAACGATGAGAAACGAGATAAGGAAAGTTTAAGAAAACAAAACGAAGTTCTGAGACAGAACAATGAGAGGCTAACTGAAACGAAGGAAAAGTTAGAAAACGAATTGGAATCATGGAAAGTTAATTACAGACAAGTCAGTGGAAAACTATCTACAGTGCAATGGGGTGGAGATAACGCCAACACAGAAGTAACAACAGTCGCGCAGACTACGTCTAGGCAAATGTCTAACGTTAATCCAGACTTAGAAAACGAAATAGATAAACTAGAGAAAGAAAACGATGAGTTGCAATCCATGATCGACGCTTTAAATACAAAAAATAAAGATCTATCCAATGAACAGACACATTTGAAAGAAGAAATAAACCGCCTTAACATACAAATACAAGAGCAAAAACAATTATACGATAACTATGAAAGTTTGAAAACTTGTTTGGAAGAAATACAAGATATCAATAAGTCCTTTCAACTCGCCAACAAAGAACTCAAAGATACCGTCAATAATATTGAAGTACGGTACAATGAAGCTATAGCCAATTACGAGATTTTGAGAACGACTTTAGAAGAGAAAGAAATGTACTTTAAAAATACCGAAACTGAATTACAAGATAAGAACTTTAAATTGACAGAAGAATTAAAATCTTCACGTCTTTTCGAGGACCGAGCCAATTCAACCATACTGGAATTAAACTCAGAATTGGATGAATTAAAGTCTCAATTGTTACTAGCTCAAGAGAAACAAAATGCACAGACGTCATCCGACGTAAATTCATTGTTACTATCAGAAAAATATAACTCGATGGAGCAACATTGTCTACACTTAAAATCTACTTTGGAAGAAACTTCAATTAGGCTCCAACAACAACAACAGGAAAATAAGGAACTTCAAGATAGAATCGTGGTATACGAAGAACAAATCAGAGATCTAAATATCAAGCAAAACATGAGTCTAGAAAATAATCAACAACAATGTCTACAATTACAGAACACTGTCGATGAAACATTAAATAAGCTGCAAATACAACAACAAGAAAACATGCTACTACAAGAAAAAATAAAGGAATACGAAAGACAAGTAGCCGATTTAACAATTAATTTACAAAATCTTCAAAGCGAAAACAACCAAGCATATTCTGAAGATTTAAAATTAGCTGCGAGTGAAGCTATAAGCAAGCTGCAGGTTCAAGAACAAGAAAATGCAGTATTACAAGAGAAAATTAAAGAGTATGAAGCTCAGGTAAATGATATGACGATGAAGTTCCAAAACCTCAATAGTGAAAACGATCAGTTACTGTCTACTGTGACTGAGTTACGTTCATCTATATCCAGCGCTATGGATCAGCGTGGATTTGAAATTGCTGAACTCTGGAAACAGCACCTGGCACAAAGAGAAGGCGAATTCCAAAAAATAGAACAGGATCTTAGAAACCAACTGGGCGTCGCTGAATCTAAGTATGAACAACTATTAGAAAACGTGCAGTCTTCAAGCCAAGAGGAGACCAATAAGATAATTATGTCAGAGCAAATAAATTCATTACAGAATAAATTGATAGAAAAAGAAGAGCATCTTTTAAGTATCCAAAATAAATACGCTGAAGCCATGAACCAATTGGATATGCTCCGATCGGAAATGGAAGACGAGAAAGTTATGAACGAGAATAAATTGTTCGTTAACCAAGAAGATAATGAGAGGATTATAAATGAATTGAATAAAAAACACGAAGAAGATTGTAATGATTTGAAATCTCAACTTTCTGCTCTGCAAGTGGAATTAGATGCAACAAAAAGAGTTAACATTGAATTGGGACAACAAATAGAAGAACTACACAATAACTATAAATCACAAATAGCAGATATATCAAAACAATTACAGCTTAAAGAGAGTGAAGTATATCAGAAGACTCACGAGTTCACAGTTAGTTTGAAACAAAGAAACGACGAGTTTGAAGCTGTGAGGCAGCAGTTGATTGAGTATGAGAAGAAACTAGAAGATACTATATACGAAAAAGAATCTGAACTCGCGATACTACGGCTCAAACTACACGAGCGTACTGAGAGCTATGACAAGATTAACAAAGATTTGGAAGCCGAAAAGAATAGTTTAGCCGAAGCACTTAATGAAAAAATAATTGAATGTACCAATTTGAGTAAACAGATAGTCGATCTAAACAAAGTTATTGAAGAATATGCAAACAAAGCAGCAGAAACACAGATAGTATTAGAAAGCCAGGAAATAGAAATAGTCACTCTTAAGAGTGAACTATCAGACCTCAATGACGCTTTCAGATCAGCGAGAAATAAAATTGAAAAGCACGTAACTTTCGCTTCTGATACAAAACAGGGACAAGAGGCCGATATTCCTGAGAAAGATCTATTGGATTCAGTGCCTAGAGCGGAATTAGATTTAGCACTATACATGTTGCACCAAAGAGATGTGAGATGCGAGGAACTTACAATGGAACTGACTCAGTTACTAGAAGAGAGAGATACTTTACAACTACGACTCTCAGATAGTATACGATCCTACGAAGAGTTGAAGTCTCGCTACGGTAGTTCGGCTCTAGATGCATCTGTCAGTTCCAGTCATGACAGTGTTGCGGAACTGCCGAGCTTCACGATGGAAAAGGAGCGTCAATTCGTGGATACTCACAGGGCACAGTCTTCCAGGAGTAGTAGCTTCAGTGACCCTGATGGAGAGAAACCGAAGTTACAGGCTAAGTAAGAATACGTAATAAATCGGGAAGTGTTTTAGGATGTATGAAGTGGATTATGGTAAACTAAAAATTAAAATCTTGGTGAAAGTTTACTGTTCTATGGTTAGATGTAAGAAAGTTCCAAGAATGTGGTGACTGAAAATAATCTTTTTTTTTGAGATTATCCTTATATGTACTACTATAAGAAAGTTTGTGAGGAAGTATGTATGTTCGTTAGTTCGTATATATTTCACGTCAATTTCACCGAATTTATTTTGGTGTAATAACTTAGAGGCTATAGTTTATTCCATTTATTACGCTTCATGCCGTGTATTTTGTAAGGGAACACTGCATAAAAGTTATATGTAGTTTATAGTCTATACTACTATATGTTATATTATGTGTTTCAGGTTATCAGAGCTCCGTACAGTGCGGCACAGTAGGGACGTGCGGCTGAGGCAGGACAGCGAGCATCGGCAGCTTGATATGAGGCTGCTGCAGAGAGATGTGGCCAGTCTGCCGCCCGAGGCTGTGGAGCGACTGGCGCAGGCGCACCACACGCTCTGTGAGTAACACACACACACACACACACACACACACACACACGCACGAACATACATACACACATACACACACATGACACGCATACACACACACACATTATGACCAAGCTACTCTGGCCAATCCACACAAAATGCTGACTTATATACTTCTTGTTATTATCCTTGCTAATATAAATATACATGTAATTGTTCTCAATGTGAAGAATCTCCAATATCTAAGTTATAAGCGATCACCTTACATTAAGTTGACTATCTTTAGTTGCAACGTATTAATATGAGGCCTATCCTCGGTGGAGGGCCTGTATTTATGTACATAATTTAATTCAGTTTTATAACAAAAGGAGATAACGTCAGTATTTCAATATAATTATTGAAAACAGTCTGTTGTAACTAACTTCTCACTTAAATATACTCTGTGGAGACTATATAATTGATATAATTTTTATATTTATTTATGTTTTAATAATTAACTTCGACCATCCACTGCTACATCTTTGATATCGAAAATTATAAATAAGTTACATGATATTTAGAATTCTTGAATCTCCTATGGATTTTAGAATTTTTAGAATTCTTGAATCTCCTATTTTTTATACTAATGAAATTAATATTTCCTTTCAGCTCGAGATTCTCAAAGCACTCCCACCGTTCTGCTAAACTGGCTCCGTGGGAAAAGCACTCCGAAGGTGGTCCACATGTGATAGAATATGATTTAATGCAACTACCCCGTCACAGCACAACATAATACTATGTTTGATACAAACACAATCATTATGTGTATAGCTTGCCTCTACGAACGCCGGTGTCTGGGCAGTTATGTGCAAGAAAGTAGCACATAACTGAAAGTGCAAGAAAATACAAGCACATAACCGAAAGTGCAAGAAAATACTTGCACATAACCAAAAGTGCAAGAAACTAGCACATAACCAAAAGTATAAGCAGATTTTGATGAAACAACTATTATTTGATAGATTTGGCAGAAAATAAACAGTAATTCAGTTATTTGACATATAGTATCATTGCTTATACATAACATGTACCTATAAATATATAACGATTAAATACTACTACTGTACTTATATAAGGCGATTATATCCACAACCGGACACTGGCAACGATTGTATTGAAACCGACACATATTATTTGATTATTATATTATATTTGATGCTGTTATAACTAATGGTGCCTTCTGACTTCTCTCACTTGTCTATATAACTATGTATGTTTGTTAAAAATTTCTCCATAACTTCTTAAACCTAACATTCCTTTCAGCTTTTACCAAAATTATGTGAAATTTCCTAATGAATCAGAATTATTTGTTATAATACAATTTATATATAATTTCCTGTATTCTAATTATTATATTTAGACAGACGGTGCCTTTATTTAATGTATTGTATTGCTTGTAATGTACAAGTTATGTATGAATGTAAATAATTATATTAATCCAAAGTGATGCCTGCTCTGTATATTGTTGTGTACATTAAACTAGTGTTTTAATGGCGTTTTATTTTATTTCACTAGCTTTCGCCCGCGTGGAGTTCGGTTATATCGAGTTTCCAAGAGAACTTTTCAAAAGTCTGGGATAAAAACTATCTTATGTTCTTTCTCAAGGTCAACTCTAAGTCTGTACCAAATTTCATTTAAATCAGTTCAGTGGTTTAGGCGTGAAAGCGTAACAGACAGACAGAGTTACTTTTGCATTTATTATATTAGTAGGGATTACCCATTCAAATATAATTTTTACAATTACTCAAACAAATTAACTGAAAATACCTTTATTTTCTTACTTTCACTATGCTAAGTCTATAATTTGAGAAATTCATTTATCATTTTTTTATATAAAACTAGTAAACACGGCGAACTCCGTTTCGCCACCAGAAGGCTTTTATATAGCATTTCGTTTGGTGATTAAAAGATGAATAATTTTTTTTGTATTATATTGAAAAAGGAAAATTTTTATTTCATTTCATTTCGATTACAAAAATGAAGTGTTATTTAGTTGAACTTCTCTAAGTAAATGAAAGTGAATCCAAAGTAGATACCGAATCGGAACGTTTTAGGTGTCCGCAAATTATCCGTTTCATTGAAGTGGTCCTTTGTAAACCACATTTTTTGTTTTTTGGTCTAACTTTAACACAAATAAAGCGGATGGTTTCCAAACTCGTGAACACGCAAAATATAACGCCCATGTGAAAAACAATGTTTTCTAAATTTATCCCGCAAATACTAAATGGTTTTAAAAGTTCGAACTACAAACACAATACCGGTTTGTCACATGAAATTAACTGAGCAGAGAACAATGAGCAACTGTCAAACAATGTATCATGCGACGGCACCATTTACTTAAAATATTAATTTGTAGTATATGTAATGTATGATGGCGCTGTATGTGAAAAAAGATTGTCCCGCATTTCTGTTGAAATTTTTTGTTACATACGGTATATATAATATACCTCACGGAACCTGAGACCTTTCCAACATATGCAAAACCGTGGAAATTGGTTCTGAAGTTATAGCGTCAGGATGGAAAACCGGACTTATTTTTATATTGTAGATCTCTTACAAATATCTAATTGTCATCATTACGTCATTACATATCTGTCATTATACGTCAATTGCATAGCTGTCAATTGTGTTTCGTTTTACCACGTTTTATAGTGACTGTCGTTTCATGTCAAGTCCCACGGGAATGCTGTCGAACGCGATAAAAAGTATCTTATTGCAATTTTCTGGCTCTAAACTACCTCCCTGCCAATTTTCAGCTAAATCGGTTCCGCCGTTCTTGAGTTATAAGTGGAGTAACTAACACGACTTTCTTTTATACAGGGTGACTGGTGAATTACTATCGATATTTGAGGACGTGATATTTGACGATCATATATGACAAAATAAAAATTAATATAACATAAATATTAATAAACTTCTAATTAAGTTAACCAAAAGTTATGTAATTAATTACGCATCATATGAACACCCTACAGATTAGGTATACACACACACTCACACAGACGCGGCGGCGGCGTAGTGTTGTATCAGCACGCCGCCGCACACTTGGAACACTTGGAACGTGTCCACACTTTATTTATTTATACGGAAATTTGGTCAAGACTTAAGTACCTATTTTTTTTACATAATTCGAATGAGAATCATGTACCGAGTATGCTCCGTAAATATTGATAGTAATTCACCAGTCACCCTGTATATATAGATTAAAATGTCTCTTCCAAAATTATATATGTAATACATTTAAGATGTGTATTATTTTTGTTCATTACATTTATTACAAATAAGTATTCAGTGAGTATTTTTTATTCAACATTTTTGAAGTGAAACTTATGCAACTTTCAAGAAGGTTGCGTTAAACGTTTAACGCTCCTTAAAAAGAGACATCGAGAAGGGAATGCATGCGCCTACTATCTCTATTAAATTGTGAATTGTAAGTTCAGTAAGTAATATTAATAAAGTTTGGCTTAAAAACAAAATGAGTTCATTTAAATGAAACTAATATTTTTATCTCATCTCCCCGTGATGACGTTTGCTGAAAAGTAACCGAAACGTTGGGACTATGTAGGTATGTAGTTTTTACAAAAATAAAGTCGCGTAGTATTAAAAAATATTAGTTTCACTTAAATAATTTTATCAAAATAAGTTCGTTAAAAATCAATTTCTACTCTTTCCTATTTTCATTTGTACATTACTAAGTTTCACTTCTTTCTGAGAGACACCACTCATCTTTTTAATGATTGACTTTTTATGAATCAAACAATTGTCATACAAATTCATTCAGGGATATAATTTCAACAACTATAATAAAACACTGTAAATAATGTTTTTATGTAATTTTATTGCTGTTTCACTTTTAAATATCTACTTACATTCGAAAATTTAACGTCAATACAATATATAAGAACTTAGATCACGTACAAAATAAAAATTTATCTTCTCTCCTTTCATAATCAGTATTCAGTTTGACACACAGTCAAATATTTTACAGAGACGCCTCGATACATAACATTAGCTCTTAATCTATTGAAAGCCAGTCAAGAAGCCGAAACAAGCGCTGAATATACTATGTTTAATGCGTATATTTTCCCACATCTATAAAAATATATAAATCTATGACAAGTCAGAAAGATCTATCCGTAAAGGTACCACAACCACGCTCGCTATTAAAAATATTAACGCTCTTATACATATATATATTTATAAAACAATAATAATAATAATAGTCTGCAATCCAAATATTTGATGTACATAAATAGTCTGAAAGCGATTCTTATGGCACCACATGCTTACAGCATAACACTTACACTATGTACAACTAACATATTATATACATTAATTATATGAAAATAAAGTATTCAGTTTATAATGAACTGTCCGATAAGATGGGTTACTGTATGGAAGACATCGGTACTTACGACTTACGACTAAACTTATACTAACATATATATACATCATGTTCAACACTTAGCAATTTATAAATGAACGATCCTCTCACTCCACCCGTACTTAATTCCTATTAAATAATAATTATCTGTGGAAATTATATCACAATATCATAGTGTAGGTAGATTTGGACATACCAACTGAAACTTTAAGTACAACTACGAAGATACTATTGTGTGTCCAGCGGCGGTAGGAACGGTAATGCTAGCGCTACTCTACCAACTATCTCACCAATCAACTTAGCAATGATAAATCACATGTTTTTCTTACATCTCTATAACTAAACCACGACATAGTACTCCTAAGATAACATATTATGACTGGAAGTGACTATGATTTCAAGTTCAACATAATTTTCATTCTAACATTATCACATCGAATGTTAGGTACTTACATAGCTTAAAGTAATTGTCGGTACATTATGAAAAGGAACAAAATATAAAACATTTGATTACAGTATAATTAAGATAATATTTGAAACGAGACGTCGAGCCGTTCGCTTTGTATATAAATATTCCCGTGCGCGTGAAGTCTGTAGGGCGCGTCGTTCCAGGTCACTCCTAACATTGACACGTACATACTATATTAGTGTCGTATAAAATAAAAGCGTAATTTATTGCCTTCCCCCGATACAAACAACTGAAACTGCTTGAAATCATTACAATAAGCAGGAAGCTTTCGAAAGACAGGCGTGTTGCGTTCATTCAATCAGAACAGATTGTATACCTACAGTCCTCTCTGTTACAATGAGCGAAATGCAACACCACTTATCTGAATGTGAACTGAGAAGATTGACTTTGGTCCCGTGTAAAGTTGCTAGCCGAATCTAGCTCTCTGGGAAATGTGGAACAAAATCGATCCTTATCTTAAACATAAAGAGGTAGATTGTAATTTCAAGACATCGATCGAAGTGGAAGATCATTTCTAATAGCGACTGACGCCGACTTGCGACGCGGGTTTACGGTTAGGACTATGTACAGTAAAGCTAGCTAGGCCTACACATTCAGTAAGTAGTACCTACATACATACACTCCATATTCAGTCTTACTATCAGTTCTCTTCAACCGCACCCTCGGTATAGTTTATAGTATTCTCGTACTTCTACGGTTCTCTAGATCAGAAGTGCACATCTCTGACGTCAGTGGGTGTGGCCGCGTTGCTATGAGTCTTGTCCTGGCCGGGAGACGACCAACTCGTCGCCTCCAGCCCCGGGCCGTTTGGGACGCTCGCTACACTCTCACGGATGACCGTCTGCACCATATCTTCGATCTGTTCGAGACAGGTCTGTAGACAGTCCTGTAAAAGAAACGAAATTTCTTAGCATTCAATGTATTCACAGTGCGAGTGCCGGGTCATTACAGTGAGAGGAGCTTCAACAGTGACTGGGACTTGCGACCCAGGTGTAGGTTTAAGGGACTAACACGCGTTAAACGCTCACCTCTACCGTCCAAGCTCATCTCTCTACCTAACAAAATTTGAAAATAACCTAATAGAACTGCAATCGAAGTACGTTCCAAGAATGTATTAATATGAGTTCTGGACAAGCCCAAGTCTCTTAGTAAGCTGTAGTGAGAAATCTTAAAATAGTTAAAGTCTTCCGAAATTTGATTATACGAACTAAATTAGTGAAACAATTGTATCAGAAGCTTACCAAATCGATGCCGGTAAGCTCGTGCAAGCGTTGCAGCTGTCCGTCTTGCTCCAAGCCTCTCAGCGCTGCAGCGATGCAGCAAGAGGCCAGCGTACTGGCGGAGTACAAGGTGAACTCGTAGTCTGAAACAAACGAAACATAAACTTAGTTAACGTGTAACAAATAACTATTAACTTGTAATTTTCCTCCACTTAATGTGTATGCATCGCCATGAGTGAATACTTTAAAGTAATGAACGGGCGCTTTGGCGCGTGATATCAGTCTGAAACCAGGTCACAGTCGCTTTGGGAACCACCGCTCGTGTACACCGGATGTCATAAATTCACTGATTTCAATTTTTTATGATTAAATAGAATTTCTCATGTAACTTAAACGAAGCAAATGTGATGGAAGAAAAATTAATGAGGTCCAAAGTACAGTGTTATCGACAGTTTGTAGTCATCAATTAGGAGGAGACACATCAAACAAACCGTTGAGGCTTTTCTCGTCAATGCCTCGTAGCAACAAAGACAGCACACATCGACGCGTAGAGGCTACAACCGTATCCGATAATGGAACTTCTCTCTCTTTCTCTCCATAGTCCGTCTCTGTCTGGAGAGCAGAGCCTCAAAGAGGCCGGCATCCGCCCTCGAGCCCGCATTCTTTAACCCGCGCCTGTTTAACTTGAATATTTCTCACGGGCTCGCTTTGGCGATCCCATTATACCTATACAGACACCCTCTTAAAAGGCTCCACGGAGACCGATTTGGGACAGGAGTCGCATTGAACAACCTGTATTTGTACCGTAAGATAATTGGCATTAAATTTCTGGGGAGAAAATTTTCTGAACGCAAATATATCTCGACAGTGAGGCGGCGTCGTTTACGGAACCTTATTTTATTACTACTAATGATCACAACATATGGAAGGAGAATAATTGGGCTATATCCCCTACACCTGTTTGGTTTGAAGCAAATTATAATCTATAGTCATAGTACATCGCGTGGCGGCCTCAGTACTTTATTATTACGTATTCTAAAAGATAACAAAGCAGGAAAATCTGCTGTCTGACCTTGGAAAGCGACGGCTGGAGTTAGTAAAGTTATACCTAATAAAACAAGTAATATTAATAAAGATTGAATAGAGACCTTGAGTTATTACATAAATGGATTAATAGGAACTATTAGGGAACTTCGATTATAATTTCAGAGACGAAAAATGAATTCTGAAACGTACATCAAACAATTCCGTGACATAACGTCCGCGGCATTCATATCAATGGTAATCTTTGTAGTTCCTTTTAAAAATATTTTTATATTTTTTTTGCGTCGAGGCGCACTCGAGACCAAAGATGAAACGAGAGCATTCGCTCACTGGAAGCATTTGCATAATCTGATGTTAATCAAATATCGAGGGCCTACCACCGGGACGGCGGGACCGGTCCTCGCAACATAACCGCCACACGAACAAACTGGAGCATATACCTTCGAATTTGTATTTTTCCGTTCGACGACTATCAAAACATGATCTGAATGTGCGAATATTTCGTAGCGGCTGTTATTAAAATCTTATCTATGTATAGAAGAGGCGAGCTGTGAAGTTCGCCGGTGGTATTATACGGGCGGGCTGATCCCACTGTTCGCGAGGTGAACGATCTGGCGAGGCCGCGCCGCACATAACTACCGGAAAAATAGCTGTTTCATAGCAAATACGCTTCATAAACTATCACAGATATGAATTACTTATCGTACATTCCTAGAACAGAGGCGAGAGGTATGTGGGCTTATGATATCGATCGTAAATGGTCCATAAATAGTTAGCATATAGATATTGTGTGGCTCCGGCGGCGAGGAGATGATATCCGAGCAGCAGGAATAAATGAGCTGTAGCGTGAACTCGACCAAAAAAACAATAAGACGGCGGCGAACAGCAAAAACCGTTGCACAAAAACATATGATCCCATGAGGCCGGGGGGTCCGGGGAGAGGATCGGGCGTGTTGGAATGCGCTCGGGCAGGCAGCGTGGGAGGCGCCGGGCCACGCCGCACCACACACGCGCCTTCGCCCTTCTACCCTCATTGTAAACAAACCTATTCATAAGAAAGAACTTTCCAATTTTCACTTTTATAAAGGATATATTCAATCTTGTCGCGATTTAGAACAGTTGCAACAAAATGAATCCAAATAACGAAAAGTTATAGGAAAATAATTAGCTCGTTAGTTGCTTTTTTTTGGTGCAAATAAACGAATGATACATGAATGTGCACGACTTAGTCAGTTTCAATACAATTTTATGCTTATTCGTTAGTTCGGTTCAGTGACACGCTAAGGTATGAATCGTGACATGACCCGGTATTCACTTGCTAATTGCTCCGCCATTTCCAACTAAGAATATATTTGCTAAAGTTAGCTTATTGTTGAAAATGTTCATTATACCGACGCTACTACCTTAAAGAGAAAAAAATGGCTGGATAAAACTAGCTTACAATAAAAAGATTCACATTTTTCTACTACATGTGACTCGGTGATACATTTGCACTTTTGATTATCAGATTTTTATACACCTACATATACATGTTGTGAAGAATAATAAAAATAACAATAAAATATATAAATAATGTCGAACAGGAATGTATCACAAATAAAATTAAAAGTACGATATCGCCTCGGACGGGAATCTTAAAACATTTTATAATTTTTATGGCGTTATAACAGAATTTTAATTGGTCGAAATGAATAACCAACTGCGATGATTCACAGTCTTAAGTTACCACGTCTATTAACTAGATGGAAGCTATATTCATTCATTTATATCACACAATGTTAAATACTTCCTTCATTAAGGCAATTTAAGAGAAAGTGTATTGTATAAGTGAGCAGCTCACCTCTGGCCGCTAGCGAGATGAAGGTCTGTGCGTGTCTCCGAACCATTTCGGCATCAGCTTGACCTCTCAGCGGCAGTCGTGAGAGCAGCAGCGGCAGGAAGTCATGCGCCGTGACCCCGGCCACGTCCCATTTCAACTTGGACAGCACTAGCAACTCCCAGCTCTGTTAACAAAGAAATGTCCGTCTCAAAATGTTGTTAAGTCATATGACGTAATACTTAATATAAGTGACCGAGACCGGCGAGGTTTAGAGTAACTTTCCGTGGCCGTACAATTCACAACAATTCAAAGTACACAGTAGTGTAATAAGCAAAGCTGGCAAGTTCATTGTCCGGAAGCAGATTAAGCACAAAGCCTATTGAGACTCAATGAAAGAAAGTGTTTATTGGCTGGGACAAAAATGGTGCACAGCTACGTCCGCTCGGTAATCATAAACATGCCATTTGGACCGACTTCCCGGAACGGCGTAGGTAGAACACATTGTCGGCCGAACTAATAAGTCGATTCTTTTCAACCGCTCCACACTGTTTATCGCGAGTCCGAAACCGAAATGACTAATCGCCGATAACCCTAGCGTTGTGAGGAGACACAAACACTACGTTATAACAATCTTTTAGACGATTTCTAGCAAAAGCGTTCGACCTAAAACCGTGTTTATCAGAGCGCTAAGCGTGACCTAGATTTATAAAAGACCATGTTAGTATCGCTGCCCATTTACGGATGATATGAATGATTAACTACATGAATAACTCGATATTTGACGCACACATGTGAGACCGATGCATGGCCGTTGACAGATAATACTTTATGTTTACTTAACTCGCCGGCGGGACCGTCGGAGTGCGATCGGCTTAGAGGCCATTCTGCATCGCATTCTACCGAGATAAAGTCGATAGTCGCTTGAATATCGTGAACCTTGCAACCTTTTGGATATTGATAAGGGACGCTTGTGAATGAAGTCTCATCGCAGGAGCCAACACGACATTATATCGTGGGTCGTTAGTCGTGTGGGTAGTCGTCACGGCTCACGATATTCTGCTGACACTCTCCTGACCGTATTATTGAGTTAAAGTTTAATGATGACGGAGCAGGTGTGATGCAGGGTCCAGTAACGATCGCTCGCCATGCGGGTCGACCGCGAACTATCACGCATCTTTAGAGAATATTCAAAAATGTACAAAACATCAGGCCATAAAGACCACCGCAGACATGCCACATCTTAAAATCACTTATATTTATATTCAAATTGTCTAGTGTATACTGTATCGCTGGATATCTCTAGTATCGCTAGCTAAACGCCAATCCAAAGTTCCAGCCTATAAAGCGAGCTATGCAAACAGCCGCCGTCAGCTCTCAAGTCGCCTGAATTCCTCGGCCGTTCCCAAGCTCTATCCTATTTCAACGTCGCGTTTCAATCGAACAATGAGCGGCACTAAACATCGATAGTATAACACGTACGAGCTGACTGTTTTAGATTTACAACATTATATATAGCCTCCCATTAATGTCACAACACTATTGTTGACTTGTGACTTCAGAAGTTCGTTGAAGGGTTTTAACCTTGGAATAGACGCGTACTGACTACACAGTGTGGGGTTACGTAATACGAGCGCCGGATTCCTGGTAAACGATGACGCCTTCAATTCATAGATAACGTATAAAATACTTTAAATAACCACATGTACACCTATATAAATAAAAAAACTGTTACGAAACAAGTGACTCTAAAATCTAAATATAAAAATACTATAATATACAACTTGAACATAGTTATGTATTAACATGTCACTTAGAACTAACCTCACGATGTCGCTATCGGTTTGTGCGTCGTAAAAAATCACTCATAAGGAGTATAACTTCAAAAACATAACTAATATTCCTAAATATAAAGACGAAAAAAAAGAGATCTAAGATCTTCGCGAGCTTTCTTCATTTAAATGAAACTAACATTTTTCGGATCTGCTACTTACTACCCTCGTCTTTGCTGAAAACTATCCGAAACGTCATATGTAGTTTTTTATCAAAAATAAATCCGAAAAATATTAGTTTCATTTAAATGAAAATAATGTTATATAAGTCTGATGTATAATGATCTGGTTCCAGCTGATGTCGCGGCCAGGTCCTTGGAATGCGACTGGTTCTCCCTCCCCGCGCCAATCGTGAGAAATGAAGTAATGGAACAGCCAAACAGAGCCTTCCCATTGTTATTCCTCTCATTTAAAACATCGCACCGGATATATGTCGTGTGATCCGCAAATAAACTGTTCACGTGTTTATAATTACTAGCATAGTGTTGTAGGATATACTATGTTAGAAATAGCTTGCTTTTAAACATAGCATTTATGATATAACAAATAATCTTTGATATAACAAATAAGTCATTACCACTCGAGTCGGTAACGCCCTGATTACAAGGATTACAAGAATCCCATTTCTATAAAGTACCACGAAAGATTGAAGTAGGAATGTTACTATTAAGTATTATACATATATTGTAACCAAAATATATAGCAATAGAAACAAAGTAATCATAAAGAATGAGAACTTATATGGTTTAATTCTCTTTGAAATTACGCGACACTCATAAATATATGCCTCAATTATAATAGTACTGTGGATGTGAAAAATGAGGTTTTACGATAGAAAGAGCGCGGGAACCGAGGGCCTCTTTTTGTTAACGGACCCTTTAGGCCCCGTCAATAGCTTAAGATCTGACCATATTAATAGAAACCAGACAAACTACCGTATAGATAAATTAAGAATATTAGTAAGGCAGTGTCATTATAAAAATAATCTAGACGTAATTATAAAATTCACGTAATCTTTAAAAATGTGATCAGCTGTTTAAGTAACCTAACATAGCTCTCAGTTACAGTCCATTATGACTGGACAGACTATTGTATGAAAATTATTATTTATACGGACAGACTATTACGATATTGTTACCAAAGATATCATAGAATTCCCATTGCGATAGAAAATATTTATATCTCATTAGTTGTTAGCATAACAAAAATCTTCTACGATAACCGTAGACAACTACGGCATCGCTACGGACTGTAAGACGCGAGGCCGCGTAATACTAACGTTTTTATTAGAACATAAAAATATCCTTCGATATTTATAGACACACAACTAAAATATAAATTTATCCGTGTAATATAACCTCACATGTCGCCGGCGGGTCAGAAAATCGATAATTCCGAAGTCGTAAAAATAACCGTGAAATAAAAGTAATAGAATTTTTAAACATCGAATAATTAGTAGCTAGTGATGTGCCGATGAACCGGAGAGGTGAGTCGCGGGCGTGAGAAAAAATTAACGGCGTGCTTCGACTGTAATTGGTCTGATTGAAAAGCGCTTCTCGTCCGCCATCTCCGCCGGTTCGTTAGGGCAGTGTCGCATTCCGACTATACACATATACAATAAACACGACGAACGTTTCAGTTAACAATAAGTAATAACCCTACAAAATAAGCGATCAGTCAAATTGAAACAGGTCGTAGTGGGACGTAGAATGCACTTTACATAAAAACTGAATTAAACATGGCGGCCGGCGCGCAAAGATGCCGTACGGTGCACTTATTATCTACACAGTCGGCGCTGGGGCCCCGCTGGGTTGACGGCGCGGTCGAAATGCACAGAAATACAAAAGTGACGCCAATATTACCACTCATTATAATTTGAGTGTTATCTCGCTCGATACCAAACTCGGGCACACCCATTAAGGATAATATTTAGGTTACATTATGTATGGTCGCATGTACCATTCGCCGGCTCGGGTCCGCCAATGCACTAAACATGTGTCGTTTCGAAAGCTAAAGAATGCCAACGCCCTTTGAAACGGTACAAGCAAGCTAGCTACACTAACTAGTAACTATTGTACAAGCACGTGGCATGCGGGAACATTTCACCGCATACACATTTAAATTTTCATTACGTACAAACGATAAGAACGTCCTATAGGCTTTGTAACCTTCCGTCATACATCTATTTGTATCGAATACGAAAAACGTTCCCGTCTTTCTTAGATCACGAATTCTATTTTTACATCCCGGTGTCACACGTAGTGATTGCTTATAAAATAATGTACCGCACGAATTCCAATCTCTCGACGGTTAGAAAACAGGTAAACGAACTACAAGAGAGCGTCCGCTGAGAACAACCGGCCCGCTGACTGCATCATTAATATCAGCTGATCAGATGACACTTGTGGAGCTAACGATTGAGTCGGCGGTATTACAAAAGCAATTAATATACTATAACGACCTTGTATTTGGACAAATTACCTAAGTTACAGTGTTATTTATAATGCTACTGCCTTCTACATGGCAATTTCCCAGCTATAGCCAGGGTCTGCCTAAATACTACCTATCGAAGGATAGCTATTATCTTAGAGATTACACTTACACATAAATCTGACAGCGTGATGCTGTTGGCGGTATAGAAGACCAACAATTCAGCAGGAAGACCGCGTGAGCTCGGCTCTCTCAATTTGGAAGCCAGTAATAGGCAGGCCGTCCCGAGGAGTTGAAGCTGGCTCTTCCCCACCATACAGATGCTTAAGAAACGATCCAGATATGAGATCGCTAATGGAAACACTTCGTCCTGGCAGCTTTGGTCTTCGCAAACCTGAAAATTAAAATTCAATAAAGAAAAAGTTAAAAAAACACATTCGTTTCGCCCGCTGCTAGATTTAAAACGCGCAATTCCCGATAACCTAACCTATATGTTATAAAATCTCACTACCATCATTCAATGCATGCTCCTACCTAGTTAATCCTTATCACTCACTGTATGTTATTCACTAAATAGTGGAGCTCGTGAATGTTTTGCACTCGTTAACCTACTAGCGGAACGTAAAATATTAAACATTCAAACGATTGTAAAACGACGATTTATTGTACGTACGTGGACAAGTGCATTTCAAAACGATGCCAAATAGTATATATATTGTCTAGGAAAAGTGAAAGCAGAACTATATTAAAGAATGTCATGATATCTGTGTTGCTTGCATAGTTTCACACGGTGTAACTCGAGAGGGCGATGCTAAACCTAAGGTAACATTCCTCCGCTCGAGTCGCCGGCCGAAGTCGGCTGATTAACTTATGTCCCGACCGAACGAGCCATTGTTCTGTTACGAGCTTCCTTAACGTACGGCGATAACAATTAATAACAGTAAAATGCGATAATTATTAGAAAGCCTCTAGAGTCTAGTGGGACTTTCGTATATTTTCTAAGATTGAAGCTTCGTGCGACTGGTTTATATGTAACCACGAGGCGTCAGTAAACTGTATGCCCGCGGCCGCGCCGGCATGATGACGTCATACAGACGAGACTCGAACTCCGAGCCCGCAGCGCAGCCCTACCACGTGGACACATCTCAGCTGATTCGTTATCATGAACAATACGATACATTAAAATACATGAATAACATCGGAGATAACTAAAATCTATTATAATCTACTGTACAGGTGTCGATAGAAACTATTACAAAATATAAGCACTAGCGTCTGTCTCAACACAGAACGCCCATATAATAAAAGATAATGCGTGTCAAAATCAGCTGTGAACGTGTCCGAGTCAGCTGTGTGCGTGTCAGAATCAGCTGATTATTCAAATAGAACGAGCGAGGCGTCGGTCGGCGACCGCGGGCCGGCGGCGGGGCCCCTCGCCCGGCTAGCGCTATACCAATTACTACGAGCGACTCTCCGATGAATATCAACAGGTTTATAACACAGACCACTCGCCGGAGTACCGGCGTGCTCCGAGCTTCATTATCTACAATGACTGACTCTGAGCTATGTTCTTGTATCGCTCATCAAACTCGTTATTTTGAATCACAAACCAGATAAAACTCATTCGTGTTAGGTTTTGAAACGTCTGGAATATATGATCGTTTTGTATGCGACAGGTTATATGTATAAAGCTACCTGAAGCGGTTCGCCACATCGCTGTGTTCATTCTAATTGGAATCTCATAAGATCGTTATGAAAACATTATCAGCTGATCGAGTAAACAAAGTCCGTCGGGCACTAGAGGTGTGGATGTACGGATCGTATCTAGACATAGGCAGGCTTATCCGATAAGTTGCGCAATGTTTTTATACAAAACCGTGAGCGGTTCGGTTCATGGGAGGCCGTGACGGAGCATACGGGGCCTGCGGGACCGGCCGAGGGCATCCTACACGTGGCCGGAGCGACAAGATGGCGAGCGTGCGGGCGGGAGGAGGCGCGCTCACCTCTAGCATCCACTCGGCGACCAGGCGGCGCATGTGCGGCGTGACCTCCTTCTGCACGGCGCCGAAGTAGTTGGCGGTGACGGCGTAGCGCTCCTCCGTCCGCAGCAGGTTGTCGAGCACGCGGCGCCGGAGCAGCACCGGGTCGGCCCCGGCGGCCTGCACGCGCCCCGGGCCTGGGCCCAGCCGAGGCTCCGAGCTGTCGGGGCTCACGCGCTCCGCACACAGCAGCTCCATGACACACCGCACAGCGGCTTATGACGGGCGGGCAGCGGGCTTCACGGACGGCTGGCTGAGGGACACGTCGTGGTGCGACGGCGGCGAGAGCCCGAGTCACAGTCACTCACCGGCCCGACCCGACCGACGAACATATGATCGGCGGGGCGGGGGGAGGGGGCCCGCGGGGGTGAGGCGGCACGGGGCGAGGGGGGGGGGGGGCGACGTCGCCCGTGAGGCCCGCACGCAGGTTTCTCCCCATTCGACGTTCGAATAATAATACATAACACGAGCGTTGGCTCGCTCGCTCCGAGCCTGCTGTAGCCTCTCCTTCTAGTATTTACAAAATGAGATGGATTCCATCGTCCGGGACCGATTGTGAGAGTGACCGCCGAGATACCTATCCCTCGATAAGTATGATATTACTGGCCGTTAATTATGAACTGATCTTGTATTAAAACTATTCAAAATCGGCTACCACACCTTGGCCGTTACACTTGACCGACAACGTCTAATTACGAAGATTAGACGAAAGCTAGACGCGCCATAATGTACAAATACGACTTGTATTAATGAAATAAGCTTGACATTTCCCATAATTAAAGAAAGACCATTGTTATATTAATCCATTGAACATTATCATCGTGTGTACATAAACAATATATTAAAAGCCGATTCTTCGTTACACCGCAGTACGTGACATACACTACCAATTCAATAAGTTTATTTATACATATTTTAAAACAGTTATTTATTTCGAATTGTCGATTGAGTGTATGAAAACTAGCATACGTTAGATAAATTTATTATCTTCAAATATTTGAAGCATCATTTACAACGAAATTATTTAAATGTTATTGAACTGGTGAACTTAGATTTTGTTCTTCAATACCGTCGAAGGAGTTTGTATACCAAAATATATAAAAAATCGGCTTTAGAGATATATATTTATGGTTTATTATTTATTATTATCAATAAATCGATATTGTATTTGATAATTGTGAATAATTATTATAATACTAGTTTTTGCCCGCGACTTCGTCCGCGTTAGTTTGGTCAAGAGTAATATATGTAGGTATAGCTGACCAGGCAGTGGTGGCCTAGTGGTTAAAGGGCCCGCCTCTCGTTGCCGAGGGCGCGGGTTCGATCCTGGCCCGGGCAAGTACCAATGTGATTTTTCCGAGTCATATGTACTTTCTAAGAGTATTTAGACATCACTGATTTATATTGATTCCCAAAGAGAGGGTTGATGTCAGGCAGGCGGCCGGTCGTAAAAACAAATAGCCAAAACTATTCACAAACATGTAAGGCAGACCCTGGCTATAGCTGGGAAATTGCCAGGTAGAAGAAGAAGCTGACCAGGCAAACTCTATTCCGCCTTAGAGGCCATAAATAATCAGGTTTTTCCTGTTTCACTCAAACAGAATGATTGACATATTAGTTAGTTGTAAAATCTAATGTCAAAAAAAACGTTTGTATGGGAAATAGAAAAGGGCTGTTTTTAGGGTTTTCCCGGCAATTATTCCAATTTTTCTCACCTTTTAAACCTTTCCTGGACTTCCAGGAGTATTTCAAGACTAAAATTAGCCAAATCGGTTCAGCCGTTCTCGAGTTTTAGCGAGACTAAGGAACAGCAATCCATTTTTATATATATAGAAGATATACAAATGTGTAATCAGCTGATTGCACAGACGCGGCAGATAATTTTAAACATATGACTGTTTGACGTAGGTTTTAATATTTCCAATAAATGCCGTTTGAGTCATACCAACTTATTTAAATTTAAAAACCAGGTAAATATACATTTTAAAAGGTTTTTATGATGAATAAAAAGATTCCGTTTGATATTGTAGCATTTAAAAGTGGACAAATAAAAAGATCCATAGACAATTTTTGACAAATCGAACAAAAAATATAATGTCATTGTTGATCTCATTGACCATTACGAGTTAGGTATTTTATTATGATAATACCTATCTATTATTGTTAAAGTTTAGTTGTATCTTGTTTGCAAGTTGCGTTATATATTGTTTAGTTATTTTTAATCGCTAATATCGGACAGGAAGTGCGATGTAACCACATCTCATTAATCACAAAGCGGCTTCCTTTACTGACCGCTAGATGTAAAGACGGGTTGAGAATACGTTACAAATATTGAGTTATTGATGATTTTGACGCCTTATTGATGAGAATCGATGTATATTTTTAATTTAATCTTAGTTAACGGTCATTTTTCAGTCCAAATTGATAGAATAATTAGTAAAATACGTAATATATACGATAACTTTCTATATTCTATATTTATTTTGTTATTATATCTAAATATAATGATACAACGGCAAAAGGCATAACTGTAGGCCGCGCGCATCTTAACCTTGAGAGATTTAAGTCCTTTTATATATATTGTACAACAAACCCTATCTAATTATCTTATTTTAAATTATTTTAACTTTGATTTTCATACTAATAATGATTTTTGTATCGAACTCTGTAAAACTGAATCAAAAGTGGATGACGTAATATATTTTAATATGACATTTGTTTTATAGTCTTTGACAATTTTTTTTTAACAAGTTTTGTCTGCCTGTGATCCTAAATAATTATTCCAAATTAAAGATCGCATCATAGGCGATACGAATTTAACATTTGTATTACGTTTGAATATCGTTAAACTTAATTAATTTAATATTAATTAATGAAAAGAAAATAATATTAATAATTAACAATAAAAAACGTCGTTTCTATGAAACTTAACTGACTAAGGATAGCCGCGAGGTCTGGCCAGCAATTAATGTTTTACGCTCCTTTATTGATCAAGTTAAAAGCTTTTAATATATAATTAGCGTTAATTAATTAATTAAATATTTTATAATTAATGTAGGTTTTACATAAATATTTTGACGTTTAGTAGAAATCTGAGAATAGTTCGTATCTCGACTTGAATTAAATAAGAAAAATAATGATTGTTTGTGTACATAAAACTGATAATTTAGCCGCCATTTATATTGTTTTGCTTATAATTTGAATATAAATACTTTTTATACTTTTTACAATATAGGTATGAGGTTAAAATTACTTTTGCCTTTACAAAGACGTGACTTAAATTTGACAATTCATTGAACATTTAGAAATTACACTTAAGAAGATAAATTAAATAAATTCTTAATTAATCTGTCTCTTAAACTTCATAGATTATAAATAAAGTAAAGAGTGTAGGAAAAATGAGATAGAATTAGTGAAAATTTATAGTTTTCTTGAAGACCTGGCGAACTTCGTATCGCCTTATAATCAAGAAATATCTATTACGTTTTTTTATTTATATTTTTGGAGTTTATATGTAAGCCATAAATCTCCGTGTTTTGAAGTTTGACAGAATGATTGACATATTAGTTAGTTGTCAAATGTAATGTCAAAAAAACGTTTGTATGGGAAATAGAAAAGGGCTGTTTTTATGGTTTTCCCAGTAAAGAATCAATTTTTTTCAGCTTTTATATCTTCCCTGAACCTCCACGAACATTTCAAGACTAAGATAAGATAAATCCGTTCAGCTGTTCTCGAGTTTTAGCGAGACTAAGGAACAGCAATCCATTTTTATATATATAGAAGATTATTATTATGAAAACCTCTTCATTGTGAAAGTAACTTAAATTAAACGTCGACATTTTTATTATATTTTTTTCAATAATTTTCATTGCCACCACATTAGCTGTCAGGAATTCCGTGACCGCAACTAAAACCGCTGACTGAAGCTGTGTCAGCTATTATGAGATCGCGTTACTGTTTGCAAATCAAAAGTTAATAAGAATTTAAAATTAAATTTATATTTAATGTTTTATGTATGTGTAAAGTGAATAATCCCTACTAATATTATAAATGCGAAAGTAACTCTGTCTGTCTGTTACGCTTTCACGCCTAAACCACTGAAATGATTTTAATGAAATTTGGTACAGAGATAGAGTCGACCTTGAGAAAGAACATAGGATATTTTTTATCCCAGACTTTTGAAAGGTTCTCTTGGAAACGCGATATAACCGAATTCCACGCGGGCGAAGCTAATAAATAATAATATTTATCTTATTTTTGGGAAATTAAGAGTATTTTAGAGTTTTTAAAGCTTTTAAATGAAAATTGTCAATATATATTTTTTGTTACGGCCACACAAAAGATAGGACTATTTTGATATAAATTCGTGACTTCCATTCATAGAATTGACGACATATTTTTAGAGATGAACTTTTATATTTAAAACAATTATTTCTTAATGCTTTTTTACTTAGTTTGCCATTGTTAAATATTTCAATAGAAATGATTTAGAATTATTTCAGATCTATTTAAAGGTAACACTACCTACCTTTTAGGATTACACTCCTTGTATAAACATCTGTTATCTGTTTAAGTTTTTAAATATAAAAGAAAGGGCAATTAGCTTTAAGGAAAGCATTTGTTTCCACACAATCGCACGATTTGTTGACGTACGCCGTGAAACAATGGCCACGAATGTTCTTACAACAAAGACGAGGGTACACATGCCTGGCTTGGTAGATAAGAAATTACTTATTGTAGGTAAGGGGAATAGATTTACATTTTTATTACTAACTATCCCTACTTCCCTACTAATATTATAAATGAGAAAGTAACTCTGTCTGTCTGTCTGTTACGCTTTCACGACTAAACCACTGAACTGATTTTAATTAAATTTGGTACAGAGATAGAGTTGACCTTGAGAAAGAACATAGGATAGTTTTTATCCCAGAATTTTGAAAGGTTCTCTTGGATACGCGATATAACCGAACTCGACGCGGGAAAAGCTGCAGGCGGTAAGCTAGTTTTTAATATTTTTAAGTATAATAAGTTGAATCGTATGTATTGTGTGAGTGTGTGCGGAATTTCGGATTTTTTATGTCATTTGAAGTATTTTATAAAATTAAATGAATACTGACATGATTTGATTACCCTGTCTTAATTATTATATTTAAAATAATGTAAGGATTATTGTATAAGAAACACAAGAAATAGAAGTT